CCCTTTCCCAACGAAGCATCACGGCATCTCTCATACTAACAAACGTGGCAGACGAGGAGTTGACCTACGACTACAAGTTTGAGCGTGAAATTGGTAGCTTGGACCGCATCCCCTGTTTGTGCGGTACAGCTGCTTGCAAGGGCTTCCTCAACTGAAACCATAGCTTCCTGTCCATCTTTGGTGGTTCTTGTTTTCTTCACGTCCGTGCCAACGTGCCACCCTACCGCTTCAACAACGAATATTTCTTGTTATTAAGGACAATCACCAAGCATACCACTAATTCTAGGCTTCTTCGATATATATGCATAATATGGAGGAATGAACACGGGGAAAAGGCGGCTAAAAAATCTATTGTACCACCAATGTTTGCACAAATTTCATTCCGGAGGTTTCCATGTCTTGTGTCCGCCATGACGGGCACAAGACGAATTGCTAGACGGGCGTTTTGATTTCCGGGGAGAATCGTAACCCTAGGGATTTGGATTTGCCTCGAAACCCTTAAAAAGCAAGATAGGGGGAAAGGCACAGCATGATGCGATGTAGTTTTGCGCAGAGGAGGAAAAACGAGGCATGGATGAGCAACGCATACGAAATATGGTGGCTGGTGATGATGCTGTAGAATCAGCAGAGATCAGGGCAGCCAGACGTCGATGGCTTAAAGACGTCAACGCTATGCCCATGTACAGACAACAGTTGAACAATCTCCGGCAGCTGTTATAATAGTGCTAGATTAGGATATTGATTGAAATCAAAAGTCGCATGAGGCAGGCAATCTTATGGGGTGTTTTGCAGTATTTTTACAAACAGTATCCAGTGATTATTGGTTCATGATAGAACCTATTTTGTGATTAATCTTTCCCAGGCTTCTTTTCTCTTTATTTTTCGAATATCTACTACCGCTTTGCCGCACAAGACTGGTATTTTCCAAACCTGGACGCCTGGTTTCATGCAATTCTTTTTCCTCTTCCTGTCTCCCTCTACACCTTATATAAAAAAATGAGATGACCAAATGATCAATCTTGCCACAAGCAAATGGTATGACATGCCTGGTACGTGAGAACGCCGACGCCTAGCACTCCGATTCCAATGTGTAAAAAATTCTGATGCCCTGTTTTCTGTCTTGCTGTCGTACCCAAGTTGACGCACCCGACTATATCGGCGCATCCGGCAGCTTCTCCACGACGTATTTACCCTTGGCACACGAAATGATGGGTACGCCGGGGATCTTGCGTATCCGGTTCTTCAATGCTTTGTCGCTACAAGTGGGATTTCATGTTAGCCCAGTTCCCGTGCTGTCAGAGGAGGGGGAAAGAAAAACTTACTTGGTGGCTACCAGGTAGACTCGGTGCTTGATGATGCGGTCGACGATGCAGTCGTCGGCGTAGACGCCCTTGTGGTCGCACCGGAGTCGCTCCCACCGGGGATCCCTCGCAATGCGCAGGGCTAGTCGGTAGCGGGGTCCGAGTTTCTCCAGCTCGGCCATGACGCAGTCGGTGATGATGGGGTTGGCTTTGGCGTACTATATCAGAGGGAAAGACATGTTAGCCATCCTATTTCTTGACTCATTTGGAAACGGAGGCCGACGGCCCCAGCATTGTTCTTTGCCTCCACCTCGACTTCATTGCAAGTGTTTGATTGCTTGCGCCGAACTCTCTCCATCCTCCCCCTCAAAGGGCTTTAAACAAATTTCACATACCAGCAGGTCCATCAAGGATTCGAGAAGAGGAAGCTTGCGGCTAATAGTGTGGGACAAGAAATTGGTATCGACGAGGACAGAGTAGGGCGGCACGAGGGCTTCGTTGTGCTGAAAGAACATGGACGAGGGCTGCTGGGGGATCTCGCGGATCAGCTCCGAGGAGGCGGGCGCCGTCTTGCTCTTTTGGTCGTTGGCCTCGTCGGCCTTTGAGGCGTTCTCCTTGCGGCGGGCGTCCTTTTTCGAGATGACGCGCTTCACCTCGGCGAACTTGCGGGTTCGCTTGGCCTGACCCATGGTTGTTGGGTGCGGGTATGTAGTAGTACAATTAGGTTTCTGGGAGGGAAGAACGGTTGTTTGTTGGTGTGTTGTTGAATTAAAAGTATTGTAATTCAAGTGTCGTCGGGCACGGGATTCGTATAGTCTCTCTGTCCTTCTGTATTATATGTCGAACGGGCAGCTCTGCTCCTACTCTGCTTCGCTTTGGTGGTATGCGAACTTGCGACAGACGCCAATTGCGGGATGTAGAAATTCTGCCGCGGTGCAAGCTTTGGAAATCTTGACCGCCCGGCGGAAGTGGAATAAAGCAAGCTCCGGGCTCTCATTCGCTCAAAATGCAGTGGTCCAGTGAAGGCCCGCCTTAGTAAGAAATCCCAACCTCTGCAGACTGCAGGTGACGAACAGAAGTCACTACACTAAAGATGGCCCCCACCCCACTTTGAGATCTTCCAAGGGTCTGTGGTTCTGTGCTTTGGCGGGGGACATGATTGATGAGTGGGACCTTTTGGGAGACGTCGGAGACCTCCACCGTTTCCTGTTCATATCCATCCCCTGCACCCAATGCCCGCCCGTCGTCAGCAGCTCAAAGATGGTCGCGAGGGGAGATGCAATGCATGCCCTTAGATGCACCATACCCGACATTGGCTAGAGCTGGGCGTAAGGGGCAACGGGAGGGGCTACAGTATTCAGTTGTTGATTATTGACTTTTACTATGACTGTCGCGACTGGGTATGTGGCGCAAACTTTCTAGGTTGCAATTAAAAGAGAGGAGAGCTTCTTTCCAACAATAGTCTGTTGTTGCTGTGCAAGCAAGCGAGCTTTGCGCTACAAAATGCGCAACATGGAAAGAAAACTAGGTTAATTCTAGAATTGGCATTGACAGGTAGTGCAAGTCGATGATGGCGCCGTCGCAGATCTAATTAGTACAGTGATGAGACGCTGAGACATGTCAGTGATCAGAGTGTCAGTCATGGCTCTCTTGGCAAGACGCGAGAGAGATCGCGAAAGCATCCATCCATATCCATCCCATCTGCGACCTTTTCCCGCTGCCGTGGAGCGTGGGACCGGCTGTCTGGTCACTGCAGTCTGCAAGCCGGGGGACACGCATATGTTTTCTACTGAACACAGGCTTCTACGGAAAGTCAAAACTGTCATCTGCCCGAAATGCAACGTCGTTACCCGCTGCCACGGGGTCTCAATTTAGAATTTGTGACAGTTGTTGCATATAAAGTAAAACTGTAGAGTATTAGCATTTTGTTATAGTTTCGTAACTTGACACTGCAACACTTGGGACCTGCATTCATCATTCCAAAGGACACCTGGAGTGGTGAGTGGGTATGTATGTACGTATTACTATTGCCTAGAAATTCGTATCAACGCCGAGCTGAACACACAAGTTCGTATAATCCCATCAATCAATCCATACTTGCTAACACCGCAGAGCGACGTGGTTTTTTGGTTACCTTGCGCAGGTAATGGGCACAATTTGTTGCGTTTCTCCTCCTCACTGTCAAATTATTTCACTGATCGTTCTTCCAACTCGTAGTAGTAGTATAGTGCTGTGCATATGTGCATCGTTGCCCTTGACTACATTACCCAACCCTTCCTTTACAGATTCCCTAGCCTGAATTGCGGAACGAAACTGCAGATCTCGTCAATACATTAGCCGTCCCCCAGCCCAGATCTGAATCTAATAATGTACACACACACACCAATGACCCGAAAGCGTGACCTGACCTCTAACAAGGGCCCCCCAATCCCGCCCGTGCTAAGCCTTTGACAGTCGCTAGGTACGAGCCTTCAGCAGGTTGGTTCGGGGTCTTTCCATTCATTCATTCATTCCCACTTGCTTGCCCCCGGCCGGCGTCTACCTAGTTCTGGTTCCTTTTTCCCAATGTCCACTCACTGGAACAGATAGAATGTCCACTCTCCTTTTTCGCGTCCCCAGTCAGTCGTATTCTGTTTCGTTGCCCATCATCCACTTCCCCATCTTTCCTGTCCTCGCTCGCATTTGATCGCATCCATTTTTCTGCGTTGCACTGACAGTCGCCTTCTTCTTTTAATACTCACAGCCGAGCAGAGGAAAAAGACCGATAACCCGAGTCTGTCCTTGAGCCGCAGCATCGCCGTCTACTCTTTGACAATGTCCTTCTGACCAGGTTTCTCTTGTGTCGTCGCTAGTCAGGTCATTGTCTGTCCGACTACTAGAGCTGCGAAGAAGCGCCGTCTTTCACTTGCTACCGGCTGCTTTGTGAATCACGAGTTGGCCCACCCACTCGATTCGTTCCAAGCTCGTCCTTCGTTTGTACGCCGCGCGCCGCATCTCTGAGGGAAGGGTTTCTTTCTTTTTTTGACCGCCGACTTGGTCAATAGACAAGAGTATTGTTAGTGGAAAGAGGTTTCTTTGGGATAATTGTTGGGCAACAATAGCATCACGCAACTGCTCAGTTTCGACAAATCGCAACCTACGTTTGTCGCTACAGTCGCTACATTCTTAATATCTTCCGCAACCAGCCTGAGTCGAGGTCGGGCTTTCAGGCGCACAGCTCGGGAAATAAATAATCATGGCACGACGCTCTGTAACATGGAAGCGTGGCCTGCTTCTGTCTACAGTCGCCCTCTTTGCCGTCTCGGCCGTTGCGCAAACCACGGCTGATGCTACAACTGGCGCGGCCACAACCACTGCCGCAACTACAACGGCGGCCGCTGCCACGACGACGACTGCTGCCGCCACAACTGCCACCTCGGATGACGACTCGACGACTGCCGCTTCGGGAACTACAACAGTACCCAACTTGTCAACCACGTCTGCGGCCACCACCGGCACAGATGCCACCGTGCCACAGTTGACGGATTCTACGACTTCCACCGCCGCCACCACCTATAGCTATGCTGCTCCTACTGTACCAGATACCAAGAACGCGCCTTTCATGCAAACATCGAGTCTCCCCGAGGGAACCGTCTTCATCGCCGTTGGCTCCATTCTCGGCGCTTTTGGTATCGCCATCCTAATCTGGCGGGCCGTTGTGGCATGTCTTTTACACAGATCGGTTAAGCGCGCTGCGTTGGCTCAGCATCTGGCCAACGATAAGATGGCTATTCCAGGCCCTACCACTGCTCCCTTTTATCAGCAATACAAGGACCACGAATCCAAAGGCTCCCTGGGTGCCACCGCTGCCGTTGCTGCTGGCCGCGGCGTGCGGCGGACGAACCGTGGCCCGGTACCATCCTCTACCCCGAGCCAGACGAACCTATTCTTCTCACCAACGGCGGGCAACGCCGGAAATGGCGGCAACCGCTCCTCCACCTTCCTGCCTTCGGGCTTCTACGCTGCTAACCAGGGCGCCGGGCAGCAAAGTCATGGCCATTCTATTAGCATGAGCGACCTCCGTCCCGAGTCGCACGGCTCGCCCGGTCTCACGCCGCACAATGAACCCACGCGACGCCATCCCCAGATGAGCACGAGCACGCTCAACCTCAACCAGGCTCCTAGCGGCCGGGCACCCAGCATGTTCTTGGACGATTTGCTCGACGAGAACCCACAACAATTCCCACCTCCAGGTGGAAACCATGCTTATCGCCAATCGAGAGAGCGCTTCTGAATCCGTTTTTGATACCTCTTGCTTTTTTTCCCTCGTTCCCAACTCGCATCGTCATAAAAAAGAGAGATATTTAATCATGATGGAAGGTCTCTCCAGGTTTTGGGTGGTCAGGAATATCATCAGACTTTTTTGGTATCATCGGATACCAGGCTTCCACGAGCAGAAAAACTGTGTTCTCCCCCGGCATTTTGCATCTTGGAATGGAGAAAAGGAGTTCATTAAAGGGGGTGGTTGGCTTGTTTTCCCCCCGTATGCGTGTGTCGTATCATTTGGCTACTCCAGAGCAAGAAGAAAAATTCCAAGCACCGTAAATACGTATCCGCTTTTTATACCATAGTTTTCATTGTCAATTGGACCAGCATCCCATAGCTCATTATTCATCATTTTAAGCAATACCAAACTTTCTCGAATCATATTTGCTTTAAAGATGTCGTGAAGAGACGCGTCGAGTACATGATGTTTGACTCGTTCTTGCTTTCAAAAATAATTGCCAATATTATCCTTTCTGTGTTTCTATACTGTCTCTATAGTAATATGGTGTTTCATCATCCCAGATTGATCGTCTATATAATCATGGATCACCATATTTATGATATATCACATTTTCTTCTCCCTGATCATGTCAATTTCTCGATAGAGCTGCTGCGCTCGAGTCCCCGCAGAATCAGTACTTACTTTAGTTTGGTTCTAGTTGGCCAAAAATCACAATATGCTTATATACGCAGTCGCTATTATCTTACAACGCTAGACACTTCTCCTTTTTCTCTCCTCTTTTCTCGATTCTTTATTTTCTATGAGAGGTGTCGTTGGATCTTTGCTTCCTACACTTGATGAGTCCACTGGGAATGAAAAGTATCACCACCCCTCGTCGTCTTTTCATCTCTATATAAAGATGCCCCCTTCCCTTCTTCTAGCAATGACCACACGTCCAACTACTCTCGGCAGAAGGCACACCAATACAAGAAAGACATACTCAAAGGCGTTACTACAATGATTTCCCATATTCACCATTCTACACATTGGCGACGCAGGGCGACCTGGTTTGTCATGCAACTCTAATTCTTTTTAGTCATTACTCCATTGTCTATTATGCTATGTTTATCCAAGCTGGTAAGGCTTCTCTTCCTCTTTTCCGAGAATTCCTAAATGCTTGATGTAGTTGATAGTATCATCAACTTTAATATGTACTTTTTGATGCTTATCCATCAACCATCCCAAACTGGAGTATCTTCCCTTTCCTTGGGGTATCTACTTTTGCTGCCCATCGTCTCCGCTAGAACCACCGGCCTTTTCGTCGACAACGTTACTATCGTCATCGCTGCTGGTGTTGGATCCGCTGCTCAACTGCTCCCGCGCGCCAGCAATATCCTCCATACGGATACCACTGCGGTCGCACATGCTGCGGAAAATACCACCTTGACGCCACAGAGCCGCGGGGGTGTCGAGCTCGGCGATGCGACCCGCGTCCATGACGCAGATGCGGTCGTAACCAATGATGGTGCGCAGTCGATGCGCAATGCAGAGCAGCGTCTTGCCCTTGAATCCAGTTGCAATTGTGTTTTGGATCTTGTCGTCTGTCTCCATGTCGACGGACGAGGTCGCCTCGTCACACACAATGATCTGACTACCACGCACCAGAGCACGCGCAAGCGCCATGAGCTGGCGTTGACCGAGCGAAAAGTTCAGTCCGTCTTCCTCAACCGTTGTGTCGAGGTGGACGCGAGTTGGGTCTCTGTCATCGATTGAGGCATCTTGGGATACCAAATCGGCCTGTCGCAGCGCCGACCAGAGCTTGAGGTCATCATGCTCCGAGAAGGGGTCCAGGTTCGATCGTACCGTGCCGCGGAAGAGCGTTGGGTCCTGAGGGATGATGGCGAGTCTCGACCGGAGATCATGGAGGCCAATTGTCGAAATATCCAGGCCGTCTATTGTAATGTGACCACCCGACAGCTCAACGAGACGGAAAAGCGTCGACATGATTGAACTCTTGCCGGCACCCGTGCGGCCGACAATACCAATGCGCTCACCACCGCGGACGTGCATGGTCATGCCCTTGAGAACAAGCGGCAAGTTGGCACGGTATCGCATCTCGACATTGTCAAAGATGATCTCACCCTTCTCCGGCCACGATGGCTTGATGTCGATCGTGTGCTCGGGTGCCTCCTCCTCGAGCTGCGTACCGTAGTACTGCAGACGTTCCACAGCGTTCATGCCGTTTTCCACCTCAGCCAGCTGCCGGACCGTGAACTGCAGCATCTGAACGATACCGAGAATGTACGAGAGCACCAGACCGCCAATTGAGGGTGCAACCGAAAATCGGGCAGTGACAACTAGCACACCAGTGGTGAAGACCAGCAGATTACCAATAAGGTCGAGACGCATAGATAGCCACCTCTGGTTCGAAAAAGTCAGAAAATAGGCCGAGTTCATCTCGTCGATGGCGCGACGCAGATCCGATGTAAAACGTTCCTTCAGTCCATAAGCACGAATCGTTGCCACGCCAGTAAGACCCTCGCCAAACTTTGCAAAAACAACCGAACGGAGGATTGACTCGAATCGCTTCACCTCACGGGCAGACTGCCGATAGTATGCCGTTGCAATGATGAATATGATAATGAGCGGGACGAGGGCGATGACAAAGTAGTGGAAGAAGGCAATGATCAGACAAAAGACCGAAATGATCATAGCCATGGTGAGGAAGTACATTCGCATGGCATCGGTCAAGTTGTTGTCCATGACGTCCACGTCTCTGGAGAAGCGGTTCGTGATGCGACCGAGAGGAGTGGTATCAAAGAACGACATGGGCGCTCGCAACGTGCGAGTGACAGCCTGGCGTAGAAGGGTCTTGCTGGCATTGGTGCCAAAGATTGTCAGCATGAGCGAGAACACAAACATGAGAAGAGCCTGTGCCGTTCCGAGACCAGCATATACTCCGATATAGACACCGGTGCTGTAGCCAAAGTGGTCCGATGTCCAATACGATAGCCACAAACTGGTAGCGATATTGGCACCCTGAGACAAGATTAAAGCCAATATGACGAGGGGCGCGGACAAGACCGTTCCGGATGCTTTGACATATTGACCATAGACGGACCAGGGAACACTGGACACGGCACGCTCCTCAGCCTGCATGAGACCTGTGCTCTTCTTCTTCTTCTTTTTATCCTTCTTGGCTTCAGCCGTCTTCTCTTCGACGACTGCTTCTTCTCCATCTTTGTCGTCCTTTGATTCGACCGCCGTGGTCTCTAGCAGCTTCTGGAATCCGGTGTGGTTTGCCATGAGATTGTCAAAGGTGTCGATTGCCTGGATCTTTCCTCCTTCCATCCAGATAATGCGGTCGCAGCGGTTCAGAACCCAAAGCTGGTGGGTTGCCAAGATACGACATTTATCTTTGAGGAGGCCGAGAATGGCATTGTCGAATATGTGCCGGCCGACATGGGCATCAACAGCACTCAAAGGGTCGTCCATGATGACAATGTCAGAATCAAAGTAGATTGCTCTGGCAATGTTGAGTCGCTGCTTTTGACCACCAGAGATTGTGATACCTCTTTCACCGATCTCCGTTGCGTCGCCGTCAGGAAGCATGTCCAGGTCAGGTTGCAAGGCACAGCTATCATTGGAATATTAGTGAGGGCATTTGGGCACGGAATGGGAAGATCAGAGACTTACGCTTGGATGACATCGTTATACCATTCACGATCCAAGTCTTTGCCAAAAGTTATGTTGTTCCTGAGGGTGGCATTCTGAATCCAAGCATATTGCGGACAAAAGGCTCTCGAGGCACCAAGGACGACCTCACCTGATGTTCTCCGCATGTCACCTGCGAGAGCAGCCAGCAAACTTGTCTTGCCGCTGCCCACAGAACCAATGACAGCCACGAGCTCGTTCCGGCCAATCTCAAAGTTCAAATCCTGAATCTTGAAAGGCTCACGTTCGTCCACAAGGGTACTCGTGTCGTCAGATCCAGGAGCTTCCGACTTGGCATTTGCCTTCTTTGCAGGCTCGTTGCCGCCAGCAGTCTTTTCTGAATCTTGAGCCGTTGCGCGCTCCCAGGTGAAGCTGGCATTGACAACCTCGACTGCATTCTTGGCTTCTGGCTTGTATACGGCCTCATCGTCCTGCTCCTCGGACAACAAGAACTCTTGCGTACGTCTGAGAGACTCCCAGGCGTCCACAACTTGACCGATAACCAAGGGCAGCAAGTTGAGAGGCATACGAAGACCGTTGAACAGTGCAAGCGATGAAAAGACCTGTGCTGGGGCAAGATCGTGGCGAGTCAACGAATAAGCAATAAAAGACAGCATAGAGGCATAAATTGGCAACGACATGCTGACGGCGTTGATGGCGTTACGGATGGCCAACAGAATCTGAATGGCGTGGATCTCTCGGTCACGGATGTCCTTTAGTCTCTCCAGAAAGGCCATCTCCCAGCCAAAGTATTTGACAAATCGAACCGAAGAGAGAATCTCCTGAGTCAAGCTCACACGCTGATCAGTGATCTTGTTGATGACACTCCTCCGCCTGAACAGACTGCGGATGGCTCGAGTCAAGGCTGGAATACCAATAACCAGCAGCGCAAAACCGGCGAGAGCGCTGTACGTCAGATTGATCAGAAGGAGCACCAAAGTGATGAGACAGATGATGGGAGCGTTCCAAATCATGTGGAAGAGACCTGCCGCCTGGTCGATACGGTAGGTGTCAACACTCATTAGGTTCACAATCTTTCCGTTGCTCCATCCTGCTCCGTCATGTTGGGGGCCCTTTTTGCCCTTCTTTTCCTTTTTCCAGAATTTAGCTTTCGACTTGCTGCCCTTTTCATTTTCGTTGTCGGCGTCAGCTGCTGAATCGTCCTTGGGTTTATCCGTGCCAGCTCTCGCCCGGCCTGATATCACCATGGACTTTTCGTATACCACGCCGATAAGTACAGCTCGGACTTGGCCACCAATCATCATGCCGCGGTAGATGAAGTGGTTCATGCCTAGACTTTGCAGGACTTGCATGGCGGTCACACCAATGACCAGACCCATGCCGGCGCCAATGTGTGGCGCTGGCTCTCCAGCCTGTGAAGCGTTATACGCATCCGTGGCAAACTGAATCAGGTAACGCAGTGTGAAGGGGGATATGACCTGCATGATGGAAGCACCGAATTGGCAGAACCCTCCAATCCAGAATTCCCAAAAGAAAGTCTCGTGCAGAGCCCAGAGCAGGGGATACTTGCCGCCCTCCTTGACTTTCTTTTCAAAATTTGCTTGTAGCTTGTCTGTGAGTACATCTGCAGATCTATTTGGGTTGATAGTCCACAGATCCTTCATATCCAATTGTCTCTTGTAACCGGCCTTGAGAATATATTAGTATACATACATACGGAGTCTTTGCGACATTCCAAATCACTGAGATTGGAGGTACTTACCATCATTAAAGGCGCCATCCATTGGAACGTCAACCTACTGAGCCAGCCAGCGTGGTACTCTCGCGACTCGCCACGCTCTTCCGGTACGGGCGGAATCTTGCCCCATTTCAGGGGATCGGGTTGTTTATACCATGGTTTCGACTGTGGCGGCGAAGAAGCGCCCGTTGTGGTCCGCGTCAGTACGCTCAGGTCGGTAGCGGTGCTCTGTGTCCGCCGAATCTCCTCCCTCTCGGCACGCTTTTCATGCTCTTCCTCCTTGCGGCGGATCTCCTCCTCCGGGTCCAGGATGGGCGAGACGGGAGTAATGGGCTCGGACTCGTGGGTGGCGTTCACCGCGGCCGCTGGATCTACCGGCTCCAATTCCTCCTTCCTCAGCGAAGAGCTGTCCGTCATTTTGCCCCGTCTTCACCGCGAAACGGGAGGCGCGGTAAGGTGCAGTTGAAGCCCGGCCCCCAGATGCTGTGGCAAACTTATCTGTGCGGATGGCGACCGGTATGGAAAATATAGAATTGGGAGAGAAATATCAAGCGCCTCAAATTCACGGGCTGCGCAAAGAAATATGGCAGCACGGTTGTCTGGATTTTCTTTTCAACTTGGCGGCGATATATTCCCAATTAGTTCGTATCCCCGGATGTCTCTTCCGAAGCCAGTCCAGACGATTGACTGAGACGGGTATGAGATTCGCCTAAAGATAAGATACCCTCGCCGAATTAGTAGAGGCAGGGATGGGACATGAGACGACGACGACAACGACTACTCCAAAACCTGGTTCCAAGAGAACAGAAAGGGAACAAGGCTCCAGGAGAGGGGTGAAGGCCGAATTATGTACACTGGGAGAAAGGGGAAGGGAACGAAGAAAAAACGAAACAGTAACGGAGCCTGGACGGCTTTAAAGAACTGGGGGGGTTAGAAGAAAATGTGCCCATTGAAGATAGTTTTATGATGCTTTGACTCTTAGGTAGAAGGTGCCCCGCAACTGCACACGAAATAGACAAGGGGTACAAAGTTACCGTCCCTTTTTTTTTTTCCCTCGCTTTTTTTTTCTCCCCCTTCTCTGGTTCTACTCCTCTCTCTGTTCCCTGTGTGTCTCCGGATTTTACTATCAGAGCAACCCCGTGCCGGCTTGCGGATAGCCGAGACAGGCCGCAGCAGCAGATTCGCAACGAGAAGGCCCCATCTCGATAGGGCAAGTGACATGGGGTGTGGTCTGGAAGCTGGGGGGGTTTCCCCCGTCTGATTCATTCACTATGGGGCCTAAAGGTACCTAAACTGTAGGCAGTCGATTAAACACGTAGGGCAGACAGCGATTAGTGGACGGAGGGACAGTGGATTCGTACAGAGTACCGTGAGCTAAACTAATGTAACAGGTGGTGACGGCATCGGATTAGTGGGCGATAACCTCCGGGAATTCAGTGTTCATGTCCTACCTCACTGATGTGTCTTCTTTTTCCTCCCCTTCCAGAATGCGGGCGTTGCTGCACGGAATTCAGGTTGCATTCCTAGCGCAAACGGTTCACCACTCGGAGCCCTCGATTTACACCCCGCGGGTCGGGTCTGGCGTAAACGTGCGTTCGAGCGAGTACATGCTGTATGATGATGTACACTACTTAGGTATTTACTTGCCCAGGGTGCTGACTTCAACTAATCAAGTTCCTCACTGAATGATTGAGTAAACAGTCACTGCCGAATTAGTCATATCCACTGTCCGTGGCTACGTTCACTTGAATTCATCATGTTTTAATTTTTCGCCTCAATTTCTTCCTAAAAATTGGCGTACCTAGGCAGCCTGTTCTCAAAATTGCATCTTTGTATACAAATCATGGCCCCGAGATTGATTAGTGTAGTTGATCGACCTAGGCGTGTTTTAGCGTCTGCTAGACCTGCCGCCTGGGCTGGGAGCTTGGCGCTCTGGGCGAACGATAGGTCTTGCTTCGGGAGGCTAGAGCCGCGAGGAAGGAGTGGAGGGGACAAGGACTTGTACTGAAAAAGCACTACACCCACTCTTGAGTAGAAGCAGAGTCTCTTGTCATTACAAAGCAATCGCCAGGCTCAGTCATTTGACCTTTGGGAGTTTCGGGTTTCGATGTTGTCATGTCCCCGAGAGATTTCGTAATAGTATCATGAAGCACAAGTCCTAGTGTTAAAGTCTACCTAGTCTCCTTGATTCCTTGAGATTCTCCCATAATCACTATTTGGTGAATTACAAACATTTCTTGCGGGATACATTATGTTAGATCGGAATTGCCCACATGGTCTTAAGCAACCCTTATGTCCGCTGCTAAGGCACCCGCTAAACGGCCCGGGTGGGCGTCGTTTTTGTTGAAAATAAGGTATGCCTCTTGATGGGTTGCCCCCCTCCGCCTTTTAGCAGGTTTTTACTGTAGCAAGACGTGCTGTAGTGTACATGTGTCGGTAATGTAGTGTAATGCAATGTCATGTACAAAGTAATCAGATCGAACCGGCGATTTCACAAAATGCCGATGTCTCCTGCCCACCAAAACATTCCCATCAAAGTGTGCCAATTGACAACATCACATTGCGGTGTGACGGGTCTGGCACCCACTGAAGTAACCTCACATACACTCTTTTGAGGATAGCCTCATCAAGGTACATATGCCTGCAGGATTGGTTCATACGGCATACGGCAGCAGCCATCATGATTCAGCTTACAAGGCCCTGCTAAGCATTCGTTTACCATGACAACGTCATTCCTGTTTGTCATATTGGCATGTCCCTTTTTGTTTACAGAGAAAAAAGAGTTTTGTACTGCATAGTCTAGCATGGTCCGAATGGTCCATTATGCGGGGTGGAAGCATTACAAAAAACGTGTGCTGAGTTCTTAACCCTGATAGCCGCCGAATGTTTTTTGATCAATTATTAATACAAGGTACTCGGGGTCTTTCTGCCCAGACTCCTCGCAGTTTACTATAGTCCGAGCGGCCCCACTATAGTACTTCGCCCAAGAAACAGTTTCGTTCCTCGTCCCTTTTTCCTCTCTTGTCATTTGCAATAGTGACTGTGTAAGTAAGCAAGCCCTCGATGCGGTGAGTCTATGTCGGCCGTACACCATTCGGCAGAAGGATCAGTTCGCGGCCCTTGCTGGGCGGGGACACTGAGTCACTGACCCCATGCGAGATCCGAATCCGATATTCTAGATGTCCTCGGTCAACACCCCGGCTGACAACCACTTCAACCCCCGATGATCATCAAGGCAGTACAACACAAGAGAACGTAAATGCGTTATGTTGTATGACAGGAAGAAGAAGAAGAAGAAAAAAGTCAATTGCAAAGATGCGGCCGAGTCAGGCCACAACGTAATGAAAGAGCTGACTGGCGCTTCGAGAAAATCAGATTCACGCCGAAGTGCTGTCCAAGTACGGAATTCCCGCCTTGCAATGTTTGAGAGATGGAAAAGTCTCCGAACTCCGTCGATGGGGCACACCCGTATCTGACTTAGGCTAACCCTCGCTTTCGCAAACAATGCTTCAATGACAATAGTGGAACAGCTTAACGTGTAGAATGTATCTGCACTCATGTTTCCAAGGGACTCTTGACTAGACTCCAGGGACCTTATCACGTAAACATTTCCAGCCCAGCAAATACCCTTGAATCCCAACCCCCATCTAGAAACAAACTGAATCCTTCCCAGTGTCTTCTGCTGTGCATGGGGAAAGGAATTCCAACGAAAGCCATCCCTTATCCGCGCAAACCCCGAGCCGAACCGACCCCTCCAAGAGTCTATTCGGAGCCGTTCACGCCTATATGGCTGGGCATTCCCCACAGGCTGCACCGCGTACCTTAGCATTGCTTCTTTTTGTTTTGATTCGTTGGTGTGTATTCCATAGATGACCTTGATCGAAAAGAGTCATCTGGAACTTCTGCCTGATCTGCGGTTCTCTCGTAATAAATCTTTTTGCAAGGTCAACCAGGCTTCACTAGGGCGACTTCTAACTACACAAGTTGTCAAGACAGTCATATGGAACTTCTGTCTCTGAGCCTAGTCTAGCCTTGTTCGCCTTTCTTTCCCCTCCAAAGAGTCCAGAACACAACGACAAATGATTATGTCGAATTTACCATGAACGAGCAGCAGTTTCGAGACAGTGCATGGGACCACTTAGGCTGGCTCTATCTTAGGCAGAGTGATACGCCACTATGTAGCTGATGGTGAGTATGGCTATCCGTGAATAGCCTCATAGACACTGCTAGTCAGACGGGAAAGCTTTCTCATTCCCGTTTGTGGGCAATTATCGTCATCATCATCATAATCTTTATTTCTTTATCCTAGAGTCGTATCACGGAAATTTATCCTATATGTCAAGTTCGCTCTCTTCCTCGGTTGATCCTTCGTCGAATACTGCCTCCGACCCTCCTCGCATTTCTCTCTCCTCGTGATATCTTGTCTGAGTTTCAGCCCTTTCTTGAGCTGCCCGTCCAGCCAGGAACCCTCTTACGGCTTGGGTTTCGAACCTAGCATCTGAGGACATGGCATTTTGTTCCGCATCCTCGTCCCCGGTGACGTGGCCAAATAGACAGGTCCACAGATCGTTCTGGTCAACAACTTCGCCCAGACGGGTGTCCTTGTCCATTAGCTTGGGCAGATTTGCTTGTTGCAGCTCCATAGAATTCGCAACCTCCAGATTGTCCTCGGATATGGTAGGTACCGATGACTCCGTCTCCTTGCCTTTCCTGGTCGTTGCCATGTGCTCGAGTCTTCGTTTTGTGGAAAGATTGTATATAGACTCTTCTACAGTTCCTTCCACGAGATATAGCCAAACATTGGTTTCGTGAGTTTGACCAATTCTGTCGACTCGAGCGATTGCTTGCAGCTCTAGTGCCGTGTTCAGCAGTGGCTCACAGAGAAACACGTGGTTCGCGTTGACGAGGTTCAAGCCACTGGCATGCGCTCTTGCGTCCATCAGAAAACATTCGATCGCTGGATCCTCTTTGAAACGAGTGATGCCATTCTTGGTGGAGAATGATAAATTCCCAATATGATGTCGATTCAAGGCTTGTCTCAAGATGTCAAGAAAGGCGCCAAATTGTGAGAATATGATTGATTTGGCTCCGGGATCGGTCTTGCGCAAAAAGAGAAGATGGCGGATGAGTGCAGTCACCTTGGTGGGCATCACATGACCATCCAATGGGATATCATTGATCTCCTTCAGCTTATCCTCCCCGAAGCTGGTATATATACCTTGTGTCCTGGACTGATGCTGAGATTCCGGGGAGTGTGGATCATTCAAAATTGCTGACTCCTGATCCTGGCGAAGCTTGAGCTTTGGTTCTCGGGCGATAATTTTATGGCAGTCTCGCATCGACACTGGCTTTTTGCAGAGGGGACAACGGTGGTGAGCTGCAACCCAAGTTGCGATGCACTCTTCGCAAAATTCATGGGTACATGGTGTAAGGATGCCGACTGTGTATGGATCTGTACACACTGGACATATTTTCTTTTCGGAAGTCTGCCCTTGATCCTTGAGATGAACTTGATAGCGCTGCGCTGCTACCTCGTCTTGAATCTTCCGTTGACACCTTGCCTCCTCATTGAGGAGGTCACGCATGCGTATGTCGTCTTTTTCAAGATCTTCTCGATCCCATGTTGCGACCGTGTCAGAGAGTGCTTGCAGCTGGCGGTAATACTCAACACGAGCATTCATTGCCGATGTGAAGAATCCGAGTTCCTTTTCCAAATTCGCGTTTGCTTTGGTCTGTTTGACAGTATCTTCTTGAACCAGTTTCTGTAGGTCGCGAACAATGCGTAGTTCCGTTTGCGAACGCTCCGAATTATCACCGTGTAATTTTGTGGCAAGCTCACGCAGGTCTGAAATGAGTCCGCGTAAAGAGCCTTGAAGGTCTTTTGGCCGTGACTCATCGCGCAATTTCAACAGCCCTAGAAAAGTTTCTGGAGATGGTCCCTCGCCTTGCGTTGCTTGCCGTTTATAGGATGCAAGCTCGTGCTTGGTGCGTTCGTTCACCAAACCACTGAGCGCTTCTTGACGATCGGAAATTGCGGCCCTGAGTATGGTCGTATAGACCATTAAATCATTTTGTATCTTTGTGGAGTCTTCGTATTCCTCGCCGGTGATTTCCTCCTCCTCTCGGTCAACGAGTGGCCTGAGAAGTAGCTGAATGACATGCTCGCGCAGCTGATCCACCATATTTGCTTGCTCGTTCAGGACCTCGATGAGTTCTTCATACTGGTCAACATGGCGTCGGGTTTCAAGGCCACCTCTTATGCTGCTCTTGAACTCGGGGATATCCACAAAGGATTGCTTCTTGGCCTTCTTGGACAATTCTGTCATGTACAATGCCGCCTTGGTGTTTGTCTCCTGGAGAATTTCTTGACGGATCAAATTGGCATTCTTATAGCCATCAGCCTCAAGCTTTTCTAGACGTCCAAATTCATCAGAGTTCGGATCAGTCATCTTTTCGTTTGACTTGATCTGAAAGTAGGCACTTGCGATGAAGAATACCGCTCTGTGTTTTAGATCCAAGGCGCTGCGGAGTCTTCTGCGTGCTTCGCCAAGACGAGGGAGTATGTTCTGCTGATCTGAACCGTCTTCAAAGTCACCTTCATCATTGATGACTCGCTGTTCATCTTCTGTAGTGATACCCGCGTTCTCTAATTCGGACATCATCTGAGAGCGACATTCGATTTCCAGGGCCTCGATCTCAAGCAGCGCCTCTGACCATATGGCCAAAGCTTCCGGAACACGGGGAGAATTCTCCAAAAGTTGACCTCTCCTCAGCTTAGCAAGGAGATATGATCGCTGCCATTGCTTGATGACTGAATCAGTCTGTTCAATCATTGCGTCCAATACTTCGTCAATCGTTTTCAGAGCTTTGCTTATGCTGCCGCCCAGTGCACGTGCTCGTTCCGGCCCAAGTTGTGGATGCAGCACTGTCTGTCTCAATGTAGCCAAGGCCCGTCGCATTTGATCAATGGTCGAAGGTTTATTTGCGTCCCAGTCTGCAGGGACGATAGGGACGCCGTTTTCATACAAACCTAGGGACTCTGCTTCTCTCTTGAACCTGCTCCGATAGTTTTGCTCTTCTACTGCGGTAAATGGCATCGTGATGACATACCGCCTTTGAGGTGGAAGCACCAACTCGCTCCTGACCGCATGCTTGGTATGGCGCAGAGCTAATCTGTTGAAAAGTTGTGTGAAGTAATCCCGGTGTCTTGATATAAGAGTGTCCCAGGTGGCCGGATAAGACGCAAATGGTTCATAGCGGAGAAATCGTAAAAGACCCCAGAGATCTTGGATTTTCTCTTTGACGGGAGTACCGGTAATGCCCCAGGCATTGACTCTCGGTATCAGCCTGGCAACTTCTGCAGCAGCGCTAACACCACTCTCAATTTGCTGTGCTTCGTCCAAGCAGACGCGCCACCACGAGAGCTTGACTAGTGGTGATGTTGCGCGAGCACGCTTCCGTTCGTGCCGCCTTGAGCGTTCCGGCTCTGGTCGTGTCAAGTGAATTTCAGCTCGCAAGCTGCTGTATGTTGTCACAACCACGTCGCTCTCGATCATCTGCTTTTTGAGCTCCTCTACAGTTTCCTGGTGTTTGAACAATCCATCGTACACCATGACGCGTAGCGCCGGGGCGTGACTCTTGATCTCTGAAATCCATTGCTTCTTCAGCGTCTCCGGTGTTACGATGAGCGTCGCACCAGTCGGACAGACCTCTTGATCAGTGTACGCATCCCTGATTATGCCCGGCACAAGTGGTCGACGATGGAGCAGGATCAGAGAAATCGCCTCGACAGTCTTGCCAAGACCCATTTCTTCTGCTAAAATACCTCCTTTGATTATGTATTCGAGGTCCTGCCAAGGTCGAACATCCCGTGTCACGACATGGTAGAGAGCGCTATGATACAATAGATCTCCATTCGCATCCTGGATGTTGTGGAACGATATCGGTAGCTTGTGCTCGTGCTGTGGCGAGGTGGGTGTCAGTCCATGGAGGCCGTTGTTACCAGTCGGTGCCCAGCGAACTCCTTCTCTGGCGAGCAACCATTGAAGGGCTCTGCGTTGGAAGGGGTACAAGCTAGACGTGAGACCAGGAATGACAAAAGAGTTCAGGTCAGTGTAGCTTTCGTCAGTAATGCAAGCTGCTTCATAGAAGGCTTGCGATGACTGCACCCCGATATGGCTCCCCACATCTGTGTCGCTTGCAAAGAAGGTCTTCTGTATGTCATCAGTGATCCTGCGCTGTTGTGGAGTTCGAAGACCTTTGTAGATATCGTTGCATTCGTTCCACTTCAAGGAGAAGTCCAAATCCAGATGGTGTCCGTCGTCCAACTCATCAAAAGTGACGTCTACCGAAACATAAACGGCTCCATCGTCAGCAGGATTGTCCCGACTGCGGTTGCCAATATCAAGAATCTTGATCAAATTTGGCGATAAGACGCCGATGTTCTCTGTCTCCAACTCAATCTTGTATCGACCATGTCTGCTGGTGGGCATAGTAGAGAGCACCAAAGCTTCGAGGACATTTTCGGCCCCTTCCGGGGCGATATCCGCCTGGAATTTGATGAAGCGCTCGATCCTATGACGCTGAAAAGTGGCGAGCGAAGGTTGCAGCGCCGCATGTCTGCGACGTTTCAAGGACAGACTTGATTTGGCAACGGTGACTGCCTGTTGCCCCTCCCACCGTGAACGCTTTTGCGGAGGCTCATCCTGACTGGTGTGTGATCCCTCACTGAGATCATCCGAAGAAGATGAAATGAGTTCGAGAAACTCGAGAGGGAAGGGCTCTATAAGGTTTTAGTTTGTGAATTGTATACTATTAGGGAAAAACATGGCGATTTGGGGATGGTATGTGGGATGCGAAACAGAACCATATCTCTGGTGTTGGAGAGTGACTTACGATCTGTTTCCGACTTTACAACGGTTTGGGTAGCCTTAGTCGGCTTTGATCTCGCTTTGGATGAGCGAGCCATGATTGACCAAGCTCGAATCCAAAATCACAGGTGACGGTGGTGCAAGATCAACCATATAGGCTATTCCTCAATGATGCTGTTTGCGGGCTTCGTAATCGCCACACTGAAATTGTTGGAAGCTTTTGGGGAAAGAACTCCGACAGGACAAGTCTGAAGCCACAGACGTTCCTGCGATGGCAAGGTTGATGAGGAAATGGTATAATTTATCTTTGCAACCAATGAGACGCAAAGAAAGAAGGAGTATGCGTTTGTCGTCGCATCTTCTTTGAAAGACTTAATATAAGTTCAAAAGAAAAGCGTGGTAGACCGGACCTCAAGATGGGGGAGTGGACGACGTAGGCATGAAGAAGGGACAGTGAGAGAAGCAGTAGGGGGAAACAAGAAAGAAAGAAAAAGGATGAGAAGATGATGGGGGAATGGATAAGGTCTAGGTAGGTAGGCAGCTAAGGGTCCAAGAAGGTCGGCCCGCGGGGCAAGGCTACTCTTATAAATGTATACTCCCTCTTCCGTACCTGGCAGCCTCTCAGTGTTTCTCCGCTGGTATGACCGCGCTAGTCTAATAAAGATCTAGCGTATTTCACGCTCTTCCACCTCGGAACCAATTAGAGACTGGACATCTATCGGAGTTTAGCGAATTCTCTGGCCGACCTAGCAAAAAGTTACACGGATACTAACAGGGGTGAGCTTCGGCTCTGAAGATTTTCCAATTGGCAGCGACGACAAGGCGAGCCAAAGCAGTAGACGGCGCGAGCGACGACGACGACAACGACAAAATTTCCGCCCCTACGAGTCCTATACCCACGAGGACTGTGTCCTGAACCTTTGTGAGATTTGCAAGGCTTGCAGCATCTCTCTAAATCGCCCATCATGGGTGCACTCAAAGTAGGCTGACTCCCTCAATGGCGCCTGTCATTTTCTTTTGGTGATGGAGTGGCAGCTAACCTGTCTGAACAGCCCGTCTTCCGCCCGCAGCTTCTGCGCCAGACCCTCACACAAAACGTGATCCGCCCCGCGACAGTCTTCGGCCCGTCATCAACGATACGGGCGTCCTCGTCCGCAGCGAGCCGGCCTGCGCCCATCATCCCAGCGCCCACGCCATTCTGCCCCGACGCCCCGACCTTTCTCAAGCTCATTGGCCGGGGCCTGAGTGCTCACGCCTCCAAATTCCCATCATGGGAGTCGCTCTTCTCTCTCACATCCAGCCAGCTGGCCGAGCTCGGTGTCGAGCCGCCCCGGACGCGGCGGTACCTCATTGAGTGGCGGCAGCGCTTCCGGAGGGGTGAGTTTGGCATTGGCGGCGACCTGAAGCACGTCTCGCCCGAGGGCACTGCGGAGCTGCGCGTGCTCGAACATGACGCGAACCCGTCCATTCCCAAGAAGTACGTCGTCAACGTGCCGGAAGGAAAGTCGGTGGAGGAGACTGCACCGGAAGAGCTGAGCCGGGTGTCTGGCTACAGGGTCCAGGGCGCCAAGACCATCATTGGACCGTATGCTCTGCCCTCCGGAAACGGCATTGCCAAGATCACGGTTACTGAGGGCATGTGGGAGGACAAGAGAGGCAGGAAGATTGACGGTGGTGAGAGAAGAAGGACAGAAATCCGCTACAAGAAGAGAATCCAGGAGCGTCGCGAGATGCGTGAGAGAGGCGAATTGGCTTAAAGGAGTTGCCATGAGGATTGTACGCGTCACGTCGTCTTCGCTGTCGGACTATACCTTTTTGTACAAAAGGCCTTCACTTGAGCCATGTATACTATCTTAAAACAAGTGTATAAACTGTAAAAATGATCTTCATGCCAGAATTCATCAGGCTTCTGGGCCTTTTGAGTCCCTTCTTATTGTTCACCAGTGTAGGTATTTATGCATAACTCCTAAACGCCATACCAGTATGCTATCCTGTGGGCCATGACTTGGGAAACACTCAAGTCTACTTCGCGGCACCAAAATCGAGTTTTCTCGCAACTTTGCTCCCTCGGTCTTCGTCGATGGTACCTGGCGGTCTCTTGAGATCGGCAGCAAGCTTTTCATCACCTCCAGCTTTGCGAGGTAGGTCCTTCTTCCGGGTCGGCTTGGGTTCTTTGCGCCACCACTCATGCTCGAGCATTTCACGTGCAGTTATCCGCTTCTTGGGGTCAAGGATCAAGGTCTTCATGAGCAAATCAATACCATCAGGGCCCAACGATCCGAACCATTGTTGATAGTGTGCTCTCGGCTGCACGGGCGTGGCTTTGTCTGCAGTAGTGTAGCCCTTCAACGACGTGACACCAGGCCAATTGTCCTCGGTGGGTGTGCCAACAAAGTCGCAAATGAGCTTGATCTGGGCAAGCTCGGTGTCGCCGGCCATATAGGGAACCCTGAGAACTAGCTCGGCAATAACACAGCCAACCGACCATATGTCAACTGCCCCCGAGTAGTGCTTTGCGCCAAACAGCAATTCGGGTGGTCGATACCACCGAGTAATGACATTCGAGGTCATGGGCATGTAAGGATCCGAAAAGCTTCTTGCCAGACCAAAATCAGCGAGTTTGACCTCTCCATCGGCCGCGATCAGCAAGTTATTGGGCTTGATATCGCGATGCAGAACAAAGTTTTCGTGGCAAAACCACACTCCTCGCGTGAGCATACCTGCCCAAGCTTTTATATCGGCCGCACCATAATGTATTCCTTTTTCGTCCTTGATGAGCATTTCCAGATCGCCCAGCGGCAGGTACTCGAGAACGAGGTTCAAATTCTGGTCTTTCGACGAAAAGACGGAATGGAGTGTAATGATGTTGGGGTGCGAAAGCTCCTGGAGATGCTTGATTTCGCGAACGGCATCAGGGGCCATACCCTCCGTGTACTCCTTTTGTACCTTGATCTTCTTGATGGCAACCAGCTCGGACGGGTTGTTGCGCAGGTAGCCCAAGTAGACATTGGCATAGGTACCTTCACCTAGCTTCTTGCCTGTCGTGACCCGGTAAGCTCAAGATGATAACGCAAAGTGTCACCATCATAGCACCCACCTTTGACATATTTGCGCTTCTCTTCCTCATTCAGTTGTTCCGCAAGGTCAAGGGAAGCCGACTGCACTGCAACATTCACATTGGGGGTAACCGTCGCAGCAGGGGTCCCCGTAGAAGAGGCCACGGCCGAATTGACATTCTTGAGCGGCGATGTTGCCGGTCTCGCAGTGGCCGCATTCGCCGTCTGGAGCACCTCAGATGGCTGCAGGACCATAGGCGAGACAGCCATGATTGCGGCAGGCTCAATGCGACTGAGCTAGATCCAATCTCAAGGTTTGACTGCGGTCGAGGAAGCGGGATGGTTTGATCCCCAGCCTTACTGCGTCGACGAGGTGCGGTAGTCGCAGAAGCTCGTTATTGGTCGTCGTTGTGTGATGGCTTGACGAGGCTGTCGAGCTGCAAAAGGTCCAAGCTCAAATCAAGCCTAGCGCGGAGTGAGCTGATCCACCCAAAAGGGGATCGTCTGCAGGGGTCTTGATGTTGGCCTACCGACGGGCCCCCGGCATTGACGTCATGGTCATCAAAAATCATGGTCAACCACTGCAACGATTACCTCGATCCAGTGTAGGAGTCTGCGACAATTGAGCCGGAACAGGAACTGGAAAGACTGGAAGTAACCCAGCCTAGAACCTGCTAGTTTTCTTAGTGTCTCGATCAGCGCAATACCGAGATTGTACTGACGCAGCCCAGAGTGGCTCTGTTGTTCACGAGCCATACCTACCGGCGTTAAGAAGGACCCCGGGATTGCGCGTCCGGGGGAGCAGCCAACAGCAGACCATCGACCATCGCAACCCAAGCCCAGCAAAGTCCACTTAATATGACGACACCCAGGCCTGAGTCGAGCCGCTGAGCCTGACAACAAGACCACAGCATTACTAGTAATATAATCTTCCCTTGCCTGTCAATTTTTTTTCTTTCCTAGACCCGACCACAAACAATTTCAAATTCCAACAAAAAAAAAACATTCTCACAATCTGCGTGCTGCAGTCATTTGCAACGTCGCAGCCACGATGAAGTTCTTTTCTTACTGGGTAAGTGATTGTTGATAATCATCACGACACGTCAAGTGGTAAATATGCTGACGCGCGACACAGTGGTTTCCCGTCATTTCGGGTTTGATGTGGCTAGCGACCCTTCTAGGTCTGCTGCTACACTGGATTATTGATACCCATAGAACGCATTATTCGTCCATGGGAGACTCGCAGCGCATTGCCTACATTTCAGACGTCGGTGCCGCGGAATTGAAGCCCTTGTTCGTGGTTGGGTGTTGCATTACAACCATCTTCTTGGATCTGTCTTTTGCGACCGACAGATGGCTGCGACACAAGGGGCGTCTGGTTCCCAACACAACCATCGGCGAAAAGATTCTTTCGGGTCTCACCATCTTCTTCGCCCTCGTCGGCACCGTTGGACTTTGCTTCCTCTCTGGATTTGACACTGCCCATTATCCCAAGTTGCACGACATTTTTCTCTTGCTTTTTATTGCCGGATACCTACTCTCGGCCATCTTTATCTGCTGGGAATACCAACGCCTGGGAATCAGTAAGTTGACCTTGTTGTTGTTGTACCATATGTCTTGAGCCTGACTAACCACCACACAGGAAACCGCGAACACCGCGTTCTTCGCATTTCCTTCTGGGTCAAGCTCGTCTTTGTCCTTGTCGAACTGGTTCTTGCCATCGCCTTCGCCGTTACGAACTTTAGAAAGAACTACAATGTGGCTGCCATTTTGGAATGGGTGATTGCATTTGTCTTCTCCTTCTACGTCTTTTCGTTCTTCATCGACCTGTGGCCAGCCGTCAAGACCAAGCGCGGCATGGGCTTCAAGACTGCCGGTATGGCCGAGCATTCGCCAAACCAAATGGAGGAGAACTACCACCACTCCGGTAGCAACCTCTCCGGCAACCCGCGATACACGGAGGACAGCACACGACCAATGAACAACGGATATCAACCACGCGGCGCGAACTTTTAGAGAAAAGGATAGCGTCTCAATGAACGCGCTGCACGGCGCCTACATGCATTCAAGTGCTACGTACGCACTACTTTAGAAAAAGATACCATATATCCGGGGGCAGAACGACATGATGATACGAGAAGGAAAATGATGGCACGAATCTAAGAATGGATCAGAATTTTGCATTCGCGAGGCGTTCCGGGGTTCATCAAATCTAGAGTTTCAAAACGATCTAAGCTTGGATCGGGTTGATATCACAATGTTTAATCAGCTATAGTTTAATTGATAACTTTATATCATATTCCAGGTTACACTTTTGCAACACGGGAGACATTGCCAACAATGACACGCTGCTGGTAAACTTTGTCAGTCTCCACATTTTATTTCCTTGCTAACCAGGTAGTTCAACCTTTCTACCACATTATGCATTACTATCTTTACGGACTGTGTTTTAGATTGCTGCCTCATTGTTGTCTCAGTGACCCGTGTCCTGAGGCCATTCCTCTAGCACAACGCTATCTCCAGTCAAGGTGAAATTCCAAGTCGCCCTTGTTGGAACGTCAACCAACAGACTGTACGCCCCAGGGTACAAGACCAAGTTGCCAGCCTCGTCGTGCCTGCCGAGACTTCCCAGGGTCAAGTTGAGCACGACTGTCGCCGTAGCAGACCCAGGCGCCAAGTCAAAGAGTCGCTGGTATGCCACCAGCTGCTTGAGCGGGTACGGCTCCGGGCCGAATGCGCCGGCGAGGAAGCCGAGCGCCACATAGTCGGAGGTGACATTGCCCGTGTTATCAACGGCCACGGCGACGCTCTGGAATGGGCAGAGGTCCTTGTACTCCTCGTTACAGGCCGCAATGAGCTCGCCAATGTCCCAGCCCGCATCGTCGGTGGCATTGCCCGTGATGGAAATATCAAACTCAGTATAGTGCAGTCCGTGTCCAAACGGCACCGTCGCCTCGCCAAACCACTGGTACGTCCGGCCCGGGTTGCCGGTCGTCTCGTTGGGACGGAGGCTCATGTCCGTCATGGCAACCCGGTTAACGTAGTCTGCCGGGTACTGGGTAACGGGCAGGCGACCGGCAGGCGCCGTAGCTCCCGTAATGATGTTCATAATGGCATCACCGCCCGCTTGGCCCGGGAAGCCCGCCCATAGGATGGCCGAGACGTTTTCGTGGCGCAGGTACGGCGCGTCGTCGAGCTGGTCGCCCATCTGCACCAGGACAAAGGGCTTGCCCAAGCCCGCAATCTGCGTCATGATGTCCTGGCGCTCTCCCGTCCAGTGGATCGTGTTTCGGTCCTGCTCTTCGCCACTGTTGGATCCGTCAACGTAGATGATGACGTCCGCCGTCAGACCTGCCCAAAGCGCCGCCGGCCAGGAGTCGGTCGTCGGGTCACCGGGGCTGCCGCCGTATACCACGTTGACGCCCTCTAGAGAATTCGCCGCCGTCAGCGGGTTGTGCACAAAAGGGGCGATGCCGGCGTAGTTGCCCTGCATCTGGGCGGCGGATGCATTAGCCCAGGGGCCGACGAGAGCAATCGTCAGGTTTCCAGTCTCGGGTATCGCCAGCGGTAGGGTCCCGTCGTTCTTGATCAGCACGATGCCCTCTTCTGCTGCCTTGAGAGCCAGCTCTTGCGCCTCTGGAGTGTTGACGTCGGCAAAGGCAAGAGAGCGGTACGCAGTCGATGACGCCGGATCAAACATGCCCAGTCTGACTTGTGCCGAGTACAACCGGACCAAGGCCTGGTCAATCACGGTATCGTCAAAGAGGCCTTGCTCATAGGCAGCAGGGAGGTGCAATGGGTAGTACGTCCCGCAATTGAGATCGGTGCCGGCAATGAGCGAGTCGGCAGCGGCGCCCTCTCGTGTAAGCGAGTAGTTGTGCGGCAGAAAGACATTTTGTATAGCATCGCAATCAGATACCACATAGAAGCCGTCGTCGGTCCAATTCCAGTGATCTCTAAGGACGTCTTGTAGAATATACGAATTGGCGCAGGTCGGTACTCCGTTGAGTGCATTGTACGAGCACATGATGGATGCGACTTTTGCATCTCTTGCGCAAGCCTTGAAGGGCTGCATATAGTACTCACTCAATTCTTGCGAGTTGATGATGGCGTCGAACCCATAGCGCTCGTTGCCGCCCCAGTTCTCAATGTCATAACCGGCAAAATGCTTGCAGGTTGCCACGACCTTGAGGTAATCTGGATCATCTCCCTGAAGACCGCTGATGAGCGCCTTGACGTAGGACTTGATGTGGAAGGGGTCTTCTCCCGGCGTCTCCTGACCACGTCCCCATCGTGGATCGCGGTAAGGGTTGACTGTAATGTTTGATGTCAGTAGACGTTATTGCAAATATGGACATATGAATACCCCTGCCGGTCATTAGGTTTCCAGTGGCATTATGGAACTCATGTTACCCATTATCGCCTTCAACACTCGTTGGATAGGATAAATATTGTTATGGATTTTACTCACTATTTGGTGTCCAATAATCCAGCCCAGAACGGTTGGCATTATTAAAAGCCCTTGCTTCTGTGCTAATCACCGTGGCAACTGCTTCAATGAGGGCATCATCGAATGCTGCCCCCATCAGAATGGGTTGCGGAAAGGATGTAGCATAAGAGTAATTCCCAGAAGAAGCAAACTGAACTCCAGGGGAACTCGCTACTCCATGCAATGCCTCCTCTATCGTCGTCGTTAGTACCTAGACAGTCCTAGTGAAAGCCGAGCTTTCAAATCCTCGTTGACCACTTACGCCACCATTCGTAGCTCGGAAGCCCAAGACGCGGGACCCCCGGCGAGGTGCTGCCGACAAGTTGAAACTTTTCCGGCGTGGTCAATACCGCAACGAGAGCCTTGGCACGGTCCGGGACAGAGGCGCTGGTATCGCAAATGGTATTGTTGGAGAGAGGTCCATTGGCACAGTCCGGGAAGAGGTGGCCGGCCGCCGCCGCTCCCGAAACCAGCAGGCTCAACGCTGTTCCACGTAGGACGGACATTGCTGGATATTTTGAATCGTTGTGTCGACTCACATCGAGAAAATCCCCTCGTGTGTCCCGGATGTCCAACCTTTTATATCGGGTCTCGTGCTCGACATCTTCTCGAAACCAGAAAACGCGTGATGTTCTCCGCTCGAAAAGACGGTCCTTTTCATTCTGTGGTTCCACTTACACCAATTAAACCTGATGGAATACCTCGGTGAAAGCTAATAATATTCACTGCGTCATTGCCGGGCAGTATACCGTGGATATGTATAACATCAAGCCGCAGAGCAAACGAATCAAGGATTTGTGCAGCTGGTCTTCCGACTTTTTCCCGCACCAATCAATTGTCGTTTATGGAGATATGGACGCAGCTATAGAGCATCATGAGTTGAGGTCGAAGCGCAGATCCTTGAAGAGAATCTCCAAAATGTATTTAGCCTATATAGGAGCGGCATGCGGAGAACGCGGGGAGTTGGGGAATTAAGTTCTTGGGGGAGGGATATTATGGAGAAAATCAACATTGCCATTTCCTAGTGGATCTTTCATATTCCATGATCACACACCGTTCCCGTGCCGAGAGTTCGCATCTTGACAACAGCCGCAAAATCTACTACATTATGCCGCAGATCGTATTCTTTCCAGACATTACACAAAGCACAATCTGGATTCTCGCGACTCGTCGTACATATGCAATAATAATTGAAGAGGGGATAAGAGAAATAGCAAAGGTATAAGCTATTTGTAATTACTATCTTGTGCTACCGGACCAGTAATAGTAGATGAAAACCATATTCTATCTCATGCCCAAGCGTACATTACCAATCGAGAAATGCTAAGAGACTCAAGCACTGTCTTTAAGCATTTCTCGATGGCTGGATTAGGGATCATATCGACTATTAGACCTTGAATAAAACGGGCACATTCGAGGGCACTTGATAATAAAATTAGACACAATATCATGTCTGGAAAAATTGGGCTACTGTTGTGATTGAAATATGCGAAGGGGGCTTTTAGATGGCACGAAGGACAATTTATCAACTGCACTGAGTGGTGGAGCACAAATTCGCCCGTCTTTCCTGCGACATCCCTCGACCAGTCCTGGCTGTTTGTAGGGGTATAATCTTGATTAAGCGCCCTAACGCACTATAATGTTGAGAATAAATTGGCGGCAGCAATACAGGCTCGCACAAAGTCTGGCTTCGCATTGGTCGGCATAAAAGGATCGAAGTAACATTCAAAAATTTGGAACCCCATATTCTGTTATTTTGTACTATGCACGTGCATCGTGTATCATCTTGGCAACTCGTTGGACTCAAATATCGATTTGTGCGCTTGAAACCTACCAGGGGAAATAGTCTTGGTTCTTGATGCGAACATACCGATTGCCTTGTCTAACTAAGTATCTATGTGACGAGCGATCGATACTTGCTGTGGGGGAATGGTTCTCCTAAACAGCTGTCGCAAGTTTCTTTCTCGTGGAAGCCAAAGACTATGAATGTCTCGAGGATGGGGTATATAAGAGACCAAAAGATACCCAGACTTATCATCAAATCACATTGGCAGGCAGACAGCTTTATGCAACAAAGACAAATTGTCTTTCGCTGACCTGGAGGTCATAACATACAGTCCCTTTTCCAAAATGAAGATCTCGACGTCTTGGCCATCCTTGCTGGCCACGATGACTTGGCTCAGCGGCGCCAGAGCAGACAATCCCATTGTTCAAGACATCTACACCGCAGATCCAGCACCACTAGTCTACGGTGACCGTGTCTACCTATTTACCGGACACGATGAAGACAATGCCACCACCTACGACATGCGCGACTGGCGCTTGTTCTCGTCCGCCGACATGGTCAACTGGCAACACCATGCGTCACCCATGAGCCTGGCTACTTTTACCTGGGCTTCAGACAGGGCCTGGGCCGGCCAGGTGATTGCCCGCAACGACAAGTTTTACTACTACGTCCCCGTTAGGCACAGCGGCGGCCGCATGGCTATTGGGGTCGGCGTGAGCGATAGCGTCACTGGCCCCTATGAGGACGCCATTGGAGGTCCCCTCGTTGAGAACGGGGAGATTGATCCCACCGTCTTCATTGACGACGACGGCCAGGCTTACTTGTATTGGGGCAATCCGAACCTCTGGTATGCCAAGCTCAATGAGGACATGATATCCCTCAGTGGCGGCGCCACGCAGGTCGAGCTCACTACTGAGGGCTTTGGCACGCGAGAAGGGAATCCAGACCGCAATACGACCTTTGAGGAGGGACCCTGGATATACAAACGCAATGGAATCTACTACCTCGTCTACGCGGCGAACTGTTGTGCAGAAGATATCCGCTACTCGACTGGCCCGAGTGCTACGGGCCCTTGGACGTATGGCGGTTTGATCATGGCAGCAGAAGGCGCCAGCTTCACCAATCATCCAGGGCTCGTCGACTTCAAGGGTGGTTCCTATTTCTTCTACCACAATGGTGCCCTGCCTGGTGGCAGTGGTTTCACCCGGTCCGTAGCTGAGGAAAGCTTCGCTTACAACACCGACGGCTCCATTCCACTTATTCCAATGACCACGGGCGGCCCATCTCAGGTCGGATACCTCGACCCGTACGTGCGTCAAGAGGCCGAGACAATGGCATGGTCTGTGGGCATAGAGACTGAAGACTGCAGTGAAGGGGGTCTCAATGTTTGCTGGATCAACGAGGGAGATTATATCAAGGTCAAGGGAGTCGACTTTGGCGCTGGTGCGGCATCGTATGCTGCCTCCGTTGCCTCTGCGCTGGCTGGCGGCGAGATTGAACTACGCATTGGCAGCATTGATGGCACGCTCATAGGCACTTGTTCTGTCCCTAGTACTGGGGGCTGGCAAAGCTGGGAAACTGTCACCTGTTCCGTCGAAGATGCCGCCGAAGTGCAGGATTTGTTCCTTGTTTTCCGTGGCAATGGCAGTGATCCATTGTTCAATATTGATTGGTGGCAGTTTTCTTGAAACTACTCTTTGGCTCGACCAAAGTTCGCAACTGGTAGTAGTCTTGAGTAAATGCCATTGCCTCGTATTGTCTACAGCATTGTTGAATCAAGACGAGTGTACTCTAGGATAGACTGTAAAGTGTTGTATACTTCATTATGTGTCATTGCGATATGCTGGGCAAGAAGTAGAATGACCTTCTGCTCTAGGTGGCCATCCATCCTTTGATCTGCGTTGTGGGCGAAGCTTATATGCGCATATGACTGCCAAGCAGGCCTGGAATAAGTTCAAGCATGCTTCTAGGTGGCGACGTTTACTACTGGATTTGACCTGATGAATATCCACACTCTAGATCGATCTTGTCATAAAAACGCTTTTTTGCTTTCACTGCTGCCTGAGTCCCCAAGCAATGACTGAATCCTAGGACTTGATCATAGGGCAAGTAGTCATTTTATGTACTTTAATAACTCTGATTGATCTCATTTTTGAAGAATTGTGCCTAATCTTGGATTTCAGCGGCCCTTGCTTTCTTCTTCTTCTTCTTTGGCTTTACTGCTTCCGGAGTCTGCTCTGGAGTGGCAGTGGGTTCACTTGCGGCAGCTGCATTCTCATCTTGGCCCTCCTGGACTGCCGTTGCCTTCTTCTTCTTCTTTTTCTTCACCTGGACAACGCCATCCGCGTCCTCCACAGCAGGGATGGTGGTCTTCTTCTTCTTCTTCTTGACTACCGTACCATCCGCATCCACACCGTGTGCTACTTGTATTCGCTCATTAGCACGTTGCATCTCAAGCCGCAGTCGCTCAACCTCCTTCATAGCCTGAGCCATCTCAGCTTCTTCGCGCTGTTTGGCCTCAAAGTCATGCCCACGGCTATTGGGATCGTCCTCTAGGTTGAATGATCCCAAATTGGCAGAGCTGATACCAAGTAAAGCTGCCGATTTCGTTTTCTTGGTCTTTTGCTTGGCCATACTATCCGAATTATTCTCAGAATCGTAGTTTCGAGGCGTAGAACCACCACTACCGTTCAGCGTCTCATCAGCAGCAATGACAATCTTCTGCCGTGGCTTCGGTCGCACAGACATGGGCTTTTGTGTCGGCGCATTCCCGCTTACTCCGGCGTTGAGTTGGTTGAGATCAAGCTCCATTACAGGTATTGAATCGACATCAAAGTCAGGTCCGTTCGAGTTTCGTAGAATGTTATGAATAGGTGTTGAGGTTCCCGTCAGGCTGCTGGTCTCTCCAATATAGAATGGATCATCACGATTTCGTTCAAGACGCTCAGCCTTTCGTCTAGCGAGAATATCTGCATCCAGGTATGAGTCTTCGGTCGGTTGCTGATAAGACCCGATTGACTCTTCCTTGGCTTCCACAAGTCGACTGATGGCTGGCTCCGACGCAATGCTAGTCGGAGGTGGTCGTTTGTTATAGTAGATCTCAAACTCGTCAGTCTCATCGGCTGGGAGTGTGATCTTGTCCGCTGAGGACAAGAGAAACTCGAGGTTTGGGTTGATGGGCTCATCAAGGTCGAGCTGATCTGGAAGCGGCACATTCTTCTGAGCGCCAGCAGCGACAGAATTCAGCTCCCATCCTGCAAATAGTGAAGGAATCGCTTGAATCAATAGCAGAGGAGCATCGTGTTGCACCTCAGCCAATGCACTGTCCTGGCCGGATACGGCCTCGGCGGTCAACTTCAACAACTCAGAGAACTCCACTGATCTCTCCTGAACTTCTAAATTCGGGTGCATTGTCAACGGTTCAAACGTGTGGATGATCCTCGCCATCAAAAGCGCAATCTTCGACTTTCTTTCGGGTGTCCATAGCGCCTGGCTGTCGCTGGCAATCCAAGAGAAAATTTTCGTGGATGCTTGCACGAGCGCGGCCAATGATTCGGGAGCCGAGGCGCGTGGGATCATGTGAAGAAGCGTGTTCAGGCAGTCGTCGGGTGATCGTAGGTCTTGAGCAAACTCTCCTATGATCCAAGCGATTGGCCTCAATGCCCCACAGGTGGCAAGGGATCCAGTTGCTGCATCTGTATTGAACTGGTTTACTATAATTTCGGCAGCCTCCAGGCATGCTGGGCGGATCACCGGGACTTTGACGGTAATAGTTCTTAGCTCGTCGCCGATTCTTTCCGATACATCTCCAGGATACGACTTTCCAGAGGCTGTGAGCATATCTGTATCATTGGCTGGGCGTGGCAAAGGTGCTGTGCGAATAAGTTGAGTAAGTATATCAATGTACCACTCAAAATCGCTCAAGTTGCCGTAATTCTGCTGAGAGCACATGCTCAAGATACGGTTAATGACATCGATCCGATAGTCGTCTGGGAGTGGAGGAGCTTGGTCTTTGGATTTTTGTGAAGGGTTGATTCTCCTCTCAAGAGCTTCTTCATCTGACTCGAGGTCGGTAGGGTCCGTGGTCAATGCGTTGCGCTCTTCTGCAGAAGCGTTCTTGAGTTGCCTCATCAAACGACTGACGATTGAGACGAGATTGTCACTGTTGACCATGCCCTGTACCAAGTCTAGAGCTTTGATTCGAATGGATATATCTGTGCTGTCGATACATTCCAAGATCACATCTTCCTGCTGGGCAACTAACCAGGGATGGGTGACCACGATTTGATTAAAGGCCAGTAGCGCAACATATTTGACTAGCAAGAGTGATTAGGAATTGTCTTGCACAGAAGAGGAAGAAACTCACGGTTGGGGTCACCATCTACCATGATCATGGAACGGAGTTTGCTCACACAGAGTGAAGCAATCTCTTCCCGGCCACTATCGTCATCACCACTACCCAAAATACCTCCTTGTATAATGCCATTGATACATTCATACAAGAGTGACATGGCGGGGGTGGTTCGGATGATCTCGGTCAAGGGAGGAAGCAGTTTACGCACAAGTCTAGGCTCCAGGGGGGTGAGAGTAGCAAACTGAATATTGTCAATACAAGCAAGATTCGAGGGCGCCAAGATTATGTTCGTACCAGTTTGATCAATTTGATCGCCATCCAGTTGTTTCCACTGTCCACCAACAGCTCAAACAGCCTCGGTGCCAACGGGAGAAAGTCATTTGGCCGGCGCCATCCTAGCTCACAGACGACATTTACAATAGCAGCGGTGACGCTCGGGTCTTCATTGGGGTCCATGAGTTTTTCCTTGATTTTTGGCCATGCTGCTCTGAGCGCCTCGGGATACACCAACGCCATTCTGTAGAGCGTTACGATTGTCTTTTTTCGAACGGTAGGATTCGAGTGGCCGAGGCGGGGCAATAGGTCGGGGAGAACCGAGAGAGCGAGAGAAGGGGTAATGAGATGCGGCAAGGCGATGATCGGTAAGGCGATGGTAGTGGTGGAAGCGCCTGTAACGTCTTTCTTAAGCAAGTTTGTCGCTAGCATCAGTACTTCGGTATCAGGACGGAAGCTCTGTATGGCACCAAGGTATCCGACACGCTTCTGGTGATATTTTGGCGAGGCCATGACTTCTAAGACATGGAAAGATGCCCATGACATGTCGTGTCCGAACATCTCGAGATATACGAGCTTTAAAAGTGCCGTAGCCTTGAGATCGAGGTCCTGGCTGCGGATTTCGGTGCGACATTCCTTCAAACAGTTCTGAATATATCCCTTTTCGTTTCCTTTGTGGTTTCGCATACCTCGAATGAGGTCGTAAAGCGATTTTTCGAACATGGTGAGCGAGGTCGCACCTTGCAGGGTGCTGCTGGCTGTTCAGGGATCGTGGTAGTGAGGTCTCAAACGGTGAACATAACTGCGCGTCGGTGTTCGAGTGAAAACAGCATTTTCAGGTGGAAGAGTTGTCGTGTATGCTTCTAGGTGATTAATGCAGTCAGGCTTGGCGCCTGGCCTGGCTTTGCGACTGGAGCCGTCAACAAAGGTCACTGTCGGCAGGAGAGCTTTTGAAGGTGTAGATCGTTGCTGAAGGTCTGGTGAGGTCTTGTGCCCCACGATGACCGACCGCTGTTAGGTACGGAGATTACCTGGAAACACTCGACGTAATGAGAGGCGCCAAGAGGCTTGCTTCACAAAAGGTACCTGTGTACCTACCCTTGTTGGGGTGCTGTACTGTTCATCTGCCCTGTAGGGGGGCATGGACTTTCAGTACCCTGTAGGCGGCTCTGTGTTAATCCGCTGCTTTATTCTGTCCCTAGGTCGATATGTTGTACGGTCAAGGTACCTAGGCGGCGCCCCAAATGTCAGTAGGTGAAGGGTGGTCCACTACGCGGCGGGTTGGACCACCTATCTGTTAGCTCTGCTTGTAATAAGCTCCTAGCTTTGCCTGGAGGCCATCAATCAATTGCAAGTACGACTACATTGCGAATACTGATATCAAGCTCACCTCCACCAAACCAATTCAACCAAACGCAACCGTCACTCGATCTCGGCACGGACTTAAAGAAACAAACATACCCATCCGATTAGCAAGCATCATGTCGTCGTCACCCTTGCGACCTCCTAGTCACCTACCGCCCGCGACGGCATTGCAGCTCTCGCAACAAGCTCCAAAGATCTTCGAGGAAGCACCTGGCGCGATTTCTACATCAGTCCTGCAGTCATTGTTCTCAGCGTCTGAGACACCGGAGCTTTGGACCATTTACGAGAATCTCTTGCTGTCATGTCTACGCACTCGCGACGACGGAGCAGCCCACCAGTGCCTGGGCAGGCTGATCAACCGTTTCGGCGACGAGAACGAGCGAGTAATGGCCCTGGTTGGATTACTCAAAGAAGCAGAAGCTGAAGACGATGCTACATTGGAAGTGGTACTGAAGGAATACAACGCCATTCTAGACAAGAACCCAACCAACATCGTACGTTGACATGTTCGAGCTTGTACTGACGGCAGCAATGCTGACTCTGTCGCCAGCCTATCGTCAAACGCCGCGTGGCTCTCCTGCGCTCCCTTGGCAGAGTGTCGGACGCAGTAGCTGCCCTCCTTTCTCTGCTGGACTTCTCTCCTACCGACAGCGAAGCTTGGTCCGAGCTATCAGATATGTACTTTTCACAAGGACTGTACCCGCAAGCTATATTCGCCCTGGAAGAGGTTCTTGTCCTGCAGCCAAACGCGTGGAATGTGAGCTTGGCATATGTACTATTGGTCTTGATTTGTTGCTGATTTATTTCTCAAGATCCACGCGCGACTGGGAGAACTGCTCTTGATGGCAGCAAAATCATCACAGCCCGCTGACGCGTCAAGGCAATTAGGCGAGGCTGTGAAGCGGTTCTGTCGAAGTGTCGAATTGTGCGACGATTACCTGCGCGGCTTCTATGGCCTGAAGCTAGTAAGTTTTCTGCCCACTCTATGCTATCTAACATGACGACTCATCGAGTACAAGGCAACACGGAAGCTCCTGCAGGAGCCTCCCAAGATAGCTAAGCAGTCAAGTGACAATGATATGCCACTGCCTGATGCTACCACTTTACGGCGCCTCGACGAGCTTGCCACTGAAAAACTTGCTGAAATTACACGCAAGTTTGCTGCTGGAGAGAAGGGCTGGCAGGGCTACGACGAAGCAGAAGTCGTTGCTGCCAAAGCGCTCTTGGAAGAGGATTCCAGCGCGGTGACTCGGTGAGGATGAGCACGTGGCAGCTACCAGTTACTCTCAACGTGTGTTCAAGTGACAAATTTATCATGCTGTTCCTGCCTGACTTGCATCTCGAGATTGCCGAGACGGAAGATTCGTTGTCGGAAATTCAGGGGCACTGTACTTCAACGCACGATTATCCGCATGGCAGGTAGTCGGTGACTGTGGTTGAGTACCGATTGGTGAGCAGTCCATGGCACAAATGAGCCAACATCAACCAACCTGTCGAATTCTGCCTCATGCAAAGCCAAGGCAGAAGTGGATACTGTTAGAACTGCATTGGGATGTTCCAGTTCTTTGTCAACGTGGTTCCAATAATAGGCTCTCCGGAATATAGGCAACCGGCATTGGGCTGACACAATTACAGAAAGGATTTGATAGAAGCATAATGAATAATGAGCAGAGCGGCTCTTCAGATGCAGCTAACATGTACCTACCTTTGTGTGCTGCAACCATCGATGACTTGGGCACCAAATGGTCGCCGCACTTGGGTCATATTCCACAAACTTGAAAGCGATCTGGTTCCACCCGGCGGGTCTCGTTCAGATCTGTTGCAGTCTGAATGATTCTGGACTGCCCTTTGGTAGAAAACCCCGGCGCGAAGTTCCAAAAGTTCATGACATACTCCTATGCTTTTCTTGTGACAGGCTCCATAGCTGATGAGAATCAAATGGCCAGGCTGGTCAGTTTTCCATGGGAAGATCAGCCGTTGAACCACAACTACTATCTATATACTAGGTCGCATACAATGGTGGAATCATGCGGTAAAAATGGACCTACAATAGCCTGATGCTTCTTCGAGTATCGGTATAATTAGTGTGCCCAGCAAAGTATAAGTGGCCAGCAAGCGAAGCAAGTTTAAGCTTCTAGACCTTGTTAATTCAACGATCTGCAGCAGCCAGAAAGCGCAGCATCTTTGGGGCTGTCTGACCAGCATCCAAAGCGCCGCTTTGGACTCGTTATGCATTTGCGCCTGATCAGCAAAAGCTGGCTTTGGGACCTGGATATTCCTTCCAAAAGCACAAGACAATGTCATTTTTGCAACCTCGTTTTTTATTCATTTGATTATTTTATTTTCTAAACGAGACGGTCTTACTGGAAAATCAGACACTCCATCATTGGCAGGATCTCGTAATAGCCCAGAGAGGAGAGAAGCAACATTGTAACCACACTGAACGGAATTACCGCAACCTTGAGGCTATAGTACGGAGTGCCGCCACACAAGCATATCCCGGCCATCAAACCTGAGTACATTTTTCGGACCACCCCCAGTGAGTATGTATTCCAGCAGCCCCTAGCTTCGGTTTGTCACCTATCAGAGGACTTCATAGACCGTTGGCGATACTCTGTCACGAGATCTCTCCATCTTGCCCAGTCCTCGTCTTCATTGCAAAATGCCCGCAGTGCTGGGCTTTGCCTATGGTTAGTCCGAAATCAGAGACAGCCCTGACTGGTAGTTCCAGCAGCAGCAGCACGAGGTTGTAGGCGATCCAATAGAGGGGTTTCCTTGTTCGGTGTAAGTGCATCTGACTCGGCTGTACCCGCCTAAAAGGATGGACCTTTCTCCAGGTCTACGAAGCACATTCACCTACCGTTGGGTAACAGCCAGAGCGACCTGCTGCCGCTGTCGCCGCCGCACAGTTGCAGCAAAAGCGCTTCTCTGGCCCCAGCAACCGCATCGGAGTCAGAAGACAGTGAGCTGCGGTGAACCCTCCCTTGGGCCTTGGCTCAACTAATGTACCTATCATGACAATAACCCCTCATCTGGACCGGCCAGACCTGGGGAGAGGGGCTATGTATGACTTTATGATGGGCTACATTAGGCACAAGAACAACAGTATAACGTCGATTTGGCATGTCCCAGCGAGGGCAAGAAACGAGCCAAATGCCTTCTACCATGTGTTGACCGGGATACTGACCATCTCTTTGATGATTCAGATCAAATCCTAAGCTTTTTCTCAGCCGCAGAAAAGAAAAAGTAGAGTCCAATTTCGCGCAAGGAAGGGCGGAAAGCAAAACAAACTGCTACAGTACAAAGTACATAATCAGCCTCCTTCGGATCTCCTCTGCTGTATTACGGAGTAGACGTCGGCACCGGGCTTGCGCAGCTCAAATAAAAGACCAGCACGAGTCGCACACACAACAGAAAGAGGACAAGTACCTAGCTGTGCGGACGGAAGCATTTACAGGTAAGCTCGTTTCAACACGTCTGCCTCTTGTGTTTATCTTTTCTTTTCATATCCATGACTTCAACATGCACACACTAGCACAAGATCCCCTACAATGCCTATGTGCCTATTGGCCTGGCCACCTTCGGTCTGAGACGACCATCTGTGCCATGCAAAGTTGCGTGGCTTGGTTGACATGGAGACGCAATGCCTTGTATGTGTTCCTGGCTGCCACCAGTGTTGAAGTCAATGAGGGGTTGCTCATTGCTGGGGTGTAACACAACACACTGCCGAGCGCACGGCCAAGGTGGTATAAGTGCTGTTCGGCCATCTAAAAAGATTCCCAGAAACGAGATCGGTGGCGGCGGATGAGTATCTGATGGGCTGTGCAACCACACGTAGATCCGTTCTTTCTGGCCTGCCTGTAACCTGTACCAGTGCATGCATACTGTAGTAGTATTATCCAAGGGTCGGGGACAGGCAGACAAAGAGACGGACGGACAGCGGGATACCTAGGTGGCCACGATTCTGTCTGGAAGGATCAAACGTTTCCACAGACACTGCCTTGGTGAGCGTGTGAGCTGACGATGCGCCGTGGCATTAGTGCCGCTCGCTTTTACACTAGAATTCGGCCCCCATACCCTCACTCACTCACTTGGTCGCGCACTCAGTCTTTGACCTGCTGCTTTCTTGTCTCGCCCTTGCCCTCCTCTCCCTCTCTCCGTCTCTCCCTGCCCGCCCGCCCGCTCGCTCGCTCGCTCACACCTGGATCGGCTAGCTTGGAAGGGAAAGCCTTGCTGGGACTGCGGTGTCTTCTTGATTATAAAGAGTCCCGGCCCCCGATTCCTAGCTTGTCTCTTCCCAACTTTTGCTTCAGTCTCGGCTGGAGGTGAGGAGGCTCAACAGGGCTGCTGCACTCTGCCGACTTCATACGTGAGGGCGACGAGCAGCAGGGCCGAGTATCTCGTAAGGTACTTGCCTGATCGACCATCCACTATACAGATTGAGCATATTCGATCTCTGCTGCTTAAGTACATATCTGCTCCCCACTCCCCCGTTCCTGTCTCGTCCCGTGGGACCGCGTTGTGCTGGGTTGGTTCTGGCTAGGGGTGACCCAAGACAAGCCCCGTCGATTTTCTACCCAAAAGCCCGTGCTCGATTATTATTTTTACGTTTCTTTTGCGCCCAACTGAAAAATAAAAAAAAAAGCCTCCGGCGGGCCTTGCGCGACGACCAGGATCTTCCCTACAGCACGGCCATCCGCTAGAAGAAAGCAACAACCCCCCCGCCAAATCGCTCTTACACAGCGGCCCAAAATCTTGGATTGGCTTCAATTGACCATCTGATCAAATCTGGAATCCGACCAATTCTTAATTTTGACACTGAACCAAGGTCTTCTGACAGCCATTCGCAACCTAACAAATATTTTTGACTCGCCCCAGGTTTCGAACTCATAGATCTTTGCCAGCTACCTTGCCCTGCCAGCTGGACAGTAGCGCAAGACACACCGACCCGGCGCAAAAACACTACGATACTCCCGTCGCCCCGCGTTGTCAACATAGACTTAAGGTTCGCTGCCCACTACGACGCTACGTATCGCCGTGGTGTAGATCAACCCACCACACGATAGCGGGCGAGCAGAGGGAACCACAAACTCCGTTTCCAACTCAAACACACAAGAGTACGCTAGTGAGACGATAGATCACCGCCTCTTTTCTTGCACTCTTCCCGTGGCCACTCTTCTGCTTTGAACAACTCCAAGCAGATTGTCGCGAAGGACTTGTACCTGTTCACGACCTTGTCCCTCATGTCGTCGTCTGTTCGCATGCGTACTAGCAGATCGCATTCGCGCACGCGCCCCAAAACCGCGCAACACGCCGAGGTTTCGGGCGAATCATCAGGCGTTTCGGAAGAGGGTGGAGATAGTCGCGAATTATACGACGAAGACGACGAGAATTGGTCTGACGAGGAAGGAGACGTCGAGCCCTCCGATTCTGCCTCAAGTGGCCGAGGGCCTTCGTATCGTCGACCAACTGGTGCTGGAGGTCCTGTCAGACGAGCAGCATCGGGCCACCGACACCCCGCAACACAACATCCTCCACCATCGGGATACGCTTATCGGCAGGGACTGCCACAAGTACAACCACCACATCATCCTTCCGATACCGCCAGTCTGGATTCCTCGGAGGACTATCCATACGGCTTCGGCAACCAGTACCCACCACAGGGTGGGTATGGAGGAGGCCGTAGCCGTGGTGGACCTGGGTATCAGCACGGAGGGTATGGCGGACCCTACGCACCATTCCCCAGCCAGCAGGTTGTACCATTCGGCAACAACTATGGCAATCCCTTTGCACCAGCTGGTGGCGGGGGAAACCAATTCTTCGGCAATGATCATCGCTGGGGCGGCGGCGAAGTGATGCCTTATGGCGGCAGTGGCGCAGGATATTTCAATGGCCCGCACGGAGGCGGCCACTACCCTGTGCCCCTTGGTATGCAACAATATGCCGGGCACTGGGCATCACCACCTCCGGTCACTGATCTTGGAGCGCGTCCCAAGCCGGAGCCCTCGCCCGCGCCTGCCAAAGATGATCCAGAAAAGTTGGAAATGATGAAGCAGTTGGAAGCCATCAAAGCTGAAAAGGCAAAAAGAGAAGCAGAGGAACAGAAGAAGGAGTTTGAGGCTCGGATCAGAGAAGAGACCGAGCGTGCATTTAAGCAAAAGATGGAGGAAAGAGACAAGCAAGAGGAGCTGTTGAACAAGGAAAGGGCAGCTGCTGCGGAAAAGGCCAAGAAGGAGATTGAGGAGGCTAGGCAAGCAGCTGAAAAGGCTACTCGAGACCTGATGGAGAAGGAGAGACAGGCGGCTGAAGAACGCAAGAAGGAAGAAGCAGCGGCCATCGCACGGGCCCAGCAAGCAGCTCGTGATCAGATCGAAGCCGAACGGCGTGCCGAGGAGAAACAGAAGAAAATGGAAGCCGAGGCCGTCGCAAGAGCACAACAAGCAGCTCGCGATCAGATCGAAGCCGAACGCAAGGCCGACGAAGAGCGCAGAAAGAGGGAGACCGAGCTCGCAGCCGCTGCAGAGGCGGCTGCTAAGGCCAAGCTCGAGGCAGCAATCAAGGCAAAGGAGGAAGCCGAAGCAGCAGCCAAGAAGAAGATGGATGAGGAGGCAGAATGGCGAAAGCTTCTCGAAACCGAGGCCAAATTAAAGGCCGAGAATGAGGCACGAGAGAAAATTGAAAAGGAACGGAAGGACGCCGAGGACGCCAAAGCTGCCGAAGAAGCGAAGAAGAAGGAAGAGGAGGCTTGGAAAAAGAAGACTCTGGCGGAAGTTCAAGCCAAGGCAGAGGAGGCATCAAGGAAATCCAAAGGCAAGGACAAGTCGCCCATTCGATTCAAGGATGCAGTCGGCCGGAAATTCAGTTTCCCATTCCATCTTTGCCAAACTTGGACGGTGAGCACACAGCCGCTAATGTTCCATGCTTTGAAATGATTCCCAAAGCTAACACGTAACAGGGTATGGAGGAGCTGATCAAGCAAGCATTCTTGCACGTCGACGTAATAGGGCCGCATGTGCAAGCAGGCCATTACGATCTTCTCGGCCCGGATCAAGAAATCATACTGCCACAAGTTTGGGATAAGGTCATTGAGCCAGACTGGGCCATCACCATGGTCATGTGGCCAATGGATAGAGGGCGACCTGCTGGTCTCGGTGGTCACCCTCATCCTCATCCTCATGCTCATGGCGTGCCAGGACACCCCAACGTACGGCCACCCGGTATGCAGCAAGGGGGAATAAGAGCTACCCCGGGAATCAGCAGAATGCCTGGTGGTCCGACTCATGGTGGCCCTCCCGTGCCGCCGCCGCAGCCGATGCACCCGGCATTCGCGAACATGCATAGTAGAGGTGGTCGCCCCCAGAGGATGACGGAGCCGAGTATAATAGCAGTGCATCCTGATAAGCCGAAGAAGAAGAGCAAATCCAGCTCAGGCTTGGGAGGCTTCTTATTTGGGAGACCGCAGCCAAAGAAGTAAGTCGTTTTATCTTTGCTCTCATTCGAGGTCGTGGCTGACAAAGCTATAGGAGTAGCAAGAAAAAGGCGATTTAATCATCCTCGCAATCCTCATGCAAGGGCATGCAGGACAGTCTGATTACGCAACCTCCGCTACTAAGTCTCACTGCCAGTAAATACACGGCATTCTGATATTTACAAATTTGCTCTCCTTTTAGACTGCGATGGCGGCGCTTTTTATTTTATTCTCAGGTCCTGATTTTGGCATTATACCCCCTGGTTCAAGGCCCATTATGAGCATAGCGATAGTCGACGCGATTTCTGTATTTCGACTTGGTAACCCAACTGTCGTGGGATTTGGACATACTGCTGTATATGGCAAAATCGCAATCATGATGAGCCGCCCTCTCGCGGCCTTGTAGGGAATCGAGCGAGACTTGGACTTGGATTGGGATTGATGAGGATAGCTGGAGGTGGGAAACCGACGCAATGAGAGAAGATGTGAACGAGATATATGACCGAGTCTTGGTGTGGCAAGCGATTTTAGGAAAGCATGAGGCAGTCTCAATCTGCATTCATTCTTATGAAGCTGATAAGACTATCTGAATGGCATTCTTCTTTCTTTCCTTTCCTCCCCTCTTTTTTTCTTCTCTCTCCCCTCTGGAAATTAGACGGTTTTGAGTTGAGTTTCAGATTCATACTTCTATTACTTATCATACAAGGAATTTGGAAAAAGTTTATCGCCATAATTGTCTACCAAACGCCTTCGCCGATGCAATTATGACCATGTGCAAATGCTGAATCTTGTCGGATGTTTTATCCTGAACGCCAATGCAAGGATTTCAAGAAGTCCATTCCTTCTTCTCTAGAATTCAAGCCATGCTCTTTGGCTTGGCTACTGCCGCTGGTCTATTATTGTGCCCTCTGTGTCGTCTAGGGTGGTGAGAGCTGGTTATTGTCGGCCGGGCGTCCGTCCCAGTGCTCTCCGCGCCTCCTTTTCAAAAGCTTCCACCATTATTGGAGCCACTTTGTCCGCTACAGCTGAGCTCACTGCAGCAAACAGTGGGTTGACAAATTGAAATCTGATGCTGAGGTCGACTTGGCTCCACTCCTCGCTCGGCCCTTGACCATGTCCTAATCCGTGACCAGTCGTCTTGCGCTCAAGAGGTCGCACTGTCCATCGCGTGACAAGACTGCTAAAGGTGCCCTCTTGGCCTACGGAGCCACTCGACCTGCCGGGGCCCGGGTCACGCAGGCCGTATCTTAGCAGCGTGGCGGGAGGTATAGACGAGACGGCGTTGCCCGAAATGGCCTCGACGATGCCGAGCTCGGGAACGCAAAAGACGCGACTGCTGTACGTCTCGGAGAGGCCGCTCCAGCCGGCGGTCAGGGTGCCAGCAGTCGGATAACGGCGACCTGTCCGAGGGTCCGGGTGCTCCGTCCACGATGTCACGCGCGACGTCTCGCAGTACGGCAGGAACCGCGAGTACGCGTCCACGTCGGCAATAAGCTCGTACAGCGGACCCGCGGCGTACGGCAGCGTCCGGTGCGCAGTCACAGTCTGCGGTTCGTTGGACGGCAGGCTGAAGAAGGTCCTGCACTGGCACAGGGGCTGCGGTGTATATGGTGAGCGCAGTGTGGCTCGAGGCGCAAGCCGGAATACGGTCTTGGTCGCCATTGTTTGCTCCGAGTGGGTGGTCTATGTGTTATAAGAGGAATTGAAGTTTAAAGATCGGTATTCTTTTTTTGCTGTCCCTAGCTGTCCATGGCCAGCGTTTATGTTGTGCAGCTCGGAGGTTGCTAATATTGAGAAAACAGTATAATTCCCCCTTTGAAAATTAACGCAATTGAAAGACGTCCATAAGACGAGGCGCTTTTGCGCTTGCGACCGCGAACTTTTGACGATGAAGTCGCATACTAAGTAAGCTAAATACGGTACTACTCTGTAGAAGCCACAGCTCCCTTGCGAACCCGGCGCTTCTCAATAAACGGACCCTGGTCGAAGCCACACATCTTCGTGCCCCACCTCGAAACCCAACCTTTTTGAAAGCAATTTTTTTTTTCCAACCTTCCAAGCCAAAAATTTTCCTTCTCTCCTCATCACAAGCAGAGTTCCCACGAGCTTTTCTTGTCGAGCCTGCTCCAAACACCATGAGCAGTAGATCTCGGTGACGGAATCCTCCTCAGCTGTGACTTTGTCGTCACATTTCACGTCCCCTTTCCCCTCTGTCCTCACCATGGACACGCCGACGGTGCAGGATCCTCCAGCTCACGCCATCGAGCAAGAGCTGCTGGACAAGACTGCCGATTTGACCGTCCAGGAGCACGTCGTGCCGCCTGCCGACACGCCTCCGCACCGCAGCCATGATCCTGATTACAACCAGAAGCGCAGCGACCCCTTCCAGTTTGGGTCCCGGTACCTGCAGCAGGAGGACGATGTCTTCGAGTTCAATGCCTGGGATCATGTGGAGACTGACGACACGTACAAGGAGTACGCCGAGCAGCAGTATGAGATGCAGCGGCAGTCGCCAGTCTCCGACTTTGACAAGAGTGAGTTTTACCCCCTTCCTGCGATCGTAGCAAACTCCCTTTCATTCGTCGGCTTTGTGTGATGATATCACAAATTTACGCATAGTTCATCTGATTCTATGTGATGACAACTGCCTGTTTTAGTCTTTCGCTCCCATCTGACTCAAGCCACTTTGAAAATGATATTTTTGCATCATTCAATAAGCTCGGGAGCACTTTGCTAACTTTGTGTGTGCAAAGATAGGTTCAATTCGGATCCAGCCAAATGGTGGAACCTATTCTACAAGAATAACACGGCCAACTTCTTCAAGAACCGCAAGTGGCTTCAGCAGGAGTTCCCTGTACTCGGTAAGGTCACGCAAGAAGATGCTGGTCCCGTAACTCTTCTCGAAGTGGGCGCCGGTGCTGGAAACACTGCTTTCCCCATCCTGGCAAACAATAAGAACCCTAGACTAAAAGTCCATGCCTGTGACTTTTCGAAAAAGGCCGTGGAAGTGATGCGTGCCCATGAGGAGTACAACACAGACTACATGCAAGCTGATGTTTGGGATGCTGCTGGTGAAGAGCTTCCTCCAGGTCTGGAGGAAGGCTCGGTCGATGTGGTCATCATGATATTCATCTTCTCCGCCTTGAACCCACGCCAGTGGAAAAAGGCAGTCGAGAATGCCCACTGCCTCCTGAAGCCAGGTGGCGAGGTATGCTTCCGTGACTATGGAAGAGGCGATCTTGCACAGGTCCGGTTCAAGAAGGGCCGCTACCTGGAAGAAAACTTCTACATCCGTGGTGACGGAACCAGAGTGTATTTCTTTGAACAGGATGAGCTTGCCGACATTTGGTCTGGCAAGGCATTCCTAGCAGATGCAGAAGCCAATGCCAATGCCGAGGAAGAAAATGCCACGGCTGATGCCACAGCACCGTTTACGGCGGTCTTTGAAATAGAAGATCTTGGCGTAGACCGAAGATTACTCGTCAATAGAGCCAAGAAGCTCAAAATGTATCGTTGCTGGATGCAAGGTCGATTTAGAAAGAAATAGAGATTGATGAAAAAAAAAAAGATCAATATCCCTCTCGTCTAGATGAATCGTAGTCTGTTTAAGATCATAAGTCATTACGTTTGATATCCTCATGGTGTCTTAATCCTCCACGACCAGTGACTTATTCCGTAAGCTCACGCTAAGAGCAACTCTCTAAACTTGTTCCTGTCCTTCTCACCAAAGCCAATGCCATCTAGATACTTATCGGCGCCTCCATACTGATCTTGCAGGTGCCCGGCGACCTTGGCCACGAAATCAGGCGGGCAATCACCCCACGCGGGCGTGAGGCCCATCTCCTCAATCTCGGCGAGCCGCGCCTGCCTCTCCTCGGGCGGCGCCTCTTCATTGAGCGCCGTCTGCGTGAGCATGTAGTCGTGGGCGACGGCGTCGACGGACACGCCCAGGATCAGCAGGCATAGGGCCACCGTCAGGCCCGTTCGGTCCTTGCCCTGGGTGCAGTGTACCAGGACGGGGAGGGATGCTGGCTCAATGAAGGCGCGGAGGGCCTGTGCTTGTTTCGTGAGTGGGATGCGCATCATCTTTTTTCTCTCTCCTCTCGTTCCTATGGACGAGATGGTTTGGTAGAGACTGGGGGCTAGGCTATATACAAGGTATGTGCGGATTTGATGAGACTTGAGAACCACACGTGTATGTCTGTGCAACACATGAAATGGTGACTATAGCATGGAGATTCTTTTGGGGTCATGAAAAGTTTGAGAAAAACAACATACCTGAGCAATCTCTTCCCCAGACTGGTCCAATGTGTCAAAACCCATACCTACGAGACCCCGAGGCAACATGACATCATGGGCCATGATACGAATTGCTTCGATGCGATAACCGGTAAGATATAGCGATATCAACTTTCTACATGGTCACCCCCCAACCAGGTCAAACGATCAGTATAAACCCACGCTCCAAGTGAAATGCGCCTAGAACAAAGAGCAAGGGGAAGAAACTGTTTTCTCATGAGGATTACTTACAAGTACCTCCTCCAGCCCAGCTGCTTGATCAGGTGATTCTCAAACTTCTTGCCCGTGACCCGAATCTCGAGGTACCGCAGGCCGGGGATCTGGACGGGCTCGGCGAGCGCGGCATTGGACTCGAGCAGCGCCGGCACCTTGAGGTCGGCCGCCCGCTTCTGGGCTTGCTTGAGGTGCTCCGTCTTGGTCCGCAGGTCGATTACCGTCCGGACGCCGTACGTCTCCTTGAGCCGTTGCCGGTCCGCTGCCGTGGCGTCATCTATTTTTTTTTTGTTCTTAGTAAGCCAGACTCCCTCAGAGGTTAGGGATTTGGGGGTTGGCAAGATATTAGGGCAATGAAAAGGGACGAACCCACCTGGTCGGGCTGACCGGTAGAGTAAGCCTTCTTTCAGGGCTCTGCGTTGTGGTTAGTCGATTATAATTTACAAAGGTGTATATCAGATGGCAATAGGGCGAGACGATACCTTCTGCCAAGGAACTCATTCACGGTTTTGCCGACGTCACGGAAATTGAGTATATTGTCGAATTCACGAGACATGCTGGGATGGCCTAGGAAAGGGCTTGGTTTTTTCTCTTTTCAATTAATAGCAATTAAAGACTAAGGTCTTTTTCGTTTCGTGATGTTTACTTTTGATAAGTGCTGGTTTGTATGGACAACCAAATATTACAATTGGGGCAGGCAATGATGATGAGGTTGGGATATGTAATTTCTTGGCCCAAAGGGGAGCTCCATGGCCAACCATGTTTTTTAACAGGGTTTGGCCCAGCACGGTCAGGAACCGACTGGTGACATAAAACCCACCGGCTGTTACCGTGAGAAACCTCTGGAGAATTACAATGGTCGGATATAGTCAAGGATACCCCAATCTACATGGAAGTAAATGTCAGACTGTCAGATGAAATCGGATCTTTGGGAAATTATTGGGATATTGGGAATCCCATGCCATCGGTAATTGTGCAGGGTCATGATTGATTATATCAAAGAGAAAGAGAAATCTAGGTGGAGAGAGAGAGAGTTAAGCATCACCTTGCAACCTTTAATCAAGCGTACGAACCACGCAATCCAGTGCAGGTAGAGTCAAAAGATCGACGGCACTGCAGGAACAAAATCTATTCCCAAAATCAAGTTCAAAAAGGCAGATCAGGGTAGGTCGAATGGCAGACAAGCATATACGTACAAACAGTGGCCAGATCAAGCCCGCACTTGTGGCTGGCTATTGTAACTGGCACCGGGTATGTTCCGTTCTCTTTCACTGCCGACGTAGTCAATCCATCTAGGTGCACAAGCGTCCGGTGACGCAAGTGTCCGCACTGGAAATAGTTTCAGGTGCCCAGACTTTTTGGAGCGAACGGGCTACGGGCTATGATCTGGATCGCAAAAGAAAAACAAAAGCCAAAGAGAGGGGGAAAAAAAAAAAACTAAACATTCATTAGGTTAAGATTTGAACTAGTGACTTTAGTGAGATCCTCATAGGAAGACCCTTGGACCCAAGGACTTCGAGACCAGTTGCATCTAAAGGAGCCACACACGGACGGGCCAGTCGGCATCCCGCAGCTTTTGTGGGATTTTTGTATCTTGACATGGACCTGAGCTGCCTTACCTAAAGCAGATCTGAGTATCTGCCCAACTGCAAGTCACTGCTCAATGTGGACTCGCGATGAGGAGGCCCGTGACGAATTCTGGGGGGTCTCCCCTGCAAGCAGGAGTGATGTAGTGGACACCAGGGATACTTAATCGGTGCGCGACAGCCTCTGGCTCTGCGGATAACACGCCGCACCTGTCACATTGGTGAAGCAGAGAAGTGCGTTTGATGGTTACACAAGTACGCATATTTCCCCCTCTAGTTTTCTGGAGCAAATGTATCCGCCTGCTGCTCGCAACCAACAGTTGAGCCGTATTTTCCGGGATTGACATCTTGCACAGAGGAGTAGGAGAGGAAGAGAGAGCAAAACAAGCTCTGCGATGCGCGGCTATCCCTCGACTTTTGCTCGATCGAAATTGGGAAATATTGGAATTGTGTCTCTCTTTTCTGCTGCTTTATTCCTAGGAATCCCTGTCTCACTGCTGACCGCATCACCCATCAAATAGTAATAAATCCCCCCCAAAAACCATCATCCTAGGATCGCGCGGGCTATCCGTCAAGTGCCACATGACGTCACGGTCTCGTTGCTGCTTGGCGACGCTTCCCACGGCACATCATGTTACTTGCCCATGCTCTCTCTCTCTCTCTCTTCGTAGTCCCTGAGAGACATTGGGATTGACGAACCAAACGTCGTCCGATGCCCCCTAGTGACTCTAGACAACGGCACTACGACGGCACTATGATGAGCGGCCTCTTTTTCTTCCCTCTCAGTCTCTTCTCCGGGCCCCGCTCCAGCCGCTCCCCAGTCGCCTAGCAGCCCATCTTACCTAGCATCACCATACCTTACCTCGATCTACCGCACATTAGTCTTCTTCTGGTACCTAGCTACTGGCATGCCTCTCTCTCTCTCACCCTCAGTCTTGGGATCAGGGCCCAGGCTCAAGCTTTTCAGACCTACCCTTTGAGTACTTATCTTGTCATTGTCCCGTGTGTGACGCTATGATGGAAAGTTCCATCTGTTTGGATTGATGACGGGCGCCTCTTATTTTTCTTCTTCTTCTTTTTAATCCTTAGACCGTTACCTCCTCCTTTCCTTATATCTGACAAGCTCCAACGTTTGTTGATCCTATAATCGACTGGCCAACGTTCGAGTTATTGGGTCGAGACCTTTTAATTTCGCCAGACTCCTGGAAAATAAACGAGGGCGTATACCTGACACCCCCAATACCTGGACCTCCCCCTCCGACCCAACCGAGCTCTTGACAGTATATGTGGATCTTGGTAACTCGCCAGGGATGTCGACCGGGACAATACTGCAGCCAACCAGCCAGCCGCAGCCTGTCGTTTGCTCGGTATGCGACAACGCGCTGAGGAATGCTGCCGCGGCGCAGAAAACCCATGACGACACCCATAGTACTACACATGCAGGTGCGAATAAGCTCGTTCATTACTATAACTATATCATTTTTCCCGCGAGGCTTTCCGTTTATCTGTAGTTAACACACCCCTCACCCAATAGCACACTCCGGCAGACTTGTCTACGCCAAACCTCAAGATCTCCCTAGTTATCCATCCATCGGCCTGCTCCCAAACGGATCCGCTGCCAGTGCTGCTGCAACCCTGGGTTGGAGTGCAAAGAAGTCGCCCGAAATTTGGAAGCCTGACAGCTCAAACTCAGCCTCGACTGCTGCTCTGCTGGCACAGAGCCGCAAAATGCCCGTAGCAGCTACGTCGTCACCCAGCAGCCACGGCGCTCAAGCTGCTCTACTTGCCCACAAGTCGGCCAAGAACAATGAGCCTTCGAAGCCGGCACCGTCGGACCATGGCCATTCCGCCGCAAACCATGCCTTTAGATCAGGTCGTGCGGCAGAGCTGTCTTTGACTGACCAAACCAAGACTCTGAACCGTCAGCGTTCTCTGATAGCTGCCAAAGGCGCCATGACTGTCCGACCCAGGTCAAACACTGCCCCTTCAGCCAAGGAGGATTATCCGGACAAGGGAAATGCTTCCAGCAATGCCTTGAAAGCCGCGACTGCCGTGCACAAGGCACCGCGCCCGAATTCGATGCAGCCCAAAGGTGGCGCTGTTCCCGTGACTACAATGAACCGGCAGATGTTCACGTCACATCCTCCTGTAAAGCCCGAGGTCGAAGAGCAAAGTCGCGAGGATCAATTGCATGCCTCGGCTGTCGCAATGGCCAAGAAGATGTTCACTCAGCAGCAAAAAGTCATTGACCAGACAAAGAAGGCACACAACAAGGATTCGACACCCCTAAGGCGCACAAGAAGCATCAATAGTTTGAGTAGCGAGGAAGAAGTCAGACCGATGCAATTCAACAATCTCCAAGACGCTGCATACAAGCTGGCCCAGGAAAGGTTGGCTAAGCTCCACGAAGACCACTTGAAGACCAGAGAATATCAGGAATACTACGGACAGTCGAAGCAAATGCGAAGGTTTAGTGTTCGGGGCAAGCTTACTAGGAGGAGGTCCAATAGCGATGGCGACATTGTCGAAGACCAGAAGAGGTCACAGCAGATCAGAAAGCAAATGTCCATCTTCAACTCCAAGCTCTCGCAAGTCGACACGCAGAAGCGACAACAGGACCGCGATGCTCTTCTGGCTGTGGCGCAGAAGAACGTGCAAGCACGTATGAAAGGTATCGATGACAAGATATCAGCTGAGACGGGCATGGTCCCTCCCTCCACCACAAAGAAATGGGAGGCCAAGGCGCATGCTACAGCACAATCTCGCAGCGACGATCGAATGACGCATCATGGAAAAGTCGATATTGGTGCTGGCAAATTCATGAGCCAGGAAGAGATTGATGCGATTGCGGCGGCCAATGTCAAGCCTACGTTGGACGAAATCAACGAGAAGGCTGAGAAGGAACAAGCTAGGCTGACTGAGTTGAGGCTCGAGGCTGAAGCCAAGAAAGAAGCCCACGAGAGGGAAAAGGCTCGGGATCGAGAGGTTGCCGCTGTGGCAAAGAAGTTGAAAGGTGAGCTGTCCTGTGCTATCGTACCCTTCGAATTTCGACTAACAGAACTTTCTACAGAACAGGAGAAACTTGAACAGAAGGAGAAGAAGGCTGAGGAGAAGCACGAAGCCAAATTGAAGAAGGAAGCAGAAAAGATCACCCACGAGCAAGAGAAGCGCCTAAGCAGGTCCAGAAGACATCACAACTCACTTTCTGGTAGAATTTCGCTGCACCGTCTTCGCCGTGATGCTTCACCAGAGGGCATAGCTGAATACGGACCAGATGGAACTCTGACACACGATGAGGAGGAGCAAGTCGCACTCAACGACATCGGCCAGCCTGTTAGGCTGCCGGCCACTTCGAGGACTGACAGGGCTGCTAGAGTGAGCATACCACCACAAGGCGACAGGCAGACAAAATCGGAGAGTTCATCACCTACCGACAAAGCCTCTCAGGGCGCCAAGGTCAAGACCTGGTTCAAATCCAGGTTCTCCCGCGGTTCTAGATCGGATGACGACAGGCCTGCAGACGGTGCCAGGAGGGGATTCATTGGCGGTCATGCCCTCACTGGACTAGACAGTAACAATGCCAGCACGACTAGCCTGGACGGACGCAGCGCTAGTATGCGTGCTATTGCCATGGCCGGCCGGCAAAGAACAGATGCTTCTGAAGCCACTTCTGCTGGCCACAGATCAATGGCCAACGCTGACGATGTGTCGCCAGTGAGCAGCAGCGAGGATGAATACTTTGACGAAGCTAGGGACCACATGGGCACCGAGCTGAGTCCACCGCGCCACCTCCAAGATCCTGCGAAGAAGAAGAGCCACAGTCCAGTCCGGGACTCCAGATTCCATGAGATTCTCTAACGAATATGTATTCTATTGTTTTTATCTGTCATTATATATGGATGACAATTCATGACGACTACGACTTACGAAGTAAAAGAAGGGCATACACGGACAATGCAGGATAAACGAAAGAAGCTGCAATGGGAAGCAATATATCAAAACGTTATTTATCTGGTTATTGGTCAATAGCGGCTTTAGCGTTATGATCATGATGAGGACAGGGTTGATGTAGCAATACAATATCTCTTTTCGCTCTTGAATCAAGCAATAGTGATACAATTTTGACACTGGGTTTTGTACTAATAAGCAATGAACGCCCACGGATTCGAGAGTTATATAACAAAAGACAGCTTTTTGGTTCATGCTAGATCCAGCATAGTTGATCCGAGGGTCGAGCTTGCTATCAAGTACTTTCTTTAATTCCTGCAATTGTTCCCTAACAAGAACCCTGTTTTGTAAGTCAAGGTGAAGAAATTTTCGAGGGTCATTTGAGTGACGAGGAGCTCAGAGCACGGGTGGGCACGACGTACACAGATCCAGGGAACATCGTGGCCCATGTCGACTATAAATAATAACGGCCTGACTCAATTGGCCAAGATGTGGGTCAGTCAGCCTTTCTTTTATTTTCATCGTATAGAAAACTGACCAAAATTTGAATATGGGGCGACAGTCATTAGAAGTGAATAAAACGGTTTTTCTTCTTCTCGCGAGAATATTCCAAGTGTCTCTCCATCTGGACCTGTCAAATGATTATTGTAGCTGCACTGGCTTTCGTCACTGCTTTGGCGACTTGAAGACACTCTCGGCTCTCGAACTCTGGCCGGGCATTTCAACATTTCTCTCATAACTTGGGCCTAATTACGGAATCCTTATTTGTTTTCGCTTGGTTGTCGTGCAAGTTGATCTCAGTATGCGCAACACAATCATTATAGCTGCGACTTTGCTCGCCGCGGCTATACAATCGACACACGGAACCGACACGAAAACCCACGAAGATGACCTTATGGTGGCAGCGGCGGCATCCACGATACACGACGGCTCACGCATAGGCCAGATTGTAGATGGGCAATTTATATTAAACACGACGTTTCTCTCGCTACAACCAGAAGACTGCCAAAACGCCTGGAATTGGATGCCCATAACTTTTCCTCATTGCTCCTACGTGCGGCGGAACGCTACCACGACAGAGGCAAAGAAGGGAGGAGAAGAAGACGAAGAAGAAGATAAAATTTACCTCGACTGGACTCTCCTCCTGCCGGGGACGGGCCAGCGGCGGCAGCAGTGGTGCGAGGCCATTATCCACCACACGCTCCAAGAGTGCGGCCTGGCCGACGCCGACCTGACGGAGCGGCGGTGCATCCGGGACGACCGGCGCACGCTGGTCGCCGGCTACGATCCCGAGCGCGGCGAGGCGGGCGAAGATGTCCTCCTGTATGGCGTCCATGTCGGCTTTCGCATGGCCCTTCGCCGCTCGACGGTCGCCCCTAGCGGCAGCAGCAACGGCAACGGCAACGGCAACGGCAACGGCGATAATAATGTCGAGTGTGTGGCTCGGGCGATTCGGGCGGCCACGTGTCGGACGGTTAATGTGGCAGAGTTGGAGTGCTTTGAGCTGGATCAGGAACTCATCGGGACTGTATGGTGATACCTTGTGGCTTGCCGCCGCACAATGTGTTTCTTTACTGTTTTCACCTCTCACGAAAGATGGCCGAGAATCACACCAGTCAGGAAAAATATTGAAATTCATGCTTCGTAGTCGTGTCGACGCATGATCATGGTGTAACGATCCCGAGATACTGTCATTTTTGATCGATTGGAAGCAGCAATGCTGGATCATGACAATTGGCGAAGAGCATGTCCTCTGATCAGTGGAGATGATGTAATAATAATATTTATAGATCGACTTCCCAACGGTACACAAATCTATGCATAATGTATCTAGGCTTCTGAAGAAAGAGTATCAAGACAGTTGGTCCAGATCATGAACCATTCCCAGCAAACATGAAACTGCTCTTTTTGCGTGTGTCATGTCGCTTTCATTGGTGATGGTTTCTCAATCTCATCATCCTTCACCGAGAAGTCGTGTCCTGAAAATGATGACTTGACACGAAAGATGCGAAGCTTCTGACCTGCAGTAGCAGAGAGTAAACCAGACAGACACACACAGGGATAATGTGAGTAATATGCAAGTGACAACATTGGATCTTTTCCAGAGTTCAGTCACAAATGTTTTGTAGGCTCATGGCTCATGCAAGGCACGCACCATTACCGTCTGGCTTGAACCAAAGAGACCCCGCTATGATGTCTACCCGATTTCAAGGATGGAGGGGTCCCTGGCCCCCCTCTAGTCCCTTTGGATTGCCCCACTGACCGAGACCGCTGGACCCCATTGTCATAATTTTTTTTGCTGCTGCTCCGATTCGGCGGAGCTTTTCGTCGTGTCAATCTGTACAACGAGTCAACGGGTGGATGCTGCTATGTCTACCTAACCGCTCGTTTGCTGTCCAACATTTAACCTCTTGGGTGTTTTAGAGTAGGCTTCTGGTTATACTAGAATATCCAGTCTTCATTTTTTTGCCCTGTGCTTTCTTTTTGGTATACGCCGACAAACAGCCATCTGGGGCTGTTGATTTTCCTTCTTTCGACTATATTGTCGGTCCTTCGCTTTTTCTTATATTGGAATATTGAAACAGGAAGTCTACCCCGCCAATCACCGCTTGCGACCGATTGCCGCAGAAGAGGCGCCCCCAAGAACTGAGATCCGACTTCCCTTTCTGGGCTCTTTTCTTTCTTTCTTCTTTCCAAAATGACCGCATCCGTTCTCCACGGCAATACCTCAGAAAATGGCTGGGTTGTTCAGAAATTTGGCGGCACGAGTGTAGGAAAGTTTCCCGACAAGGTATGTTGGTTTCTTGGACTTGCCCTTGCGCCTTTTCTTCCCGCTCCCTCCACGCACGCGAGAGACGATGAAGAATAACCGCTGACTGTTGCGCGCTCTCTCTCTCGCAGATTGCCGAAGACATTGTACGGTACGATAGAATCAGTTCCTCACAGACTTGTGCAATCATACTGATGTTTGCCATGTAGAGCCAGCTTGGATACCAGCAAGGTTGTCGTCGTCTGCTCCGCGCGGAGTACAGGCAAAAAGGTTACTGGAACTACCAGCCGGTGAGTCAGGCAGTGCCCTCCCCACAGACAACAAGACAGACCATGGAAGCGACAATTTACTCACATACTGCGTCTTTCTCCTATATACAGACTTCTCGGCGTCTTCAAGCACCTGCGGGCTATTGCCGCCGCCACTAGCAACGATGCGACCCAGACCGAGTACCTGGAAGAGGCCAGAGCCCTGATCCAAGAAATCTGCAACGACCACATCTTTGCCATCCAATCCTTTGTCAAGGACCCAGAGCTGCAGAAGCAGGTCTCGGCCGATATCGAGAACGACTGCCAGGAGCTGATTGACTACATTATTGCCGCCAAGCGCTTCAACCTCGAGGTCAATGCTAGGTCCAAGGACAGGGTTGTTAGCTTTGGCGAGAAGTTGAGCTGCAGGTTCATGGCATATTTGTTGAGAGATAGGGTTCGTATTACTTCTTGATGGTATCCATGGTATACGCAATACCCAGATGGGCTAACTTTCTATTCAGCAAGTCGATGCCGAGTATGTCGACCTTTCCGATATCATGCACTACGACAGCTCAGAGAGCCTTTCGCCCACTTTTTACCGTGATGCCGCCGCACTGTTCCAGAAGAGAATACAAGCATGCGGCTCGAGAATTCCCGTGGTCACGGGCTTCTTCGGCAACGTGCCAGGTAGTCTGATGGACGGTGACATTGGCCGAGGCTACACAGATCTTTGCGCCGCCCTCGTGGCCGTCGGCCTCAAGGCCAACGAGTTGCAAGTCTGGAAGGAGGTTGACGGAATCTTCACGGCAGACCCGACCAAGGTGCCGACCGCACGGCTCCTCAGCTCCATCACGCCCTCGGAAGCTGCCGAGTTGACCTTTTACGGTTCCGAGGTCATTCACCACCTGACCATGGACCAGGTGATCAAGGCCGAGCCGCCGATACAGATCCGCATCAAGAACGTCAAGAACCCCAAGGGTCTGGGCACCATTGTGGTTCCTGACCCCGTACAGTCGCCTCACAGACAGATCAAGCGCTCGCCCCCTTCGGACCCGTCTGCCCGAAAGACTCCCAGGCGGCCCACTGCCGTCACCATCAAGGACAACATTGCCGTCATCAACGTACACTCGAACAAGCGGTCGATATCCCACGGCTTCTTTGCCCGCGTATTCGCCATTCTCAACAGTCACTGCATCAGTGTCGACCTCATCTCCACGTCCGAGGTCCACGTCTCCATGGCTATCCACTCGGCTGACGCGAGCCCTACCCACTTTGAAGCCGCCATAAAGGAACTCGAGGACTGCGGCGATGTCTCCACGCTGCAGCACATGGCTATCCTCAGTCTGGTCGGTGCTGAGATGAAGAACATGATCGGCATAGCAGGACGCATGTTTTCGACATTGGGAGAACACAATGTGAATATCGAAATGATATCCCAAGGTGAGTAGTAATGCCTACGTTCTAGGCACCCTTCGAAAATGACAGAACATTTACTAACCTGATTGTGATATAGGTGCCAGTGAAATCAACATTAGCTGTGTCATAGATGCCAGGGAAGCTACGAGAGCCATGAACATACTGCACACGAATTTGTTCACGTTTTTGGAATAGATGAATAGAATTGTATTTACGAGGAGTTTGAGATTGGGAAATTCCATCATTCTTGCATATAGTACATACATTGACTGATTATTCTTCACGAATGAAACCATGTCTGTATTCCTCATTTCCTCTGGGCATCTGACCAGATCATATACATAAGGCATTATCCCAAGTCCTGTGCCTGTTCTTCCTCGCCTTGTTGCGGCCTTACGCATTTGCTATACTTTTCCCCCCACAAAAGCACACAGCATATAGTAAACATCAAGGTTAGGGAGGGAGAAACACATGTTGGCAAAGTATATAAATCATCATCAACCAGTACTGTTTCTTTGTGTGTACTGTTATAAACCATCAGCTTTTCCCGCCCCCTCAACAACGCCAGTCTTGTCTTTCCCCTTATTCCCTTTCGGCCTGCCCCGACATGGGTGCAGGAAAAATAAAAACAACCGCTCATCATCAAACACAGAGGTATCAATAGAATAGAAACGAATACTGAAGAAAATCAGCTCAAAAAAACAGTCCCGCCTCCTATGCTGGCTGGCTTATGCTGTCCAAACAATCTAGCCTGAACAACAAGAAACGGTGTGAACAGAACAGGAATGTCCAAGCAACAAAAACAAGGACCAAAATGGCAAAACAAGAAAGCCAGCGCATCGCGGTGAGTATGCAATGGGCAATATCCCAAAAGGCGACCGTACGCCACCGTGCTATATGATCGTCCTTCTCATGCCGGCTTTTCTGTGCCTCGAAAAAAAAAAAAAAAACAGAAACATGGTCGCCCGTAATACCACATCTCTTGTGGTGTGGCGTTTAAACACCATGCCTGTAGAATACATTCCTTTTGTACAATGGGCCGAAGAAAGGAGGACATGGCAAATGCTTCGGTCTATAGAGAAGTGAACAACTAAGCAGCCTCCATGCTGTAGTACATCGTTCATCGTTGATTAATTGTAATTCATCTTGTCGTCCATTCGTATCGTCGTGTCAAGTCGTTCCTAGATAGCCCTGTCGGTTTGGGACGAGGAGATCTAACGACTTCCACAAAAGGTCAAATTGCCCATATATAGTATAGACAATCGGTGAGGATACTGGCATGAATTGACTTCTGCTGGGTTAGAGCTGTCAAAACTATTGGCCAAACTCGGCTTCTAGGCCCAGCTCTTGCAATTCATGACTGTGATTTTGAGGATAATCAAACTTGTCCAGCGGGAGCTCTTCCTCTGGTGTGCGCATTCCGATCCCGCTGTCGTCGGGGTTGCCTGATAGTCCCAGAGAGTCGCGCGTATGATTGTCCAATTGAGGTGGGAATGGCGCGCGATTCGCTTGAGGTGGGGCGGGCTTAGATGCATTATTGGTGTTGTCATTGTTGCTCTGGTTTCTATTCAGGTTGTGCGAAGTGTGTCTGCTTGGGACTTGGGCGGATCGTGACGGGAGGTTCGTTGCCTTGGGAATCGAGGATTTGAGCTGCATGAAGCCGCCCTGCTCGCCCAAAAAGCATATCATCTCATCGATCCAGCATTTGGTCACCCACCAAGATCCGAAGCTCTTACCCTGGTTGATGGTGATGTCGCGCATAACAGCAGTTCCCACACCTTGAACACACGATACCACATCCTCTGCGAGAGCGTAGGGAAATTTCTTCTGAAGTGCCTGGAGAAAGTTGACCCATCGATCGAGTATGTTCTGGCCACTTTCGCCGCCAAGGTTCTCGGTCTGTGATACTCTGCCACTCCTCGTGGCCACGTCAGCATACAGAGTCTGGCACTCTATATCCCAGGGGACGTTCTGAGGGTCCAGGAGGTCGCGGATCTCGGTCAGCAATAACATTACAAGGTCATCCATGCCGCGAGTCGGTACGACTTCCGCAACCTTGCGAATCCTAACCATTGTGATCCAGTCAATGTACATTTGGTCGCGATTGGCTGGGTTCGATAACATGTTTGCTGCTGCGTGAGCCGTCAAGTTAACACGGAGAGCTCGGTCCAAAAGAGCAGCGAAGATGCTGGCTGGGGCTTCCTTTGCCTGCACCACATGTCTCGGTTGGCCCTGGAACGATTCGCGAATGTGAAGCACGAGCCTCTCGGAGATATTGCGAAAGGTATCTAGGACTGGCTTCGGGACGACCTGCAAGGTAAGGTTGGAGATGATTTGCATCATCCTTTGGTACAAGACAAAGTCGCACTGTTCAATCCACAGTGCCACACCAGGACTCGAGAAGAGCTTTTGCACCGGCATGGTAAGAGTGCCTTGGAAGGAAGTGTACAGATGAAAAAATGTCTTTTCTCTGCAATAACGGATACACTCAACAAGGGATGTGCAGTGGCTGCGATACAGTGCTGTCAGGGACATTGCTGCGTCTGGATCAGTGCCTTCAGGTAGAAAAGGCTTGATCTGAGGCAAGACGAGCACGTCCGAGAACGCGTCGGCCGGTAGAGGCGTGAATGCTAGGCGCAGCATGGTCTTTGACGTTGTAGACTGGACTTGGTCAATGCTGGAAAAGTCTGGTGAATTATAAAAACTGTGTGCTCTGTTGTCATTCGACCTTGAGAGAGCCGGTGCGTCAGGCTGAGTAGGAAGCTCGGGCGAAGGAAGAGCAGCAGCCTTTTGCGCGTTGTGAGAAGGCGACTGCGACTTTGAGAACCTGCTAAAACTATTAGAGCTGTGCACTTTCACCCTTTGAATGGAAGCGTTGCAAATGAAAACATACGGAGCATCTTGGGCAAAGCTGCCAGAGTCCTGATACGACACGACTCCTTGGGAAGGCTCCTGGCTCTCCGGGACCTCATCTGCCAGATTGAAGTTCACATAGTGGTATTTTGATTCTCCACGGACTCCGAGTCTGCGTGTCTTCAGGCCAGGGAAGAGTACTCGAACCAATTTACCAAAGCTAGCAGGATTCAACACAGTCGTCCTTTCGGTGGCGCATCTCGAAGCATAGTTTGCGTATACACGACCCCTAGGCACCGAACCCTTTCCGCCGGAGCACACCTGATTGATCCATAGCATGGCAAAGACCTGTCGTGTACGTTCCGAGTTGGGGCCCCTTTCGTTCCCATGCAGCTCCTGGGCGACATCCGCCAGGTTACGGTGCTTGTTGGCTCTAAACAAGGCACGCATCTCGTGCTCATTGTTGGCGCTCGTCTTGTTCGAGGACTTGGCGTTGCCCATGTTCAACGAGTCTCCGTCGCCATTGTCATCCCGATCCATCATCTGGCTGTCATCGGCAAAACTAGTACTTGCGCCAAAGGAATCTGCCGAAAGTCCTGGATTTGACAGACCGTGTTGTCCATACGGCATATGGTGACCTATGGATGACTGCATGCTCGAGTCCATGGAGAACGACTGGGCTGGATGCATCTGCGATCCGGGTCGTAGTAGCATATCGTCACCAGGCAAATGGTGGCCCTGCAAAGCCATATCCCTCGACGGGGCGTGACTGTGGCCATGTGCATGTGCATGCGCTTGAGCCTGGGCGTGTGCTTGAGCATGGGCGTTGGCGTTCCATTGTTCCGTCTGAAAAGGACCGTGGTGTGGAGCAAAGCCTTGATCGATGTTTTGCTGGGTGGCAGTGCTGTGCATCGAAGCTGTCGAAGCTCTCGAAGGCGCTCTGGTCCTCGGGTGTAACTGATGATTTTGCGCAGGCATTGCGCCGGCCTCAGGAGGCTGGGACTCTATTTGTGTATTACGGTCAGCAAAGACGAAGCAAGAGGAAGAAAAGAAAAGAAAAAATAAAACCACGTCGCGGTGGTAAGAGTGGTATCAAGAGATGCAATTCGCCAGGTAAACAGGTGCAGTAGAGACAGGAACCGGGCAAGGAGTTGTCGTACCTGAGTCCATGGTCTCTGATGGGTCTCTGCCGTGTTTGCCAATCTGGATGTCTGTCTTGAGGAAATGTTGCCCTCGGCGCTATTCAAACCGTAAACACAGACTGGGTGGGCTGCCCGCTGGGCGCTTCGGCCGGGGGCCGTGTCGGGTCGTCGGTGGGAAAGCGGAAAAGCAAGGATGGGGGATGATGATGATGGGGCGGAGAAGAGGGAGCGAAAGAAAGTAAATAGCAACTATTGCAAATCAAGAAGATCAGATACGTAGTAAATGAATGCTCGAATGATCTACTCAATAAGTGGACGTGGGGTTGTTTGGTGGTGGGAGGAGTTGGTCGCGATGAGTTGGGTCCAGTCCAAAAGTGCACATTGCGGTTCTGGTTTGCAGAGAATGGAGAAAACACAAGGCGACGACAAGTAAACGAAAGCTTTGGTTGCCCCGACACCAAAATCCGGGCTGGGGGCCTTGGGCTTGAGTCAAGACAGGCGGCTGGGCAATGCGCTGCTGTGATTGGTCGTCCAGGGTGCGCCAGATGCGGCACAAGCTTGTCGATGCCAGAACCACAGCAAAGTACCGCAATAAGACGTTGCAATTTGTCTCTGCGGCGACGAGTCAAAATTCTTTAGCAAGAAAATTGCAATCTTCATTGGCGCGCACGAGAAAGCATCGGCGCTCATAGAGACCATTTACAAGATGCTATACTCGAAGCCTTGGGCATTATTTTGAGTCTGTTAGTATACCTGTGCACGAACCCTTGATTTATTTGTTGTGTCAATATACACCAGATACACGAGCTTCCCAGCGTGTCAAGACTCTTCGCGAAAGCGGGGCACCTGGCATCTCGCTCCTGTGTGGCTGGCGGCCCATGCCAAGTTTGGTTCGCTTCGCTCAATGCAGTAATGCCACAACAATACATTGTACATAGTATTTATGCAACACTTGGAAACGAAGTATTATGCGCCTTTGCCCGATCCCAGGCAAGTGAGAGCACGCACAGCTCTCGAAGGACACTGACGAGGAGGACCCAGGGCAAGCTGCATGAACTTGCATCATCTCACTTTATTGTCTCTACAGAGTATGATGCCGTCTTTGGTGGATTGCGGACTTTTTTTATTTATTTAAATTTTTTTTTTCTGTCGCATCCTTCCTCCGTTCTAGCGGACGCTACCTATCACACATACCCACCACCGACGGACCGACCGGATATCTTGCTGGCACGACCATAGTGAAAACGACCAACAGGTCCCATGACTTTGGCAGTTGGCAAATTGACTGGCATGTATTATTTTGCATGTTTTTATAGTAGTTGTCGAGTCACGTAGTATTGGATGCATCATTGATCTGAGCCCATTTGCAACAGTCTTTCCAGTCATTGGTAAAAATGCGCATCGGTTGATTACAACAGCTCCTTCTTTAGTCCAGAGCGCCGGGATGAGACAAACCTCTCTGGATAGATAATACAAAATACTGTACTTATCTGGCCTAGGTAGCTCCATTCCTTACTGTAGCACTACACATTAGATATGCCATCACTTGTTGTATGGACTTTACACCCATCATACCATAAATAAAGAGCTGATGGAAAATAGCGGGTAGCAAGAGCAGATGCTCAAGCTCAAAATTTAAGATCTTCTAATTATCCTAGATATTGCCGTGCTGGCTACAATTCTGTCATGTATCAGATCACAGGAGAATTTTTAGGTATGTACGCTGTCACTTCTGGAGAATCCCGTCCCACTTATTGGTCATGTATGCAAGTACATACGTTCGCACGTTGATGTTGCATGTGAATCATGTACCAGCTGCCGGTGCGTTGCAGTAGGAGCATCAGCCGGATTGTGGACACCCACCAGTCGTCATTCGTCTTGAGCGGACAGTCTGCCGGGCTTCGTCAGTGCCAGTCAAGCACGGGGGGTGGGTGAAGTCATACTATGTATGCAGTGTCATCATCGGCTCCTGAGCTCTCCTGAAATTCTCCTGATTCCTCCTCTTCCACACCTGTCGCAACAGAAGAAATAGGTATTAGCTTTGTTTTCTCGTGAGAGCTTCAGGCTTCGAAACACAGCATTTGCACCACTTTTCGCAACACTGACCACCGTCGTAACCCAGTACGTTAAGCTTCCAGCCCACTTCCGGCATCATGCCTGGATTACCTGCGGAAGACAGGTGGCCCGTCCAGCAGCTAACCCTAACATTGCCAGCTTGACATCACCAACAACTCCCCCACCCTCGTGCACCATTGTCCGTATCGACCTCGAACTTCCGCTTCAACCAAAACAACACAAACCATCATCAAACTCGCTATTTGCTCATAGCCAAGATGTCTGCCCAGGATCGTGTTCAGCAATACGTCACTCAGCTCGACAAGGAGGTATGTCGCCATCATCAACCCGTGGCCTCGCTTTTGGGGTCGTCGCATGTCCGTCCCTCCCCGAGAGGAGTCAGTCAGGCTAATCAAGAGACGTCTATAGCTTTCCAAGTACCCTGCTCTCAATAACCTTGAGAAGCAGACCTCCGTCCCCAAGGTTTACGCCGTCATTGGTCTCGTCACCTTGTACTTCTTTTTCATCGTCTTCAACCTGGGAGGCCAGCTCCTGACCAACGTTGCGGGCTTCGTCATCCCTGGCTACTACTCTCTCCAAGCTCTGTTCACCGCTAGCAAGGTTGACGACACCCAATGGCTCACTGTACGTTCAGCTCCTCGCGGCTTACCATGTCAGTTTCTTGATTTATTTCGCTGCTAACATCTTCGCCTCTAGTACTGGGTCGTTTTTGCCTTCTTCACCGTTATTGAGTCTCTGGTGAACGTTGTCTACTGGTTCCCCTTTTACTTTACCTTCAAGTTTGTCTTCCTTCTGTGGCTGAGCCTGCCCGCCTTCAGGTAAGATATCTCCTCAAGAAACTTTCAACGTTTGACAGCCTTCACTAACTGTACTTGCTAGTGGTGCTCAGCTCGTCTTCCGATCTTTCATCCAGCCCGCCTTTGGCCGCTACTTCTCGCAGTCCGGCTCCACTGCCGCCAACCTGCGCGCCAAGGCCGACTCGATCGGTAAGAGCGAGTAAGCAGTGCTTCTTTGCTGAAGCGCTGTTGCTGCTCTGCACCTGTATCACCACGAGACAAGCCATATATATATGATACGGTGCCGGTCGCACATGTAAACAAATTGCTTCGCCGACACGGCGATTTGACGATAGTTACGACAGAGTCATGAATGCCTACGTCGGTAGAATTGCCACTGAATAGAACGAACCAAGCTTTGGGACTTTTATTGGTCAAAGGGAGGAGTATAGGGCCGCGCGGGTGTCTTTCAAGGTCAAATAGAGAAACGCTACTGTAAACATTTTCCTAGTTTCCTACGATGAACGACATTTAATGAGAACAATCTCGAAAAATCCTATTCTATCGGACCTTGGTGCCGAATGTGCATCATCTGTTGCGTTGATACTTTTCCAATGTTCAATCATACCATGCTGAATGATTCGCTGTCAAATATTTTGCTCGTTTAAGACTGTGATAGCATTAGACAAGATGTAGTCTGACGGAATCATATTATCAATGCCAATGCGCATTCATGATTTCACAATACCCAAGGGGTTGATGCATTTCAGGGCGGCATCGAGGGAATACGAATTGAGCTTGCAAGGTTGCACACGTGTAGATGGTGGCAGTGTAAGAAATGCCGTCCTGGAGCGACTGTCAAAAGTGGGTGTGCCTGGCCTAACGTAGCGTGGCGGTGCTGCCGCGACTCTCCAGCGCTCTTGGCGGGAGATCAGCGTACTGCTAAGGTGCTAAGATAGATGCTGCCGCAGTATGAAACCCGACAGGTGATTTGAAACACTTTCCCTTCCATCTTTCAACCACCGACGACCCCAAGGAGAAGGAATACAATTACTTGGGCGAGAGAAATCGGAAAGTCAAGAGAACAACGAAGAGGTGGGAAAAAAGACACACGCGACCCCCGATCGAAGATGAGCTACGACCTCACTCGCTTCTAATTATAAATCCACGCCATTTGCCCGCCCGCCCTCATCGTTTCCACTCACCCTCGTCCGCAACTTGACTGCCCCTCGGGGCGGTCGCATTATTACAACAATAGAGATGCAGCTCAGTCCTCTGCAATCGCGCCTGGCTGCGTCGCTGGCAGCATCGTTCCTCTTGCTCGTCGTCTACCTTTTCCTCTTTTCGCCGCAATTCGCCCTCGCCGCTGAGATCCTGTCCGAGCATGGCGCACGCGGCGATGCAATGGACGTGTGGGCGCTGGCCGAGGATATGGAGCAGGCCACCGCAGAGTCGCTTGATTTGAGAAGCGAGATGTACGAGCCAGACTTTCCGCTGTTCGATCGGAGTGTCATTGGGCGCGCGCCTTCGGGAGTCACGAGCTTAACGAATAACGTCAAGAGCAACCAGAACCTGGACCAAGGGTCGTCGGTTAGGTTTGTCTTTGAGATCGCTTCGCTCTCTAGCAGAGAAATAGACAGTTCAGAGGCATTCGAGCTACGGAAGAGGCAGGAAGATCCGCAGGATACAGAAATGTTTGTGGCAGAGGATGAGCAGAATGTCACTGACCTGTCTGAAATCGAGCGACGAGCAACGCCAACCAAGACTCTTTGGATATCTGCAAATACCTGTATGCAACCCGACAGGCCCGCGGCAAATCAGACTTTCATGGACCCTCCGCAACTCACCTTGTACGTTTCAACGTCGAGCGACAACGACTCACCGGGACCAGCCGCGCCGCCCGACAACCAAGAAGTGCTTGTATTCGATGAAGGCGCCGTCATGTATAACATGACTTTCTCCGAAGACGTTTACTTTACAATTACTGCCCCGAATGTATCTGACTGGTTCACCTCATCTCTCTACAATGTCGATGTTGCAGCTTCAGTCGACCAGTCTTACCATTCATACGATGCCGACACGGAGCCCGACCTGGTGTGGGTTGACAGTGATTCAGGCGCTGCCTTGCTCAGGACCGGCAACTTGACCAATAGCTCTGATACGGAGCTCACCACAGCGCCATATACAATGTTTGCCTATTCGCAGAACGATGCAACAGTAGTTGGTGTTAAGAGGTCATACTGCGGTCTCAAGGAATACGCCGAGATTGGTGGCAGCCAATCAACAACTGCCTTGATGTCGACAGGCTTGACCAGAAGGGGTCAAGGCAATTCTACAAAGCAGGAATTCTTCATCACCGGATTGAATAAGAGTTCCATATACGAAGCTATATTGGTCCAGGAGCCAGGGACGACTGGCTCCTTGAACAAGAGGGATGATAATGTTGCTGGAGGCGGCGGTGTTGTCTTTCGCCAGACAGAATTCGACACCAAGTCAAGTAAGTACCCAAAAAAGAAACTGGACCATGGACACTCTGAGCAGCCTTTCTCACATTTTGCACAGGCAGCACATGTCAGGTTATTTCCAACCTCACCTTTTGCGACCAAACAGCGTATTCTGTCCCTAGCAGTTCAAAATACAGTAACAAAGTCGACGACCTCAAGGAGTTTTACGACAGCTATGCCAAGGAGATGTACGACAACTTTGAAAAGGCCTTGGCTCAGATCCAGTGCGATGCAGACAACACTTCAAAGTACTCGCTGGCCAAGACCTGTGATGACTGCAGAGATGCGTACAAGAACTGGGTCTGCTCTGTGTCTATCCCACGTTGCGAGGACTTTTCCAAAACAGATGATTTCCTTCAGATGCGCAACATCATGGCTACAAACTCTGACGGCAGTTCTCCCGTGGATCAATCCTTGAAGCAAATTTATGGCAATGCTGTTGCTTATAATTCTTCTCGATTAGCAAGAATCGACGACGAAATCGAGCCCGGTCCCTACAAGGAAGTTCTACCCTGCGAAGACCTTTGCTATACACTCGTACAGAGCTGTCCAGCCGCGCTTGGCTTTGGGTGCCCGACCCCGGGGAACATGGGCTTCAATACAAGTTATGGCCGGAGAGAGGTCAATAGCTCTTCCAGCGCCGTGACTTGCAACTTCCCAGGGTCAGCTCATTACGTATCGGCGGCACAAATGTCTGTGACGATATCATCAGCTGCGTTATTCGGATGTGTTGCTTTCGCAATGCTGTGGCTATGACCAGCTACCGGGAATTACTGCCACCATTATTGAGGCAGTTCCAGCCCCCTACCATCTTTAAAACATTCACGGTATAATTTATAACCGATGTGGGAGAGAGCAGCATCACATTTTTGGAAAGGGAAACGAGGTTCATGTCAGAGCTGGCGTTGGGAGTTTACGGGTTGATAGTCATTGGGGATGCTGAGAATTCTCTGATAGAAAGCAGGGAAGACAGCTATAGACTCAAGCTAGAATTTTTCTCATGATAACGGCCTGCTCGGCAGAGGCGTTTGATATTGCTTATATACCACACTTTTGAACACGTCACGACTGTTTCGAGATAGTAATGACTACCGCGCTCCGTTGAGCGAAGAGCTACAGTCGACTCGTAGCGGGTCATCCTCGTGCTTTGTTTCGTGATTTTTGGTGTTCTCGCGACGCAGGATGGGTATGCGTTGCTTTTTTGGCAACTCTGTGCATGAATGTCTACACCTTGGCGTGTGCGCCTGTCTGCACCTGTCAAATCATCCTCTCACGAAGCCCCGGACGCACTCATCCCTCAGTCCATCCAGTGCATGTAACATGGGCGCCGCGGGCTTCGTGTCCATTTGCAATTTTGCTCGAGAGATGTACTGCCGAGTTCGATCACGGGTTTCCTGGAATGGGGTATGACTTGGGGAGAGAGAGTGTGTGTGAGACGGCATTTTGCGCAATTGTAGCAAGATCCTTTTCTGCTTCTCTCGATCAAAGGGATAGAAGTTCCCATTTGCCGAGTCGTTGATCATTTCTTTCCCTTTTCAGCCTTGGATTGTTCGAGCGATTCTATCCTCTTCTCCAGATCCGCAATGGTGGCTACACAAATTCGCAAAAAGTCAGTCTGGCGTAACTTTTTGGGGGGTGGGTTCCCTGTCGAACGTATATGATGGGGTAGGAACTTACCAGCGGCGTCGGCCCTGATCTCGTCCGTCTCGAGCTTCATCCAGCCATAGTAGACGAGCTGATATGTGAAAATAGCCATGAGGGCGACCTTGAAGATGGGCCGGCTAAAGGTCTGCCAGAAGCTCGGCCGCTGCTGCGATGGACGAAGCTTGGCTGCTTCCTCGGACGACGACGACGACGAGTAGAGACGGCGAGGGGAGCACCTGGGAGCGGTTCCCTGTGCTCGAGCGAGGACGCGCAGCATCGATTGCCTCATGATTATTGTTGTTGGTATGTCTTTGGGGTTCTCGTCGAGCCGTAGTTTTGTGCTTGTCGAAATGTGAATATCAGAGCTTCTCAAGGATCTAATTGAGCTCGCTCTCTATCTGCCGCGCGCGATTGGACGGAAAGCTCGCGCCCTGTGGCTGGTGCAATTAAAGCTTCGGGCTTCCTGTGGAGGAACGCAGTGATCGGCGGGCTCGGTAAGCCTACCCGCGAGGAACTCCCAGTTCAACGGTATGGTGAAAAGCGGACAGCTGGGCCAAAGACCCCCCCCCCCTGTCTTGAACCCCAAATTCCGCTACCCTTGCGCTACATTAGCTAGTGGTGGGTGGTGTTAATTGCGGCCAGCAGCCAAGAGGTCCCCCAAGTCCAAGACCCCTTTGGGGGGGCTTTCCAAATGTGGCCATATTCGCGTCCGGGACAGATTTCAACTATTCTCCCCAAAGTCTACGTATGCGAAAAGCTATATACAACCTCATTGCACAATCCTTTTCTCTTTCCGTGACTCTTACATTATAGTACACTGGCAGATCTGTCCACTATCTTGTTCAATTCGAAGACTTGCGAAGCCGTTCGAAGACAGAGGCAGACAGCATATAAGTCACCACGTTTCGCGACTTAACCCCGGATCCCCTACTTGAAGCTCTCCTGCCGCAGATCGATCTTGCAACAACAAGACTTTGTAGATTTCACCACAAATCTTTCAAGAGGCCCTTTTCTTGCAGCTCTTGCAATCACATATATCCAATCTTTCCTCACACTCGATATATAACAAATTCACAATGGTGCGTCTCTCTCTACCCTTTAAACACACACTCGGACGACGACCATTGTTTGCTGACCTTGAATGATCCCCCCAACTACAGGCCCAGACACCTCAGCAGAGACGCGCGAACGCCAAGTTCGTCAAGGACCAGGACGCCCGCCGTGGCAAGTCAGAGGCCGACAGACAGGCACGGTCCAAGGAGGTGCAAAAGGCGACCATCTCGCCCATCTGGCTGAGTGAGTTCTTTTTCCTCGTTCTGCACCTTTTCAGCCAATCTCACTTCAATTTGACGTGGACGTTCCGCTAACCATATCACTTTCCAGTACTCCTCGGCTTTGTGGTCTTTGGCGGCGTCTTCTTCGAGGTCCTGCAGCGCATCTTCTGGCGATAAAGGGGGAAAAGGTATAAAGAACAAACAAACGAACATGGGACGGCACGCCGGTGCACCTGTAAGAGGAGAAGAAAACAAGTCGCCATCTTGAAAGAAGAGAAAGAGAGGCTTGGTCAATCATATATGGGCAGGCAGCATCGAATCATCAAAGGGGGCAAAAAGCTATAGAGAGCACAATGGCGAAACCCGGCTTGCGCCAGACGCTGGGAAAGATGAAAAGGCCGTTCCGATTGAGTGAGGTGGCATCAACATCATGCCTGACTCGGGGGGCATCTTTTCCTCTGCCTGTAAAAGCATAGCAACAGCATCACGATGTCGGGCATCATGGGGAAATTTTGAGTTTTGAGCGCACAGCTCCCAGTAATTGCAACAATAACAATTCCTTTTTCAGTTCACACATTGGCGCAAGTTTGGATGGCATAGGAGATTTGGTCCACTTCAAATGTATATATTTCTTTTTGATTTCAAAGGTGCAAGAACAAAAAAAAAGTAGTTCGCTGGTATCTTGACTTTTTCCGATGCGCCATCCATGAACTCCAGAGTTCCTGTAGAACTATGCATGCAACAATGTATAGGTAGTACACACGATCCCCTCGCGTTCCCTGTCCTTTTCAAGCACCGAGACCTCTCTTGCCACCAATATCCTTGCGGTTCATACCCGCCTCGTATTGTCGCTCAAGTGCGTCTTGCATGTGGTTGATGTCCTGTCTCGAGGAGCCGTAGACATTGGAGCCGGTAGCGGCGTTGCCGGCCTTTTTACCGCCCAACAGTCTCATGAACTTGTCCTGGCGTGCGCTGCCGCCGCCCAGGGCCTGTACGTTCCAAGTTCCCGCGTCTTCAGACGACGGCTGCTTTGTGCTCGTTGCTGGTGCGTCTTCGGGGGATGCCTTGGTCTTCTTCTTCTTGGGGGTTTCGGATTCGGGCTCGACGGCAACGTCGTCGGACTTTTTCGACTTTTTGCTCTTCTTGGACTTCTTCTCTACAGACTTGTCGTTGAAACCATCCTTGTCCTCCTCGTCAGCTTCGGCTTTGCGGTCTCGCTTGCGCTTCTTTTCGGCCTTTTTATCCAAAACAGCAGCCGACTCTTCTTCGGCGTCCTTGTCGTCACTGACACCCTCAGACTTGGACTTTTTGCTCTTTTTCTTTTCTTTCTTTTCCTTTTTTGACTTCTTGTCCTTTTTGCTGCTTGCCTTTTTGTCGTCCTCGGCGTCACTGTCCTCATCGGCCGTGGTCTCGGCAACAGCCTTCTACAACGAATCAATGTCAACAATCTGTGAGTCGAGGGCTTTGTTACTTATCGAGTGTCATTGGCACTTACGTCTTTTGCTGCTTCTAGAGCTGCCAGTTGGGTTCTGGCCAGCTCGGCTTCCTTCATCAATTCACGAGCTTGCGACTCGAGTTGCTCGGCGCGATCGCGCAACTTCTTGATGCGCTTTTCATCCTTGTCGGCGCCCATTTTTGGAGATTCTTAGAGGCAGTTTGAATCTCTGAAGCTGTCAATTGGATTGAAAAGTACGAATCTAAACGTCCAATGTGGGGTTGGGGATTTTTCCCTGTCGCAACTTCTAAAGCTTCATCCTACAATTCGTGGCAGAATTTGGGGAAATTTTGGCGGTGTCCTAGAAAAGTCAAGCGCGTATCGATGCCAAGACGTTTGGGAGGGCTCCACATGGGTATTGCATCGCTATACTCCCACACTATTCGGAGCCCTGTGGGTATCCTGTACTCGCCATCTTTCTTTTGCAGCTTACATATGAACGATACATGCTATTATTGTACTTGAAAGTATCACATCAGTCATTAGAGGAGAGACGTGCTCTCAAGGAACTAAGCAGTTCAGCTTTGCTCATTTGAAGCTTGTTGAGGTCAGTCCCCGTTGAGAGTTTCTGGATTCGCCACTTGTCAAGTCTGGGTTCTGTTCATCTCTTTGGTCTTCATTTTCTCCAACTGCTGGAGCTACTATACGCAGCCCACGGCATTTTCTTACAGACTATTAGTGTCAATCCTGATGTGTAGGAAACACGGGACACACCACTAACGGGTTTCAATGTAAGAGCCTCTACATGAAAGGTGCACAAGAACATCATACTGAAGGGAAATGCATATAAGGTAATTATAGTTTTTTGTTTTTATATATCAAAAGTGCAGGGATTATAAAAATCTTTAATTAGGAACACGGGTAGAAAAACTTATAGCTGAAACCTATACAGCCTCTTATACTTGACAAGACATTGAGTCATCTTAACTGTTTCTTCTTTATTGGGACAATTCAGACGGGCAATGGCGACGCTGAGAAGGATGTTGATCTCCCAGGTCTACTGGTAATATAATTGAAGAATAATAACAGTCGAAGGTGGTTGGCATGGCCATGTGATAGCTTGATACAGCCTTTCCTAGACCAATCATACCCATAGAGACTCGTATCTCGTAGCTCAGCTCGTCGAAACCCCGGTCCGGCGCGGCGACCAGCCCTATCCCCTTGGGAATCCCAGGCTCTGATATGGTTTTTTCACTATTGAGTCGATAAACTACCGAATTCGTTGGCTTGCAGTCGTAGACCCTTGAAAGTTGCATAACCTCCCTCGGCACACTGAATGGATTGGGAACAGTCGTCCCTATAGGTCACTGCGATGCACCCCGCTCCATGATGCATATGCCGTGCATATTCAAAGAGGGATGACGACCAGATATTGCGATAGATATCAAGTCCCGACAAAGTTCCTTTCATTACCGGAACGCTTTCGCCCTCGTATCTTGTCAGCTCGTACAGATTAAACGAAGGCTTTCCATGCCCGGCGAGTCGCAATGTTTGAGTTGATCGAGCCCACCAAGGCTTTTGAACTGATGAACCCATCATCCATTGCTGTCTGCGTGTTATCAGGTCTCTTATCAATCTTGACATGGCGCCTTTTCTTAACCCCAATATCCGATATTCCGGGTCCCAAATGGGCATCTCTCACACGGTTATGGCACATGTATCAGATATGGACAGGTCGTCAGAACTTGACGATCTTGGAACTTCACGAGAAGCATGGTCAGTACAAATGTCCCTGTATTTGAGATACGAGCTTATGTATCTTCGCTACAGGCCACTTTGTTCGCATCGCGCCAAACGAAGTCAGCACAACACACCCCGAGGTGATCAAGAAAATGATACTCACCCCTCAACTCAAGGTGCTTCTAGTCATGCATATAAATTTCAAACAAGTTGGCTGACAGTGTTCTCAGGGTCACTGGTATAAAATGATGGTGAGTAGAGCAACCCAACATTGACATGTCTTGTTAACACAATCCCTATTATAGAGATTTCCGGACTGGAGGTAAGCTGCCATCCTGCTACTTCACTACCATCTGTCCAAGTATGATCTCTGATTGACTATGTCCTAGATTCCGAACAGCCTTTTCAGTGTTGGAGCCCAAAGCCAAGATTGAGCTTTCCAAGCAACTCGCATCGGCTTACGCCATGAGCAATGTCATCAAGAATGAAGAGCAAATCAACGCCCTCATTGAGCGCCTAATGCAATGGCTAGACAAGTTCTCAGAGGACCATGAGCCGATGGACCTTGCTAAATTCTTCACCTTTACCGCCTTTGACGTTGTCGGAGAAGCCGTATTCTCCAAGCCGTTTGGCTTTCTCGAAAAGGGCGTCGACATTGACGACTGCATCGCCCAGACGCTCAAGTTCCAGAGCTATATTACCATTGCCGGGTTTGCCCAGTGGCTGCACAACCTGCTCGTGGGCAACCCCCTCGTCACCTGGCTCGAAATCATGCCGACAAACTATCTGGCCAAGACGTCCAATGCGGCGCTCGAGGCGCGCAGGAGCAACCAGGACGCCCGCTTTGACTTTGTGGCCCACTGGCTCAAGGCCCACGAGCAGAACCCCGATAAGCTGTCCTATCGCGATCTTCAGTCTGCCGTCATGTCAAACGTCGGGTGCGTATAGACAAACGATACCAGTCGTTTTCTCTTTCTCTCTCTCTCTCTCTCTCTCTCTCTCTCTCTACTAACAGAAATTCGACCTATAGTGCCGGCTCGGACACGGTTTCATGTGCCATACAGTCTGCCGTTTACCACATGATCCGGCACCCCGACGCGTGGCAGCGCGCCCGCGCCGAGATGGACCAGGCCCGGTCGCAGGACGGCATATGCAACGACGGCGTCGTCTCGTACGCCGACGCGCAGCGGCTCCCTTATCTGCAGGCGTGCGTCAAGGAGGCCCTGCGCATCTTTTCCCCCGTCCCCATCGGCACGCCGAGGGTGGTGCCCAGGCAGGGCGTCACCATTGGCGGGCGCTTCTTCCCGGCCGGGACCACCGTCTCGCTGAATACCTTTAGCATGAACCTGTCGACCGAGGTATGGGGCCCCGATGCCCGTGACTTCAGGCCCGAGCGGTGGATGGTTGAGGATACCAGTGCGCTCGACAAGAACTTCTTACCGGTAACGTCTCCCCCCTTTACTTCTTTTACTGTGGGAGAGATGAAATAGCTCTAAACTCTTTGGAATTCACTAGTTCTCGGGTGGTATAGGAGTCTGTGTAGGACAGCACCTGGCTAGGATTGAGATATTCAAGATACTGGCCACCATAATCCGGGATTACGATATTGCTCAGGTGAAGCTGGAGCAAGAGTGGAAATATCGTGCATATTTATCGGTAGTGCCTCGCGATTGGCCCGTGTATATCGCAAAAAGATCTGCTGCTTGAGGAACACAGAGCATATCAGAAATGAGAGAGAGACCCCAGCACCGAACATGAATCTCTTGAGCACAATGATTAGTTTATGTAAAATTCAAATCAATTCAAGGCTCAAATTTGATTGGAAATTCTAGAACGCTTTGAAACTTCTATCCATGAAAAAGGAGATAGGCCAGCCGAATCCAAACAGTAGGTGTCATACATGGGGTATATAGGTTGGGAGATGTACTCTTTCGCTTCATCAGATGCAGAGGGGAGGGTACCAGGGGAAGGGGTCATGAAAGGAAAAAAAAGGTATCCCAAATTATGCACAAATCCATCCCGTGAACAAGAAAATAATCCTACAAGTCGTCATAAAACAAATCGCCGCCGCCTGTAGCACTACCATCATCATAGCTGGTAAAGCTCTGATAGCTGTAACTCGACGTTGTCACGGTGGGATACGCATCGTTGCTGTAGCCACCGCTCGAGTACTGTCTATAGAAATCATCTCCCACCTCGTCTTGAGTGGGAGGGTAGTCGTAGTAGTAATCGCCGCCTTCGTCGCCGCCTCCTGTCCCTGCGGCAGCAGCAGCTGCTGCCGCCGCCGCCTCATCGCCACCGCTCCGTCTTTGGCTGTTGTGGGAGCCGCCCGAGCTGTGCCCGTGGCCGCGCGAGAGCACGTGTCGCATGCTGAACGAGCCCCAGGGCAGGCCGTCGCATTCCTCGCCTTCCTCGGCCAGCTCGTCCGAGGATGGGACCGCGTAGCTGCTGCCGGCGAGTTCCTGGTTGCGGGAGTCGCGCTCTGACTTTTCTTTTTGTTCTTTTGCTTTTTCGCCTGTTTGTGGGAAAGATGATCATGTCAGTCGATATACATAGATAATGGGAATAGATGAAAATTTCCGAGAAAAGAAAGCAGTAGATATTGGAAAGGTTTATCTTACGGAATTTCCGCTGGGCCAAGCGGTTTTGGATGCGCCGCCGCTCCTCGGGCTCCGTGACATCGGACCAGTCGTCTGATTTTGTGTGCTTGGGTTTTGATTTCGAAGACGAGTGGTGCTTAGAGCTCGAGCTCCTGCTCTTTGACGAAGCTGACGACGAGGTCATTTTGGCGTCTGTCGGGTTCTTGTGACTCTTTTCCCTTGCTCCTCCTTCCTCCTCAGAGTTCGACTCGAGGGTGGCTTGCGGCCGTTTTGGGGCAGCCCGTGTCTGGTGAGATGATCCCTCAACTGCCTTTTCCTTTCCTTTAGAGGTTGTAGGTAAAGCCTCTTGCCTCTGAGGCTCCTCTGGTGCTTCGACTATACGGACAGTCTCCTGTGATGATGTCTCTTCGGAAAAGCTCCTTGGAGACAGACTCATGAACTCTCATAAAACGACTGCCAAAACTGAGAGTGTTTTGCAGCTCAGGCAGATGTGCAACAAAATTGCAAGACGTTTTGGTGCAAAGATCAACACTGATAAACTCTTGTGCCCAGAGAGGTAGGCCAAATATAAAGTACAATAGGCAAAAGAAGCAGCTCTATCAAGTCGAGTTTGATATGGGGAAATGGTACAGTGCAGTAAGTAATCATAGAAGACTAGATGTGAGGCAAGTGCTCGAGAATAGGCTGACGAGTGTGTCTAGACTATTTATATATGATGACTCTGATAGTCAAGTGTCCAATGAAAGAGGGTTGGTGATTGCGGTGCATACTATGATGTAGCGCTCTTCTAAATGGGTCGTATAGTCGAGCAAGTAACACGGTTACTACAAACTACAGGCCCCATGCTTTTTGGGATCAAGCAAAGAAGCGGCAGCGTGAGACAAAATAAGACTCATATTGAAGCAGAGGAATTGGCAAGGGAATACGAAATGAGAGGTATCTCCGGGGGCTTCCAAGTCTGCCTGCCATGCCGCGCGGACTACTTACACACATTGGTATTTTGGTTATGATAGTGTGTAGACACGTAGGTAGTAGGTAGTAGGTAGTGAGATAGGTAGGTATGTAACCCATAGGTAGGTTAGTAATTTAGGCCCTTGTTTTTCTGCCTTGAGCCATCTTGGGTAAAGTTCCAAGGCATCCATCCTGCGAGGACCAGGCCCCAACCGTCCACGAGGGACCATTCTGCGACGAAAATGTTCGGGATGCCTTGGCGGAACTTTTGACGATCCCTGTCGTTGTCTGGAAATGAAAAATTACTTCCGGTTTTCTTGTACATATCCATAGATGCATCCGAGCTGCCAAAGAAAGCGTCAAAAGGTGAAAGTCAGACGTGTGTGTGTGTGTGTATGTGTGTACTGTGTAAAATGCGTTGCTATATTTTGGACTGGCCCCAAAAAAGAATGCGGCTGGGTTCATGTTCCAGGCTACTGGGTACAGGGTCAGCGGCCGTTTCTAGGTATCCACCCGCCCTGGACGGGAACGATCCGGAAGCTCGTCTAAGATGATCGACAGGCTCCAGGGGGGTCAGTCCCATCGATAACATAACTAACATCATTGACCAAAGACACGAACTGGAATTGCATAGTATCGTTTTCTTATTGTCATGATCTGGCGATTATAAAGCCCAATGCTTCTTGTTATTATCCATTATAACATCAATTGACATGCAAATTGCAATTGGAAACGGGTTTACTCTGATGAAATATTTGGTATAATTGATGTAGAATCTCATGAAGAGCTAATAGACCCTCTGATGCAGCAGTTAGCTCCCAGGAAACATTAAACGCAGTGCTAACTCACTATAGTATCTTCTGGGCCAGATGACCACTCCCAAATTCGTAGCGACGGCAATGATTCGGGTCCTCCCCTTCAGCCCTGCCACGATTATCAGGGGGTAAGAAAGGGATGCAATCAACGCTCATGTAATGCCTCAGTTTGAAGTGAGCACTTTTCCCTCATGTCTTTGCACCTAAAAGGTTAGCTTGCCTGCCCTGGGTAGCGCAGGAACTTTTTTTTAGAGGATGCTTCTTTGGTGCCTGGGGCCTCTAATTCGCTAGAGGACGACTCATCGCGACCTCACATGACCCGCCTATGAATCACATTCTAAACGCAAAAAAGGTAAACTGGCTTTTTCACGATCTCCTACTTCTGCCGAAAGCAAGGGGCGCGGACCATTGAGTGTTCACTTGTTTTGATTCTCGTGATGGGGCTCGGAACCAGATCCGATCATGAGCGATATAATTGTGTTCCATGGACATTTCATCTTTAATTCCCGGGCTTCCAATGATGACGTTCCTCCACTATAATTCTCCAAATCCATTTCAGGTCTTTTTTTGGGCTGATGCCATCCCGCTCACGAGCGTTTCCCGGGTCGGTGGTAAGCCGCAAAAGAGTTGCTACTCTCGCCTCCTCCCATTGACGTTTCTTCATTCAAACACCACTTCTTCTTCTTCTTCTTCTTTTTTCTTGCGTCGCTAGCACAGCCTCGGTGAAAAGAACAATTGTGCTGTTGTACAGACATGCGCACACTCTCATCGTCATCGGCCTGAGATGCTCTTTCATGTATGACTAACTACCTGGCTGGTAAAAGAGTCAAGATACCTTCAAACCAACTGCACACCCGTCTGTTATGCCGCGTAACGTACCACTTGCCCTGTCACGCCGCGATTCCGGTAGCAGAAGCTACAATTCTGAGATCGCATCGACCTTGACCTATAACACTGCCAGAAAAGAATATGCACAAGCCATGACGAAGTCTTCCAATGCAATTGGGAAATTATATGGGGGGGAAATCCCCCAAACTCAGCCACCTTGTCAGTATCAGTACCGTCATCTCGAGATCTTTTGGCGATGCAGTCATTGTTTTCATCAGACTATTGTAATTATTGACCAGTACCATAGCAGGCAAGTATTTATTCACTATTTGCTGTAACGTCACCTCGGGGGTTTGGGACGCGTGCAACTTCCACACCATATTCAACAATTGATCGATGCGGCTGAGAAATATTTCAAAGACGCACGTCAGCTTTGATCTTGGAATGGTGTCTGCCGTTGCAATCATGAGCACCAGAGTACACTCGATGAGAGACTCAGACGAATGAGCACTGACACAAGAGTCGGCGTCGCCGTCTTAGTAGGTCTCTGGGACGCGGTGACTACTCGTCCCAAAAGTTTTTTTTTTTTCAAATGACTGTATGATCTGGAGCCATATCTAAGCGACCACGATGGCTGTATTTGATGGCCAAGAAGAAGTGAGCCTTGCAGCACCTAGATGAATCCCCTCGACAGGCTGTCAGATTCCGACTAACCAGATTCATCTCATATTGCAAGGGGGACAACAATACGGACTGATGAGAACTATAGGCCAAAGATTCAAGTCCAATCACGTCAAGAATATGTGGACATGTGCAGAGATGCAAGAATAGAATAGTGTCACATGATGGACAGACAACCTTTCCCACATGCTGGGGTCTTTTTTGCAAGCTACAATCTGCAAGTTTTTTCAAACACAACCTCTTCAGCCCTATGGGAAAGAAAAGAAATGCTCAATGTGGCCTCGGTAGTAGTTTTTACCGCGCGTCAAGATGTCGTAGATGCAAAGAAAACAAATGGCTGCCTGACGCCAAGACATCAGTTTACAGTCCCATTCCAGGCTGCCAGTTTCAACGTAATCCCACTTTAAAACAAAGAAAAAGAAAGGAGCCTATAGCACATCCAGGAACCTTGCCGAAAAGCAAAGATTGTCCTGTCAGCTGTGCTGAAGTAAGCACATGATGGCTTGCATTGGTCTTGTTTTTTTTTTGTCACCTCTCGGGCCGTTCATGTTTATACTGTAAGCGATCAAGGAGACACTCCCCTTGGCTGGGCAACTGCGCCAACTCTCCAACTCGAATAGAACTCGAGAAGTGGGTTGCCCAACTGCGCCAACTTTCACCTGATACATCAACTGGCTGACTTTTGCCCAGATCTGAATCGCGAAACTTTTACATTTCTATCCTTTTACCATGTACAGAAAAAAGAATGTTGTGACTCACTCGCCCAGCCCCCACCGTCCCAGAGTCCCTCCTGAAACCCTTGCCCAACCTATATCATATAGAGCATAAAGGGAGCCTGTCCCGATTTAGTGACGTACCCGTAGCACACACACACCCCATCATATCATAGTTACAAACTGGGCACTCATTCCCCCACGCAAACCCCAGAAAGCTTGGCCATTGACCCGGCATTATGGTCGACCCAAAAGGGATGTGTGTGGCAACGGGGATCTTTTGAACCCCCGAACGCCCTGGAACATTCTTTCTTCATCTCGGGTGCGGCATCCGGACTGGGAATTGCCAAAAAGACCTTCTCTTCTCCGTTGGGCCTGAAACATTGATGGAATACCATGTGTAGCCATTTTTAGGGAAACAGGCAAGTCGGACGCAAAGACGCGATCTAGGTGTGCTGCCTGATGAGTTGGGATGTACGAAACTCCCAAGGTAAACACTGATATGCTTATAACGGCGTGACATGTAGGTAGGGAGTTTCTTGTAGGAGCCTCGAAGCATAGTCAATCCATGGCGGGTGGGTTGATGTCTACACAGCGCAGAGGATTGAGTCCACGGGAAAACGAGAGCTGAACTGGCCAAGGCTATATGCATTGCAAATATTCTATTTTGATCACATGACGCTACATTCCAGGCCGTACATTGCCCTCTCGACATCACGCTTGATTTGGTACCAGTCGGCTCGCCGCTGTGCATACTCGTAAACCTCCTCGGCTCTAAAGATGCCACCAAATTTGTCACCATCGGCAATGACGGTTGCCATTTCTTTCGCATGCTTGCCATCAATCAGATAAATCTGGCTAAGTTCCCGCAAGGCCTTGAAATATGCGAGCAGATCCGGGTTCTTCAAAGTGCGGATATACTCAAAATACAGATTCATGTCTGCAATCAGCTTGATTGCTCCTTCTGTACTGATACGCAGTCTCTTCAAATGTTTGCAAATGGCTGTAAAGAGTCGAAGACCGACTTCGCCGTTGAAAACATCAAGCATGGTCTTTTCGGTACTGCCGACAAGCATGTTGGTATGTGACGAGACAAGTTCCTTGATTCGTAGTGCCGTCTGTGTAGGCCCAATATCGAAATCGTGTGATGCAGCGCCCTTTTCATCCGAAGAGGCTGCCGGGTTGTAGTCACTTGGTGACTGTGTTGTGGCACAAAGATATTCAACTTCGTCCATTAACACATCAATTCCCTTGTTCAGACCTGCTGCGACACTTTCGTCCAGCATTTGTTCAAATTTCTTTTTAGCAAGGCCTGCTGGATCCAGGAAATCATTACGGTCTGCAATCTTTGGTGCTGCGAGTTGTTGTTCGTAAAAGACATCAATCATCTGTGAGATCAAGTCGCCCACGTTGACAAGCTCGATAAAGGTGACGAGAGGGGCCACACCAGTCTGGCTGTGGTCGCTGACCTCTCGAGGATTGTACAGTGATAGATGATCGACGGCCTTGATAAAGCCATATTTAACGTGAGTTTGGCCCAGGGTCTTTAGTAAAGCAACAAAGATGGCTTCGCACTGCTCTTTTGCTTCACCACCAGCTTGTCCACCTAGCGATACAAACATTGCTGCGCGGCCAAGACTGATTTTTGCTGCTTGCACAAGGTCCAACGCGACCTCGATGCTGCATAAGGACTTGATGCCCTCGAGTCGGTTTGCCATGAGTGCAGCCTTTGCCTTGAGCTCATCTGTTGGTGCTTCAGGGGGCAGCGGAGTACTCTTTCGTTCGAGGGGGTTCCCGAGGCTGGGCGTGCCGGGCCGCGAACCTGAGGGTGTGAGCGTACCATTATGCTGAAGACTGGCTCGATTGGCTGCAGGCGCCGTGACAGGCTTGCTCGTGCCACCCAGTACTGTAACGGGCATCATGACGACCTTCCTAAAGGAACTCAAGAAGTCATTTTTATCTGCGCGTCTGTTGAAGTTGCTCATGTAGAACGATTCAGCTGTCAAATCTTGCTCTGACAAACGCTGGTTCCAGTTTGCAACCTCGCGCTCCGCATGCTGGGTAAAGTAATCAAGCTCGTCCTGCAGATACAAGTCCAAATGCTGCTCAAACACGTGCAGAGCCAGGTCTTTTGCATGCTCTTCAAGCTCATCGGGTGTGCCTGTAGGCGGTCGTAGTGATCGAGAAAATGCCAGACATTGCTCAAACAAGCCAGAGACAGCCTTGAGATATGAAGCCTTGTTCTTTCTATGCAACTCGTCAAGCAGAGAGTTGACATAGTCGATAATTACTTCTTCGCGAAGCTTGTCCATAAAGTACCAAAATGTCACAGAGGGTACTGGGAATATCTGGCTGATGATGGCTGATTGCTCATTGGACTTGCTTGCCAGTGTCTCAAAGAATTGACGCGAAGGCTCCAGAGTAATGTCCTCGTATGAGGCCTGATTGATGCAGTCCATCGAGTTGGCCAATACGTCGCGGTCGTTCAAAAGCGGGTGCTTCGAGACAAAGAGCTCCATGGCGGCACTGCCACCGTTGAGAAAGTGCAGCACATGGGCATACCTCTTCATCCGTCCCTCAACGTCCCAGAATTCATATCCTTGTTCAAACTCTCGCAGCACGGCACTTTCAAACATGCTCGTCATGGAAGCCAGCTTCTCTTCGCGTTCGTTCCACCCCTGCGCCCAGTCGCTTTTGGCAAAGGTGAATAGGTTGTTCAACATTTTGGCTTGTCGTTCGGGATCTCGAAAAGCCTGAAAGACGACGGGTTCGGTATGGCTCTTTGCCTGTGCCAGGTCGTAATAAAAAGGGGCCAGAGCACCGTATACTCTTCCATATTCCTGCCGTGCACGTCCACGTATGCTTTTCACAGTCTTCAATATGTCCAGAAGGGCGTCGGGATCTTCGAATGGTGATTTGGGTTGAGTTGCATTCAAAGTCATTGTCTCGAAGCCGTCGATGTTGGCTGGTGGTGCTTTGGCAGCGTCCTCTGCTGCTTTCCTGCGCCGTTCCTCCTCCTCTGTGGCATCGAATATGGTTGTGTCGACTTGTTGTGCCGCTGTTGGGCTTTGACCAGGAGCTCCTCCATTGACCGTCATGCGTCGTCTCTTCATGGCTTCATCGAACCTCTGCCTGGCCTCGGCTTCGTTCCAGAGACCCATGCTCTTTAGTCTAGGTACCCATCTCGTGTCATCGTATACCATTTCACGCATGCGTCTCGAGGTTTGCGCAAATCGCATCAGGTCAGCCACGGGCAGATAGTCGAGGATCGTGGCTAGTATCTCGGCAGGCAATGCTGGCTTTGAGTCCAGCATGGTTGTCGCCTGCAGCGCACTGAGAATGCTGCGATTTGGCGCCCGGTTCGACATGATGGGCGACCTTAAGATGGGTGGCTCTGAGGACGGATAGGTCGATCGTGAAGGTGGCTCACAAGACGGTGATGGTATAAGAACACGTCAAAGTACTTGTCCTGCAACTCCGCAAGAGGTCTGGCATCTAGCGGAGCTTCGAGTGAATCGTCGCCATTTGTTGATTTGGACTGGTTAAGCTTATGTTGCCGCAGAGCCGCAAGTTGTCAGAGCTACGGGATAGTGCTACGACATACTGGTAGGGTAGGTACGGACTCCCCCAGAACAAGGGGCCCACTCAAGTTTCAGGGGTTGTCGAGCTCTAAACGCGCGCGGGGATCCCATTAAGCCCCGCAGCTGGCGGCAACTGAATAATGAGTGAGTAGTGGTTGCCTCTCTTTTCATGATTTCGTATTCGAGTCGGCACTTTATTAGCGTCCTTGAATGTCTTCAAACAAATGATGGGCATTAAGGGAGTCAATTAACATGCCCAGATAGAGCAGAGTGGCTTTTTGCAATGTACATGCATATTCATGCACTTTATCATGGAAATACCCAAGTACAATATTAACCATGAATGTGAACAAGCATCTTTAATGAAATACATAAATAGCCTTTGATTCTGTATAGTTGCCACTGCATCACAACCACAAGAGAGAGACACACACACATGCCGGAACGCACGGAGGAGATTTGTGTGCACAGATCCATGAGTCCATGCTATTGGAATGTCTCGAACTGCGGAACCTGAAGTGAGGGAGACCCATGATCACATATTTTCCCTCTCCTTTCTCAACTGGTCCCCATTCCAATCTCCCGGCACTGGTCAGCGCTAGGTGGACTTCTCGTGTTGCGAAATGTCTTTCAGGTCAGTCTATCTGCACATCGTGTCTCGGCAGAAGAGTCTCAGCTATGGCTGTGCAAATAACTACCATTGAAGCAGATCTGGCATCATTCAGCTCTCGGCATGTCTTCGAGGTTGTTGGCTCTCGTTTCTCTTTAACCGCAACAAAATACAATTTCAGCTTCCTCGCTTGTGTCGGCTTAATAATGTGCCAAATAGTCGGAGTCATTACATATTGATCAAAGTTCTTTCTGGCAACATTTCTGCTTGATTATTTCCAATCCGCAAAGACATCATGTATTCGTTATTACCAATAGCTTCAACTTCCAAAAAGCAGGGAAGATCTGGTCTTTCTCTGCACCCTGGGTTTTATGTACTGTGAGCATACTATCTTTCGCAAGCAGATATACACATATTGACAGCCCTTTGTTTCCTAGGTCTTGGATGTTCTTCTCTAATGTCACAATTTTGTTTAACAAGTGGCTGATTGATGATGCCGGATTTCGTAAGTTTGAAAAATTCCCTCGTTCTTGCGCGTCGACTAACATGGACTTTAAGGATTCCGTATGTACCACTTGTTCGGTCCATCACTCTTCAGGACCATGATATTAACTTTAATTATCAAGCGGTGATCTTGACTTTTTGGCACATGGTATTCGCCAGCGTGGCAACGCAGGTCCTAGCAAGGACAACCGACTTGCTCGACGGGCGGCACTCAGTACGCATGTCTAAATATTTCTACCTGCGCGCAGTCGTTCCCATAGGCCTGCTCTACAGCGCCAGCATGGTTTGCAGTAACCTTGTCTATCTCTACTTGAATGTGGCCTTTATTCAAATGTTAAAGGTGAGTTTCCTGCGCGATATCAAACTGCACCAAGACTAGAGAAACTAACAATGGCAAATCCCATTCTTCAAGGCCGCGGCTCCATTCACCACGCTGGTAATCTCCTGGCTATGGGGTCAGGAGAACCCATCGCGACAGACAGTCTACAAGATTCTCGTCATTGTCTTTGGCGTGCTCCTGGCGAGCGCCGGAGAAATCCACTTTTCAACCTTGGGTTTTCTATACTCCTTGGGCGGGCTCGTCTTTGAGTCGCTTCGTGTGGTCATGGTCAAAAATTTGATTTCCGGCACTGGTGAGAGTATGGACCCCTTGGTCTCGCTGTACTACTACGCACCGGTTTGTGCGCTTACCAATCTTCTTGTTGCCTTCACCGTTGAGCGGCACGAGTTTCGCTGGTCTGCCGTCTCCGAGGTGGGCTTGGGGTTGTTGTTTATGAATGCGCTCATTGCATTCTTTCTAAACGTTGCAAGCGTTATGCTGGTAAGAATTCTGGAACAATACTTTAAACGGTCTTGAGCATTAATATTCCAAAAAACTAGATTGGAAAAACATCGGCATTGGTTCTGCACTTGTGCGGTGTTCTCAAGAATATACTCCTCGTCATTGCCTCGGTGCTGATCTGGGGCACCACCATTGCTCCACTGCAAGCCTTTGGGTATAGCATCGCCCTGCTCGGCATGATGTTTTACCAAACAACGTGGACAGAGCTCAGACACGGATGTGCAGCAATTGTGCTATCGTATAAGAATGCGCCCAAGTCACAGAGTTTTGATAGTGAAAACTCCAGGCTCCCGAGGAAATTCATTTTCACTGCTATAGTATCATTCACGGCCATGTTCGCGATGATCAGCTGCATGCATCACGACACGGCACATCTTTGGTCGTGGATGTGGTTGGGTAAAGCTGTAAACCTGGATGTAAGTCGGCAGAGTTGGCTCCCGATGATGTGGTTCCAGCGATGATAAGTATCAAATTATGTGGTTCTTGGATTTGGGGTTTCTGGGTAACATTCAAGTCATATGCACTCTGATGTCCTGATGAGCAGGAGGGAAGGTAAACTTTAGCTTGACCAGAAACATCCTGCCCTTTATCAAGCCATAGTATTCAAACAGCAGCTTCATTTTAAAAGCGCTAGATTCATTGGAAAGGTTTTATAATGACATTCAACCTATCAATTTGTCATTAACACGTCTACCGACTCATTAATGGCCGCTATATGTTCTGCCTTGAATACTTGTTTATTGCTTGCTATAAATAGTGCTGCCGATGATTTTTATATTAAACTCGGGTTTAATAACGTTTAAACAAGTTTGATTATGTATGATACGTGATTAATCATGTAATTTGCATGATTGATCGTGTGAAATGCATGAATAATGGTGAATAATGGTGAATAATGGTGAATAATGGTGAATAATGGTGAATACTATGTGATTGATCACTGTTACTTATCAAATGTGTGTTTAATTATGATTAATCATGACATATTTGTATAATGATCGGAGTTTGACTATGACACTGGAACTTTTGGTGTAGCTCAAGCAAGTAGTCATGTTGTAATTGGTCAATATATGAACCACTACCCCTTGAGTGAGAAAACCCGTCTCCTTGGACCGAACCCGGAAAACACTCATTCAACACCAATAACATAGCCACTAAAGCAACATTGAGACCGGTGCCGGCTGATTCGGGTTCGGCGGCGGCCCGCCCAGGACCTCGCTGCCGTGGTGCTCCAGGGTGAGGCGGTAGGAACCGCAATTGGCGTCCATATTGGCGCAGTCGCCCGCCATGCCCTCGAGCCCGGTGCGGACGCAGTCGTTGAGGATCACGTCGCGCAGCTCGCCGACCACGGACCCCGACGTCTTGTTGAGCCCCCGGAGCGGCGCGCCGCTCTTTGCGCACAGCCGCGACATGCAAGTCCCCTGCCACCAGGTCAGGCAGAGGCCGCTCGGCACGGTGAAACTGGGCTGGTCGGCCGTCTCGATGCGGTCAATGATGGCCTGGCAGTCGGGGACCGTGATGGAGTTTGTCTGTTTTGAGAAGGAGGCGTTAGATCATGGTATGCTTGGTGGCTGGCTGGCATGAATCGGTTATAGAACATGGTGGAGTATGAAAGAGGAAGAAGACGGATACCTGACGATTGTAGCAAGTGTAGTATCCTCGTTTCTGGATCCCATGGTACTCCTGCTCCATGCCAAGCTCGTCCTCGTCAAGGAACAGCGTGTATTGCGGTTGTTCATTATGGAGGCTGGCTTGAGGACCATCATCCACGTCTTCCACAACCTCCATGAGCTTGGAGAGAGGTACGTGAGCACCAAGACTCAAGTATACAAGGCCAAAAAGGCACACGGCAGCAGCATGGCTCCTAGATGGCTTCATGCTTATACTTGATATCTGGATGTGGGCAAAATCGGGTCGTTTCTGTAGAGCCTACAAGCAGGAGGTAAACACGATACACCGGTACCGAAACGAGTTCCATTCTGCATATCTTCTGAGATAGCGGCCTTCATAAGTATATTAATTTCGGCCATTTGTTTCTGTACATCACGAGAGGTGACACATCGCTTCGATCGCATGTTTGCTTCGTAACAATCTTGATGATGGCAAAATTACAGATGGAGATCCCGTCACGGTCATATATTGACTTTAGTCATTGATCAGTGCAACTTGATCTTACAGGCAGCGGGATGAAGTGCTCTGTAGCATGAGCACAAGAATCAATTCCAGCAAGCTGTCGAATAAGCCATGAAAGGTTTTGAAATCGAACAAGCCTTGTGTGAGCGACTTGGAGGAATGCAAACTTTCCAAAGATATCTCGCCATCTTGCTATGAGACGTAGCCGCAAATAGAATCAGCCAGCCCAGTCGGATCCAACTCTAGCATGCCATATCAAGACGACTGGACGTGAATACATTCAGGGGTATGAGGAGTTGAGGGAACCGTTGGAAAAGACAGTTACTTACAAAACCCATGTCATGTGTGGGCTGGAGTATACTAACAGCTGCGTGACCTGGATTCTAGACCATCATGGCCCTGGAGTAGGTGTCTTGGCAGTCTTTTTCTCTGAGAGAAGCATGAAGCTGAACCATACCAGAAAGTATACTATGCTCAACATGGCCAAAATCAAAAGGGCTCGCTAATGGGTAACATTGTTGGCTTTGATGCAAGTAATGGACAGATTGAGTGAATACCACCGAATGCTTGTCAATGCTTGTTCGTGGAGTACAAGCTCGCTTCTGCGGGTCACTGCAGTCTTTTTTTTTTCTTTCCCCCTTCCTTCGTCACGGCTCTCGGCTTGGGCAGTTTTGCGTTATCGAGACGTGGATGCAGGCATGCGAGCGAAACAAGCCTCAATGAGGGGAAGAGGACGTGGACGTTGAATCCAGATACTACCAAAGGTGTCATACCCACTCAACATATCGCGATATTCGGGTTGGTGTTCAGGTTTTCTTCGGATGTCCCGCCCAAGCCACAATCGAGGAAGCTTTTTAAAGCTGGCAGACGGCCACGGAGGCAATCGCCTATTCTGGTATGAGTTCAGATTCCTAGGCCCGAGCCGTTGGTAGAAGGGAGTCCAGCAGAGACAGGGATCAGGGAAGTCGCCGAACAGGAGCAAAAGAGATGTTCCAAGTCAGTGACAAAGAATGGTGTGTAGAGAAGAAGCTCAACCCGCATCTGCATCTGTGCGCTTTTTGGACCGGACGATTTCATCAAGCTGCAAGTTCTGTAAAACACATTTGCTCATTCGGTGTCGTACTAAACGTCATATTCGTCGGGTCGTGCGATAGTATGATCGACGCCTGGTAGTGTAAATCGTGATCACCCGGTCAGTCGTACGTCCGCGAGCGGACCGTTTACCAGTGGCGCCGTTCAGTAATACACACCCGTGGACGTCTCAAATTGTTTTCGAGGCACCGACACAGAGATAGTGGTACCCGTGAACGAATGAGGAGAATGACTTGTTTCCGACGGAATCGGCTGTGCTCACTGCCTCTTGTGTGTCTCGCCCTGCCTGCATTTCGCCTGTCGCAAGGGTGTATTGACGTTTGCTGCGCTCATGTCTGTTCAGCTCATCTGCTACTAGGTCGTAGACTGACGAGATCCGTCACGTTGGCAGCCGTCCGTCTTCCAGATCTGCTGGTTGCACATGTGGTGCGTATGTGGTTGTGGCTGGCGTACATAGTACACCGCTAAGGCGAACTTGTCTGGCTCCTCCTCATATACTTTGAGGCCGCGCCATCTTTGACTACTACTATTGTACTATGTAAGGTAGAACCTTGAAGCCGGGTTCCGAGTGCCAGATGCAAATAGCGGCCGAGTGGTGTCCCCTCTTGCCTCTCCTCTGCGGGTGCGCAATCTCTCTGATCGTCGCAGCAGCTCTGGTTTGAATATTCCACGATTCTGGGAGGAATTGTGGCCAGAAGTTCGTCGATGGATAGTTGCCAAGAAGTAGCATTATGCAATCATTGGGCAGATGCACAGAGAGAGACATGGGCGTCGCTCTCCATTCGAGACCACGAGTTCTCTTGGGGCCCAGACTTGATGAGTAACTAGTGTTGCGCGGGGCGGTTCCAGCTCTCATCGATTGGCCGGGTCGAACCATCTCATGGTTCCCGAGACCTGGTGCAGCAGCTAGGGTGTACCGTAGTGGTCCTCCAGGGCAATGCTCCTGGCTCCTGGCTCCTGGCTCCTCCTGGTCCTGGCCTGAGGGTCCCATCGTGAGGGCAACCATTTCCACATTGTCGGTGGCCCATATGCAGAGGGGGGCGATAGTGTATTATTATCATTACATACTTGCTTTATAGGGACATGCACGTATGAAATAGTAGGTGCTAGCTTGCAACTCCAACTTGGTCGGCGCTGCCTTTGAACAAAGTTTGGCGTCAATCATTTGGAGAGGGACAGCGTTGCCACTACTACATGCCAAGCAGCCTATCTGCTCCCGAGATTGCATGAAATATTGTCTTTCTAGCAGGCAAGAAAACTACATAGGACCACCACCAGCACTGGCTCGCTCAAGCCCACCGGGAACCAAAGTTAAGCGGAAAATATTGAGCGCAACTGATCCGCCCATTGAATTCGACCGATCAAAAAAAAAGCCTTGCGCACGGCCAGATTTGATTTTTTATGATATGCGCATCGATATCTCAACGACTTGCGTTCTGGGGGGCAAATAAGGCCACACAATCCAGAAAATTCCTTGCCTCTGTCTATCTCTCTGTTTCTTTGATAATCAGGGGATTGATGCAATGTCGACCTTCATGAATTGATTAAGATTGATTGGATGTGGCACTGAAAATCCCATGTCGCCTCCCGCGCGCCCATGTCTATCCCTGAACATCTATTCCGTGGTTGAAGATAATGAGTCCTCAAACCGCCAGGGCAGATGCCGATGTATCATGTAGCTAGCAAACAGGGAGATAGACACTTGCACATGCAAGGAAACATGGGTCCTCCATTTTCAGCATCTCCAAAGTCTTTTCGAAAGGGCGCCACGATCTATACAACGTGACCATTTTTAGCTGGAGTTCGTCTTTCCTGCAGGTAGTAGCTAGCCATGAATGAATGTCATTGCTGGCATCGATACATGGCAAATGAATTGGACAGAAAGAAGAGAGAGAAACAGACAAGAGACAGAAGAGACTCCACCTTCATCCATGTGCCCTATCATTTCACCATAATTTTTTTCTTTCTGTCTGGTTCGTCGCATCATCCATCGTATGAACATGATGCAAACCAAGGAAGGAAGAGGAAAACTCTTTTGATGAGGCTTCGTCAAGTATCCGTATTTTATCCCATTGTCGCAGCCTAGGACGGCGAAACCCAGAGAAAAAAACGCAAGCACGGGCTGGCAGATCCCCTTTTTCGTATTCTCTCTGTCAATATCCATGCGAAACCGATGCAGCGGCTCCGTCTGTCCACATCCGGCGGTCGAGGGCGGACCAGCAATCAGCGATCCATCACCTGTCCGCTACGAGAGGAACATCTACTTGTCTAGTGCCTGGACCGCCCCAGGTTCAGTGCTTGCTGGCCTGCTAGGAGACGGTCCGCCCATGATGCCTGTCCTGCCTGTCCTTCGCCCGCCTAGCGTGGCTCTGCTTGTGGGCATTGCCTAACTGGGCCGCCGACCCGCCCAAGCTGCCGCTGTGATTCGCCCCAGAAGGGCGTTCAACAGCTGGGATAACCACTGCTGGCCCAGGGGCGTCGGCGCATGTCGATGGGGTAGCCAAAGTTAACCAAGGACCATCAGTACGTATCATCATTAGCTACGGAGCACCATTTGATCTCAGGCCATCTGCTCATTCGTCACCTGCGCTTGCCGGCCTGCGCCCTTGTCCTCTTTCACTTGACGCTAAGCCGGGTCAAGGTATCTGGCTGAGCGAGCTTGCGCTTCAGAGGTACTTCAACCTTGGCAATTGGGATCTCGTCCCTTGCATTGAAGCCAATCTGCTACGGTCCCCCCCCAATCAATGATTTCGTCTAGTGTAGCATCTACTGCTGCTGCTGCTTTGGCCTGGGTTCTGCGTATATCGTCCTTCATTCACTACCTACTACATACTACTGGGTCCTCAATCTAACTATTACTATGAACTGACCCCTTCTCACTCGCTCGCAATAAGCTCCCTCTTCTTTTGATATTCTTTTTTTCTGGTTGTCTGCGTCTGCATTTAACCCTTCGCGGGCCGTCTGCCTTTTTGACTTTCTTCCTTTGTCGTCTGATCGGCCCTTCCGACGCAGCTTTTTAGCCTTTTGGCCAAGTAGGAGCTTTCGAGATCACCCATCCTCCCCAACAACTACTACCCACTACTCCCATATTGACACGAGTCGCGCGACGGCCACCATTTTGCTTCTGCTTGTCTCGCAGATGATCTCAAGATAACCACGCCATTGATTGAACGGCCTGGTGCTTTGTCTGCTGCAACAAACAAGCCGACAAGAAACAATCCAACAATCAACCAAGGAACGAACAAGAGCTTGTTCACAGCTCTTTCACGGCCCCCCTTTGGCCACCACAATATCACCACACAATCTTTGGGAGCGTCCATAAACTATACAATTCGTCGCGCTCAAAAGAAAGCCTTTTCCGGCGCACCTGTTGAGTGAATAGGCAAATTTCTGGTAAGTGATTCTCTCTCGCCTAACCCATCGACCTCTATTTTGCTTGCCACTTTTTTCCTCCTTGTTATAAGACCTGCCCTTGTTTCATGCAGCTTGCCATGTTTTACCTGTGTACTAACCAACGCCTTCCTTAGCTCCATTTGCACTGCGCCTTTCACTTCTCTTTCGACCTCTTGGTTCACATATCGACAACTAGTATTGGAAAAATTGCTTCCTCCATTCCTTCAACCAACCTCCCGTCGCTTTTGACGTTTGATACATCACGACGAAGCCACACATACACACACAGGACTCTACCCACTTCGAAACACGAACCAGTTCTCTTACTCTTGAGCCGTACTGGTCACAATGGCCACCAAGAGCGACATGGACAAGGCGACAGAGCCAGGTCATTTGACCGTCAACACTACTGAATTACCCTCTCACAATGGCACTGCTCTTTCGCCCAGCACAAGCGTCAACAGTACCGAAAAGACCCTTCATGAGACCAGCGTGGAGCTGGCCAGGAACTCGGGGCTCTCTACGCCCAGCTCTGCACGGCACTTGAACCCGTTCGACACTGATATCGAGAGAGGACAGTCCGCAGACAACCTCAACCGCAAGTCGACACAGTTCACCGGAAGAACACTTCACGACCCCAACTGCTCCGTCTGGCCAGGTCAAAACCACTGGAAGCAAAAGGCAAAGGCTGCCAAGATCAACAACCGATCCTGCCAACCACAATGGATGGCCAAGCTCAGCAGGCGGAACCGACTCATTGTCAAGCTCTTGATTGCTGCTCTCGTGATTGGCGTTGCTGTGGGCGTTGGTTTTGGAATCAGCAAACCTCTAGGCGCCGGCATCTGGAAGTCTCCAGACTCATGAGCGGTCGTGTCTCGCTCACTGCATTTATTCATATTTCGGACCATGACCGTTGGATCGTCCGCAGGAACCACCTGCATCCTTTGCTTTCCACTTGACGGTCGACCGACTTCTTCATCTGCGCATCGATACCTGTTTGGTCCTCGATTCGATTCATTGTATATACGTGTCATTGCGACAACCCCCCAAAAGGAAAGACGGAACTTGTTATTAGATCCTGGATTCGTTCGGCCGGCGTTTTAGGTTGCTTTCTACTACCGGTGTTATGGATTTGGGATTCTCGAGGGCATATCAACGCAGCGGTACTTTTCTCTACTGCAGAAAGCCGATAAAGGCACATGAAGCATAATGTCTGGTAGAGCTGGGTTGCTCAACGGAGAGCCTCGTACGAGAGACAGACTTATCTACTAGAGCAATGATCCTGGCAATAAAACAAATCAATCGCTCTGGCAACTTGATATGCCATGGCACACCGACACTCACAAAGCCTTTTTTGGACCTCGCTCGTGTTTTGAAAGAAATGTGCCGTGAAATCTAGATCAAATTTGGTGTGCTCGAGGTTCAAGCTCAAAAGCCAACCTTGGTTGGGTTATGCAGGGACCTTGGCAACTTAGGTAAGCTTTGCATGAAACGGTTGCATCTACGTTTGTCGCTAAGGCATGTCTAGATCCTACAGGCGGGAGGATTTTGTTTGCCATTATGCAACGAAATGTCTGCCGGGACCTCGGGGGCTAAAAATGTTCGTTTCATCAGCAAACATCAGACGGACATTAATCCAAACACTGCTTTCACCTAGTGCTTATTGCATATTTGATTGAGTACCCAATTTCCCTGGAAACGTACTTTGTTCTCATGTCCTTTTGTAGTGGAAGAATACAAATACGGGCATTTCATGAAACCCAATCTGATTTGTAGGTATGCAGCATGTTTTAGCACATACAAAGGAAGTTTGCGCAAGATCAGCTTGGATCACCCGATTCTACTGCAGATGGTCTATGCATTGACGAGGGGTATTTTTCTCTTTCTCCTTATTTGGTTTCGTGCTCTTTGATGTCAGCCAGCATCATTGCCACTGCACACAATCACATTGATGCAAAACCCTGCAAACACCGGCTCTAGGCAAAATGAACAAAAAGTTGGACTACAAAAAGAAGAAAACAAAATCATGTACCGCCAGAACTCTACCAAGAGTTACGCACTTGAGTACTAATCGTCGGTTTTATTAACAAGTCAAATATGACTGGGAAGCTGCAATTAGAAACATTATATACTTGCTTCTTGACCCGCGAACAGCTGTTCTAGTATCAAATAGTGATACGCTTCCGGGAGAGGATCTCGAGCAACGACATTGATTCTATTACCTCGAGTCGAGCTGAGCCAACCCAAGTGATCTCCAGCAATTTCCGTTTCGTTGACTCCATCAGCACGAACTTTACCACGGCGATCAGTGACGTGCATCCCGTGTGTCCACTGCCCCGTGGTCTCTACTCGAATATCCAGAGCTGCCCACTCCCAAGATGGGTCCCGAGGGGAGAGGGCATACCAGATGGTCAGACCATCATGAAGAGCGAGTTTGGGAGAAGCATTGCCACCATATTGAGAGCAGACTTTGCGGAAAATACCACCCAAGATGGTGTCCACAAAGACGGCAAGCGGGCTGCCGGCCTCAATCTGAGGTTTGATTGCTTTAGCGAACCGCGTATAGTCCACATAATGTCCAAGAGTGATGTCTAAAGGAAACAGTTTCAACAAGAGCTTTGATGAAAGTTTCTCCGGGTATGGGGCAACGGGGATTTCGGGCGTGGTCTGCAACGGCATGGTCGAAGCCGGGTCCGCAGATGTCAGGGCAAACACACGAGCGCAGGCGAGCGCATCGTTCCATGTGTTGGCCTCGGCGAGGGGCGTAATGTTTCCCGGCACGTCAACGGCGCCGCCCATGACGAGAAGCTCCTTCGTGCGGAGGAATACTTCTGGATCCTCGGCGGCTGCCAGGGCAATGTTGGTCATGGGACCAATGGAACAGACCGTGACTGTCCCTGCGGGCTCACTCTTCAAGACGCGGAGAATCTCCTTGTGCGCGGGAAGATGGGATGGCGTAAAATACTTGTACCACGAAGGAGAATTCTCGGGGACAGGCACTCCTTGTTGAAACAATGATCTCCACGGCCCTGGCGGCGACATGTGGGCGTGCTTTTGTTTGCTTCGATTAGTTTTGACAATGCCATGAGCCAGACCTGAAGGACGTCTTACAGAGGTATGGAAATTTCCCACGCCATCAGGGCCGTCTAGTGGAAATGTCGAGCACTCTCTCAGCCAAGCTTTTCACTTTGATAAATGCAATAATCGATACAACTCACGAAACCCATCCGTCTTTAAAACTGTCTTCTCGCCAAGAGCATTGGGAGATCCCACAGCAACAATAGGCTTATATGCACAAAGAGATTGGAACCCGACTGGTATACCCTGTGCCTCGCGCCACTGCATCTCTAGTTGGGCAATATAAAACACGGTGATAATGTTACGCAAACCCTTGTCGACGTTGACATTGCCCCATACAACAGACAAGAGAAGGATTTCGACATCTTCTGCGGGCGCGGCCAGCGCCACTAGGATGGCAATGATATCGTCGCCGCCTTTGAAAAAGATCATTAGCAAGACAAGGCAATAACCGCAATTGCACACGGTTTACACTCGCCTACATCGGTGTCAATGATGACACGAGTTTTGGGGGCCATCTGTGAAATCTGCTGCAAAAGAAAAGTCTCAAAGGGGAAAACTTGGTGCAAAGTTGAAGGCTCCAAGGTTTGGGGACTGCATCTTGTCCCTTATTACTGGCATTGCGTGCCGAGATAGATGATTGCTGAGCTCCACTCGGCTTCATCACGCGCTAATATCATGGTGTAGCGGCCGAGTTCTGCGGGCGAGCTGTTGCGGGTGAGTTTATTCTTTGCCCAATATTGCCATGTCCCTAACAATGATTTGATTGCATCAATTCTCATCGCGGAGATAAATGATGATGGGTGGCTTCTTATCACCATCCCTCGATATTAGGCATGATTCAATTTGTGCAACTTGTCTGTGAACAACACCTGAATTATCACTAATCTTGTTTATTGTACTAGCAAATGTTGGTTATGGTGAGCTCCTCGTATATTAAAAACAGACTTGAGCGCTACAAGATGGCCACCAGAACAGACAGAGACAAGGGGGGTCAAATGTATTTTCTCCTTTTTTCTGTAGTGTCAACTCGTATTGCTCGTCAAAATCTGATATAATGAACCACTCTGGGTCAAAGGGTCTGTTTCGATACACCCGCCCAGTCTAGCTGTTGACTTGCCGTTGAACTCGACCGTACCAAGCAAGGCCTAATCCCTCCTCCCGTGTCCCATTCCCCACATTCTGCATTGCGGGCGGATCTAAATAAGAAGCACGATAGACCTGGAAAGATAGGCCAAGATAACAAGCAGTCGATACGGGTTGGTGCTTTGGCTTTGCCAGATATGTTTCAATAAAAGTATTTAACAAGGAGACTGTACTCGAATGTTGAAATCTCGTCTCCCAAAACTTGTACCTCGTCAGTAAACTCTCAACTCGTCTCGTCGTCCTACCTGTTCTTCCTTGTTTGCAGTCATGGTCACCTCGGCAGCCGAGTTGGCGTATAATCCGCACTTGACAGACATTGTCAAGCACGACGACAAACCCTGGTACAAGAAGCCAAACTTGCGATATCTCTATGTGATTCTCATTCCCTATTGCGGCGGAGCTGAGTGGACCCTCGGTTTCGAAAGCGGCATGATGAATAATCTACAGGCAGTGGATTCATGGGTAGAGTGTAAGGTCAAACACAACAACCCCCAATCTAACCCTTCATTTCTGATTTTGAGTTTGGAGCATGGCAGAAATATTGACTAACATGAGAGTAACAAGACTTTAACCACCCAAGCGGCTCTACCCTGGGCTTGATGACAGCTATCCAATCCGCTGGCATGATTGCGTCGGTACCTTTCAATCCATATTTCAGTCAATGGCTTGGCCGCCGCTGGACCATTGTGATTGGCTCACTGTTCATGTGGCTTCGACTTGGGGCTGGAGAATACCGAGCATCCTGCAGGTCTTTTTCACTGCCTTGCAGATCATCTTGATGCCCCTTTGTCCCGAGTCTCCGCGCTGGCTCATATCGAGAGACCGAGGAGACGAAGCCTATGCCATTCTTCAAAAGTACCACAGCGAAGGTCACGACGGTGACGAATACGTTCGACTAGAATACGCCCAGATCCAATCTTCGCTGTCCCTGGAGAAGGAAATGGCCTCCAGGTTCCTCTGGGGCGACATATTTCGAGACAAGGCCATGTTTACCCGCTTTCTCATTGCCGGGTGCATTGGCTTCTTTGGCCAAGTGAGCGGCAATGGTCTAGTCACATACTATTTTGCCAAGATCCTGGCCATTGTCGGTATCACCAACAACCACACGATACAGGTCATTATTCTTTCCTACAACTGTTGGAGCCTCCTCAATGCCGTCCCGCTGGCCATTATCGCGCCTCGTTTCCCTCGTCGAATGGTCATGATGATTTCCGCGGCGGGTATGGGCTTTTGCTTTATAGCGTGGACGATTGCTTCGGCCAGATTTGCCATTGACGCATCTCACGCCGCTGCCATCACCAGCATCGTCTTTATCTTTTTATACAACCTGTAAGCAATTTTGATATTGTTGTTTTTCCCCAAATACCCTTTCGAAAACGATTCTAACCTTTTCCCACTTGTCCAGGTTCCAGAGTACCGGTTTCCAGGGCTTGAGCTATACCTACCTAATCGAATTATATCCATACACTCAACGAACTCAGGGACTCGCTTTTAAACAATTCGTCGGACGAGCTGGAAATTTCTTCAACGCATACGTCAATCCTATTGCGCTCGATGCCATTGCGTGGAAATACTACATGGTATACTGTGTGTGGATATTCTGCGAGTGTGCTATTGTTTACTTTCTTTTCCCAGAGACATATGGGCGATCACTGGAAGAGACGTCATTTCTGCTCGAGGGCAAGGAGATCCACGACAAGGCTCAGCTAGGCGTCGACAAGGTCATGCAGAAAGAGCTCAGAGAACATGATGCCACTGCTTGAAAGTGGTTGTGAGTAACTGGTTTGGTCAAGATACAATAGTTTTTGCTTGTCAGTATGATTTTACCATATTTCGGGTATATCTTCAGCAAATGACAGGCATCGGAGAGAAATTTTGCACCCTTTACAGACTTTCTGAGTTTTCTGCCTACTCGTCTTGACGTTCAAGCCGCAAAGTTGTGATCTGATACGAGTTTATTCTCGTGCTCGCTACGATAACAAGCCGCAGCTCATGTATGTTGGGAACCAATCCTATTCGATTTGTCAAGATCTATTCATATTTAATCTCTATATATTTATGAGCCTCTGTTGGAGAACAGGAAACAAGAAAACATGTGGCTATCTCATTTCATAGACAAGACACCCAACTGGCACAATAATGGTTGGTAGCGGGATGAATTTTAAAGTGTCTATGATTTGAGCAGACCAAACCCATCTCCATAAGTTTCATGGTAGCACTAGTCCTCACATTGCGGGTGAATTGGTTGCTACATTTGATTATGTGAAATGATGTCTCTTTTGGTGTTCATACTACAAAACATGCGGTTCTAGTTTAAACGGCGACAAGCTTGTCAGCGACAACCGAGTGGTCAGCTACACCGACTTGCTGAACCTTTTTGAGTAGTCCCTCATAGTAATCCAGATTGGTGGCTTTCGAAACCCAGTTACGTTCAGCATCATTGAGACGCGAGCCATACATGCGAGCATCGTAGTACTCTCCTGCCGTGAGAACAATGCCACCAGGCTGAGGCGCATGCGTACCATCAGCTTGCTTTTGGAGGACTTCGAGTCGGGAGTCTTGTCCTTGAGTCAGCTTTTATCCCCATATGGGCAATTACACAGGGAAAAGTAAGAAAGGAGGGAAATGGGGAGGGGGTGGATGAACTGATTCTACTCACCATTGTTAGCATTGACAAAGTAAGCAATAGACCACCGATCCTGGTCTATGGGTAGTCTGTCAAAGGAAATCCTGTGCAGGGTTGACTTGAGAGCCCTGCCGCTCCAAAGATGCAACGCGTCGCCAATATTGACCACAACGCCGCCCGGAACCAGCGGGACCTCGAGCCACTCTCCTGATGGAGTTTCGACTTCCAGCCCGCCCGATCGTGGAAAAACAAACGTGATTGAGCCCCAATCGGTATGGGCCTTGATTCGGGGAATATCATTGGCGGGTCGTGTCTCGAATTTCGGATAATGCAGCATGCGGAGAACGTTGGGGGGATTGCTGGCATCACTGTGCGCTTCAGAGAAGTAGGTCGAGGGAAGGCCAAACTCTTGAGCAAAAGTCCTTAAAAGTTTGTGCGACAGTTCATGGCATTGGGCTTTGAATGTCTCGATTTCCTCGCGTTTAGCAGCATCCCAGTACGTGTTCAAGCCATGGGTGTCTTGGACTTCACCCTTGACACCACCAAACACCATGGATTCATGGGCTCCAGACCTGTGATCATCGCATGTGAGTCAGTTGCTGTGAAACATCATTATTGCGCTACATCTTACTTGGAATGCTTCAAGTCGTATCCAATCTGTCGTTGGTCGATGGGAAACTTGGACTTTTCACTCGGGGATAGTGCACAAAATCCCTGGTTCTATATTTCAGTCAGACTTGAAGTCCATATCATTGTGCTCAAGGGTATGTTCATGCTTTGAGCAAACTCACCAATGCAAACATTCGATCAATGGTGGCTTGGGGAATGCCGTACCCAGTCAAGATGAAAAAACCCCAGTCCTGGCAAGCTCTTGTGATCTCGGCAGATTTGGGGGTAAAGTCGTCCAAACAAGATACATCAATGACGGGAAATACCTCGGTGGCCATGCTGAATACTGTAGTCGAGCTTTTTGCGTCCAAGCTAATGATTATTCTGGTTTAGGTATGCATGTGTTTCCATCAGAGGGGGTTTCTTTAAGTATCATATCCTTCCATTACGCTGTCCATCCATTGGTGTAGCGCTCCATTGATTAGCTTCTCCTTGAAGCGGCCGACTTTGCAACCGCCTGTTCGTCGGACAAGTTTTCTCGCCCGCATCTACGGAAACTAGCATCTACATGGGTCAGATATCGGCGGGTTCCACCGTGAGATGGGCAAATCAGTTGAAACTGTTGTGTCAATCAACGCGAACTTGTGGATGGGACCCAGGCAGTCTCATACTCAACAACATTCTAACAACCTGTGTCATGGTCGAGGTTTGAAAAGCTCTGTCGCCCTTTAATGCCAAGAGCAATTCGCATCTTCGTGACCAAATCTAAATCTCCAGGAGCCAGCAGAGAGAGAGACAAGATTTAATAATACGAATTGGCATCAATGTCTCGTACGATATGAAGCTATGCTTGTGATAGTTCCACTATTTATTAACTATAACAGGACCCCAAAAAAGAAGATACCATTTCTTTGATGCTAGGCATACTGAAATTGTCCAGCGAGAATCTATACTGGTGTGTTTTGTGGCCTGAAACTTTGCTTATCATGATCACGGCTTTCTGTGCATCACCAGTGCGCTCGCTTGGTGACTGGGAAAGATGGAAACGTCTGCCAAAACAACATTTTCCCGTCTTGTTGCTGCAAACACAATAACCTCGGCCACATCTTCTGGCGTCAATGGGTCTACACCGCTGAAAAAAGAGGAAGAAGAAAAACATGTCAGTCAAAAAGAGTGTCGATTGCGACAAGATGACCCAAAACTCACTGATACACTGCATCGGCCTTTTCTTTGTCGCCGTCGAATCGTACAACAGAAAACTCCTAGATGAAAAAAATCGCGTGTATCAATAATACATATCCGAGGACACACCCGGGGACACTTGATTTCTTACCGTTTTCACCTGGCCAGGGTCAATCTCAATGACTCTCACGCGCGTCGACACCAGTTCTTTGCGCAGACTGTCACTAAAGAATCGGACGGCTGCTTTGCTGGCACAGTATACGCCACCCCCAGGGTATGCGTCTCTGCCGGCCACACTGCCAATGTTGATTATGTCTCCACGGCCACCATTAGGTTTGTTCAAGAAGATGGGCAAGACAGCTTGTGTCATGTTGATCAAGCCCACGACATTTGTCGAGAACATGACGGCAATGTCATCTTGCGGGATGCTGGGGGCTCTTGCAACACCAGAGGCTAGACCACTGCGGTCATCCCATGTCAGCTTCGTTGGGGGGCCCCGAAATAATTACCCGCAATGATGCAAGACGAGGCAGGGACGGGGTGCTTTGAAAGGGTGAGCCTTACGCGTTATTGACGAGAATGTCAATGTCCCGCCACTCCTCCGGTAACGTGTTTATGAAATTGAGGACTTGGTCAGGGTTGCTGACGTCGAGGTCTCTAGCAAGGACCTGCACATTGCCTCCCGTCTCCCGGAAGATGTCCTGGGCTAGGTCGTTCAGCTTCTCGGTCCTCCGCGCGGTGAGTATCAATCTTAATCCTTGTGGGCATGTCCGGGCAAATTCGAGGGCGGTGCTGCGGCCAATGCCCGACGAGGCCCCAGTGATGAGAATCGTCTTGCCATGAAGGCGCTGGCCTGTAGCTGGAGCAAAAGCAGACATGATTGTGTGTGTAGGCGTATGTAGGTGTGCGTGTGTCTCCAGTCAAGGACGAATATACTTGTAACCTTTTACGACCTTTGCATCATTCAGAAGGCACATGGCAGATGGGCTTTATATCTAGACACGCGGGAGACATTACAAAAATAGAGCAAATGTTCGTTTTTGATTCTTGTCGTGGCCACGCGTAGCTACTCAGCGATAAAGAAGGCCAGTTCCGTCGGTGCCTACCGCTGGACATGCATGTAAATCCTCATTCGGAGATGCGTCTAGTCGATTCAGAGATGACAGTCTGCGAAACAGATACAGTGCCTATCCATCACGGACTTGAATGCACAGATGTCCACCTAGCCTTGGGTGGTAACTTGATCATATCTCAATGATACAAATATTATGTAATAACTAGAGTTGTATACCCTCCTCGTTGTCGGGTGAGATTTGGCTGGATTATTAGTGACTGTATGGTTCTGTGATTGGGTGGGCGGGCGATCGGCGGGTAAGTGGGTGAGTTTTGCGGCGGGGGAACGGACCATGTCGGCCGAAATACCAAGAGATACCTATCTACTCCCTTCATGTAGCCAATTGATGACTTGTTGACAAAGCTAGTGGTTATCTTTGGATAGACATTGGCGATTTGGTCTTGGGTATACCTTCTTCAACAGTCGGCGGCTCTCCATGGAAGCAACAGGCTCCTACACAGCAGGCGTTGATAGTACCTTGTCTCTCCCGCCCGCCGGAATGCGATCTCATCATCCACGCGTGACCCAGAGGGCTCCATTGTCATGCTATCCCTGCTCCAAAAGAAAGAGACGCTGCTCAAGGACGGTCCCCTGTACCAACTGTGTGAACCGGGGCATCTCTGATCAGTGCCATCGCGAGACCGTCGTCCTCGCCAAAAACCGCCCTTCTCTGGATCAGACTGCGAGGCCGCGCTCTGCAAAGACGGCACGCGTTGCTACTACTGCTCATAGGACTCATGGCGACAGCGACCGCGCACATGTCCGCGAAAGTCCAGCTTCTCACCTGCCCGGTCAGCACCACATCACTGACTCGGCCCGCGAGCAAGTTGCGGCAAGACCCGTCAACGTTGAGAGTCCGAGCCACGGCGATCTTGGTGAGACTTGAACATGCCTAGCAACGTGATTCCCAGACGAGCGTTGTTTTTCTGATCCCGCCGAGGAGAATAGGTAATCAAGACTCAACGACGGACGTTTATAGCCAAGGCTCCCCTGTAGCTTTCAACCACGACGGAAACCTTGGTAGCAGTCCGCGCCAGCGTGATGTCGACTCACACCTTTCTGGGGAGGCCGCCAACACCTTGGAAGCTCTCGTCTGGGGAAGCCACAAGGCGACGGCCGAGGTCCATTACGGTCGTGGCCGCGCCCTGAATATTCAAGGCTCTCTTTCGAGTGCCCAAGAGCGGGAGGTTTTGAGTTTCCATCAACTTCACGTGGCGTGGACACACAACGTTTTGCACATGCCGAGCTTTATGCGTGAATGTCAGCTATATCGCCAAGTGGAACATAGCCTGCCCGATGCGGGATGGCTGACATTATACTATGCCGTCCTCAGTGTATGTCTGATCTGACCTTTTCTACTACTCGATGCTCAGGCCGTCTTCAGGTGGCTGACTCACAGGAGCTGCTAGCTTTCCTTCATGTACATGCATCCGCAAAAGGCCGAGAAACTCGGACTCCCAGAGGCTTCCCTCTTATCCCAAAGCTTCTACGACCTCGCCATTGAGTCTCTACACGCAGCTGAGCTCGCAACCGTCAACTCGAGTAGGTCAAACCATTTTTGCTCGAAACCCTTTGGTGGGCTCGCGAGGAATGAAACTAACACGAATTGGCGAACAAGTGCATGCTCTTCAGGCTGTCTGTATTCTTTTGCCCTGTTGCCACTTCTTCGGGTATGTTGAAACGTTTGAACGTCCATCCATCTCCAGTGCCTAGCTAATCACAAAGACAGTGATTCTAAGCGAATCATGATCCTGCTTGCTATGGCCAACGTCACGGCTCAGATCATGGGATTGCACCGAGTCCAGGCAAAATCCGAGAGACCAGAATCCGTATCCGAAGTCATAAGTCGCGAGGTTCAGAAAAGAGTGTGGTGTTGCCTGTGTATCCAAGACTCGTACCTCATCACCTTCAAGCGAAGCTATAGTATCTCCATGGCACACTGTTCCACGCCGCCACCCAGCAATTGTGACGAGAAAGAGGCAAGCATCAGCTGCAACGGTTCCGTGGCCGAGCTCCCAGCAGATCACTTTACACAAAGTACTTTTCAAATCCAACAACTGAAGCTGTCAAACATTTCTCGGGCCCTGTTCGATAGTGTCTCGTCGCTGGAGCGCGCGGGGCAGGGAATCCATAGTGTGTTTGACAAGGTTCTCGAGGCTGATGACGCTCTGGTGCGCTTTGCACAGGAGCTGCCGCCTTGGCTGTCGGTGGTGCAACAAGAGACTCTTCGAGATGACGACCCTTGCATCGTACCAGCAGCAGGCGCCAATGCTGACCATCCAGAGGTTCTCCAGAGCGTACGCCGAACACTGCGCATCTCGTTTCTACACAAACGCATCATGATTCACCGGTCCTTGTTTTGTCGCAGCCTGACGGACAAGAGATTCCACTACTCTTATACCAGCTGCCTCGACGCCGCCCGCACGATTTTAAAGGAATACTGAGCAGCAGCGGCATCACAGTCTCAGCAGGTAGACTGCTGGACTATTCATGTGCACGCCATGAGCGCATGCAACGTCATTATGCTCAAGACGGTCTTTTCATCCGACGCTCTTGGTTGTTTCGAGCTGCAACGCTCACAAGACCAGACCCTCATGGAGGAGTGCATGGCACTGTTACAGAATATGACCTTGACAAACAAGATTATTGAAAGGGGGCTCGTCACGATCCGGCGGCTCATGAATAGTCAACGCGAGTCACTGCCGTCATACTCTACCCTGGATCCGCAGGAGATGCATCGACTTTTGGTAGAAGTCGAAGGAAGACTGCCAACAAATGTACTAGTAAGAGAGGTTAACGATATGGGATTTTTGGAAAGTATATTTGATATGTTTGACGCTGATTATCAGCAATGAAATGATTTTCGCCCTAAAATCGTAGCATGCTGGTGCCTACCTTTAATTTGCTCAATGCATCGATTATGTCATGTGGTTTGAAAACCAAATTCACAAAAAAACCGTTCATGATATTCATGTACGTCGCTTTGCTACTGTTGTATTTTAATGGTTTTAGTATTTTTATTGTCTTCTTCTATATTGTTCATTAGGTGCTCAAAAAGTCATTATATTAACACGTCCTTGAATCCACCATTGCCCCAGTATCCGTCCCCTGCAACGCGCCGTTGTTCCGTGACAACGACACCGCGAGTGGCGTAACTGCTAGGTCCTGCCGAAGCAGCCGCGGCCAAATTTCTGTTTGGTGGCATTTGAGCCATGTGCGAGCGCTTCTCGGTCGTGGCGGCGGTAGTGGCGGCGGTGGCGGCGGCGGCGGCGCCACCAGACCTGCTATTATAGCCTGATGAGAGGGTGTTCGGAGCTGGTGCTGGAAAGCCGTTCTGAGTTCTTGGTCCAGCTCTATCGCGACCAAGCGTGGGCACGTATAGACCAGGTCTGGTTTGAGGAAATCCAGCCGGGCGCTTTGTCTCCGTTAGATCCCGAGGGCCGGTCCAATACTTGGAGTATATGGCGTTGATGGCTTCGACGTCGTACTTGGTGCGGGTCCGCCGGTCCCGCCAGACGGAGAAGCAGGCGACGCAAACAAAGACGATGGGAATCAGGGCGAGAACAATGTAGCAGAGCCACCAGTTGGAGTCGGAGATCGAACTCGAATCATCCCGTGCCGTTAGCATGCTTCCGATGCTGCTCATTTTGCTTTGTGTGTTTTTCTGCTTCTTGTTTTGATCCCGTCGTGGTGTTTTTCTCTCCCTTTTTGATCTCTTCCTATTGGACCTCGAATAAGTTGAGGTCGACGTGACTTGAGATTTGTTGTGTGGTTGAAAATTGTATCAAAATAAAAATGTTCAAGGCGGAACAGAAAGGTAAAGTTGTGTGTTTGAACGAATGTCTTGTTATTGCTTATTCCTCCTCGATTCCCCTTTTGGCGCACAGACGGGGGTGCAAGGTCAACTCGCACAGCCCTGGGATGTTTCTCTTAAGTGAATGAAGATGGGGAAAAGATGAGGCTTGTGCCTCGAAAACGAGGATACAGCAAAGAAGAAATAAAAAAAATATATATAAGAGATGGTCTGTCAAGATATGACTAAAGCCGCAGGGGGGCAGGAGGCGGGGGGACAAGTAGATATACCGAAAGGGCAGGATAAAGCAGGGGTTGTCTGGAACATGCCGAAAGAATGGCTTGGTATGATTCTTCTTCTTCTTTTCTTCTTTGTCGGTCGATTCTTGGCGATCCGACCGTCTCGAATCTTTACTTTTCACGAGTCGTACAACAGTGAAGAAAAAGGAAAAGTGAGGAAAGGGAACCCGAAGAAGAAAAGGCCTCCCCTTACCTTGGAATGTGATGCTTGGTCGGTCCGCAAAAGTATAGTGGGACGATGGAGAACGTCGATCATGTCAAGCCTGTCAATCGGGTCTTTCTCCGTTTTTTGATCCCTGCAACTCCATCTTAAGGAAATCAGACGGCAAAAGATTAAAAAAAGAACGACGCATAAACATGCGATGAAATGGCAACAAAAACTGTCGATTAGAGGACAAACAAGAAGAAAAAAACAAGCATCAGATCACATCAGATCTCCTCCGGCACTTGATTCATAGCGGCCAGCCACATTCATGGTGCGACACAAAGTTGAGTCAAGAGAGGCAAAGCAGGAGAAAGGAGAGGGCAGCAGTCGATTAGCTTCTGCATTTTTTTGCTTGTCGCGGCCTGTGGAGGCCAAGTGATTGGCTCATTTGGGAGTCGCAGCGCCGCGCCTTCCAAGCCACTAGTCACAAAATAGTGACGTGATACGACCGCGAATCAGCAGCAGGAGTTGAAACGATTGGCTATCAGCATGGTCACGGTGCTACCAGTTCTCCACTTATACGGGAAGCATCTTCTCTTTTTGCCCTGTTCCTGTCTGTCTGTCCTACCTAGAAAGAGAAGGAGCCAATTGCTCATATTAGGTCAAAGTCCAGATATCCATGCCCCCCAGTGACCGACCGTGTTTGCATAGTATCGTGAAATAACCATCCAAGAAACCAGCAATTCCGTGTCTGAAGAAAAAGGAAAGCTGGAGAAACTGACGATCTTTCTCTCTGCTCACTCACCTGTGCTCCAATCGTTTAATCAATAGTCGTCAGACGGTGAATCCGACTTCGATAAACATTTGCCGATCGACATGATTAGATCTGCATCTTCATGAAATGCAACCCGCAACTCCGATTTGAGCATGTCAGATTGCGTCTGTTCGCGTATCTGGCCATACGGACTTGGATTTTCTATTTCGATATTCGGAACCAACTTTATTCATCTAGTCAAATAGTTGGATTGATTTATTTTGTGCTAATTGGACCAGCCAAAGGACGTCTATCCGCCTATAATTTTGCACATGCAAGCATCAAGGAATGCATCCATCTCATGGAATAAACGGTGAGAATTCATCTCAACTCCCTCATACCGCCGGGACTTCTGGCCGTTGCCGCGGCCACTGTGTCGCAGAAGCTGCCTTTCGCTTCCTCGCATCTCGCCGGTTCCGCCTAACGGCCGTGATGAAGAAATAAAGGCAAATCAAGACACATACACCGCCAATGATGCCGAGTACTATATTATGCATCTTCTCAGAAGGCGGGTCTGTAGCAGGCAGCCCTTCCTCTGCTACTACATCGTATTCCCTCCTCATGATCGGCATAATGACGTACATTTTTCGTTTCTTGCGCCCTTTTGATCTTGTTGTAGCGGTTGGTCTGTCAAGTCGTGATGATTCCTCTTTTTTTTACAGATGATGCTGGTTTGCCAGAGACGAAAACGAATAGACGTGGTACGCCTTGGTCTTATATATAGGTATGTATGCTCCAAGGCTTGGGCGTGGGACAAGCATCTAGATTCGATACAAAGCCCACAGGGCATTTCAAGAAGTACACATGCCCATTGTTCACTTGGTGTCAAATACAGGCAAAGAGAAAAATGTGTATATATACTCATAACAACTGGTCATTGTCCATGTCGGATTCTTTGAGGGCCACCTGAATGGACAACAGGACGCTGTCGCTCTGCAGTCAGGTAGACAAGACCGATTATGCAATTCAGTGTGATCACAATCAATGACAATATGCCTATACACCTAATAATTCGGAAAGTGTTTTGACCGATTCTCGATTATATTGTTGCGCACGCGGCTTTTCTAGCGCAATCCCGCTAGTCCAGCCACTTCTATGACTATAAAATGAATACAGAGATGAGATTTCATCTCGCCAACGCCGTGTCGTGAGATTCTATTACCCTTCCAACATGCCAGACCCCAATTTTCTTCAGACCCAAACCAAACAAAGGTCTTTTCGTAACGCGACGAGTTGAGGGGTATCATACAATAATGGGTATCATACAACTCGCAAAAAAAGAACACAAAATCAAGCTCCTCCTTACTCGATGATCTTGGCTGGCAGTTGTGCAGCTGCTGCGGCCGTTTGGTTCGTGATGCCCCTAGACGCCACCCGGGCAATCTCCTCGTCCTCGGGTTCTTGGGCCTTTTCGCCCTTTTCGGCATCAGCATCAGCAGAAGCAGCCGCCGATGTCTTGACCGGCTTCTTTTGCTTGACGCTCCGCCACTCCATGGCCGCGGCACCGAGAATGGTGAGACAGCACATGGCGAGGCCAATCTGGAAGCACTTGCGCAGGGCCTCATTGTAGCTCACCAGGACCTGGGGCAGCAGGCTGGCGGGGACCGACGAGGTGAGGGCCGTGGCGCCATTGTCAATGACGAGGCCGACGTTAAAGTTGGGCAGGGTGCTGAGGCGGCTGACCAGCTGCGTGTTGAGCACGTTCTCGCCGACCGAGATGAAGATGGCGCCGCCCAGCAGCTGGCTGAAGAACATGAGCGAGGTGCCAATGGGCACATCGCGCGTGGGCAGCACCGTCTGCGCCGCCAGGTTGGGCGCCTGGAACGACAGGCCCATGCCGAAGCCGTAGAGGATCTGGTACCCGATCCACTTGCCCGAGCCCGTGTCGACCTCGAGCGTCGTCAGCAGGCCCGCGCCAATGGACATGACGCAGGTGCCCGCAATCAGGAACGGGGTGTAGTAGCCAATCTTGGACGTGAGGATACCGGTCGACATGGACGCCACCACCATGGCCAGGGTTAGAGGGAGCAGACGGATGCCCGAGTCGACGGCCGAGACCTCTTTGATGGCTTGGAACCAAATGGGCAGGAAGTAGACTATTGGGGAGGTTTGTATGTTAGCTTCTTGTTTCGTTCCCAGTGTTTTGGATGGGATTTGTATGAGTGAACTTACTAAAGATCATCATTTGCGAGCCAATACACAGCGTCGCCCAGAAACCAGCCAGGATACTACGCTGCTTGAAGATGCGCGGCGGCAAAGTCGCCGTCTTGGGCATGTAGACCTGCACAACGCAGAAGCCAACGAGGAGGGCAATGCCCAGCGTGAGACAGGCAATGACGCGACCGCTGTTCCAGGCGTACTGGAGACCTCCCCACTGGAGGGCGAGCAGGAGACAGACGACGCCGGGGATCAAGAGGAGGGTGCCGACGGCGTCGAGCTGCGCGAGCTTCTGTCCGAGGGGCAGCTTGGTAGTCTCGCGGTCAGGCAGCGAGAGCAAAAAGGCAATGACAACCAGGGCAACGCCGCCAATGGGCAGGTTGATGTAGAAACACCACCGCCATGAGACGTTGGAGGTGAAGGCGCCGCCGACGAGGGGTCCAATGACGGATGCGAGACCGAATACGGCACCAAAGAGGCCCTGATACAACGGTCGCTTGTGTAGTGGTACGGCGTAGACAATGATGATAATGACACCGGAAAAGATTCCGGCGGCTCCCACACCAGCGACGGCGCGGCCCACGATGAAGACGGTCGAGCTGGGAGCGGCGCCGCAGATGGCGGAGCCCACCTCAAATAGAAACACGGCGGCCATAAATGTCAACTTGACTGAAAAGAATGTGTAGACTTTGCCAAACATCAACTGAAAGGAAGCCGTTGTGAGCAGGTAGGCGGATCCATACCAGCCCACATCTTGCAGAGATTTGAAATCGTCTGTGATACGAGGAATGGCCTACATGGTTCCATCTTGTTAGTAGTCGTCAGAAATAAAGAGTACCAAACATGAAACATACCGTCGATATAATCAGTCTGTCTAGGGCAACCAAGAACATGCTAATAAAGATGGATATCAATAACAAGGCAAGGCGGAGGCCCTCTGGGTATTCGTGGGTGGTGGACGCCCGCGACACCGTCTTGGTGACCGTATTGTTCTCCTCCCTTGGGTGCGTCGAGACGCTCGATATGTCGTCGCTGTCGCCATTGTGAGAGGCCTGATCTACTTGTGTCGTCGTGGTCGTGTCTGTTACCTCGGCCGTCGCCGTAGGCTTGGCGTCGCCGCTGGGCTTCTTCTTGCCCAATCCGAAAGGCATGGTTTAAACCTAGTGTGTGTGATCTGGATATTTCTATAATTGCCAAGCTCGGGTTTCGATGCGCAGCTAATAAATGTCGTATACTTTTTCTGTGTGGCCCTTCCGAAAAAAAGCTTATTTGCACTTCTGCCAAGCAATATAGGAGCAATCAGTGCATGCGTCGTGTTGGTGATCAACGAACTCGGTATTGTGAGGCGTGGGATTGTCTCAGTCAAGGAATAAGATGGTGATGCTATGGATTATTTATTATGATTCACAGTCTGAGCATCTACAGCAACTCTAGAAAACACGGGTCGACTGTCGCATCAAATATATTTTCAGACGACATCCCTTTAAGCGTCGCATTCTTGGCGCCGACATACCGATATTTTCCAAGCTCCGTCGGTCTCGGACAACGCTATGCCCGGGGCTGAAGAAAATGTGTGGACCACGGACTTAACAAACGAGAAGGAGTATACACAACTAGTTTCATTTGTTCTTGATAGGCTCGAATTTTTACGCACCCGAGTCACCACGAGTTCGGGTGTTCCTAAACTGCTGGCTACGTGAGATTAGGCCGGGCCCACACCCGTTTTCTTGCTGCTCTGCTGACAAAGGACCGGCGAATATCTGTTTCTCATTTGTCCATCATTTTGCGAGCAGATTCATCATGTAAGCCATTCGGTTTGAATGCGTCACCGAGCTGCTCCTTTACTTGGTGCTGGCGCCATGCGAAAACGTCCAATTCCAGGGGCTTGAATTATCTGATGACTATTCTTTGCACTTCGGCCCCGACGTGACTTGCTCATAACCGACAGTGTCCAATCGCAGTGCCTGAAATGGGAGATGGCGCCCGCAATAGATCAGCCATGGCTCCGACACTTTTGCGCACTTGCCATGTGCCATCTAACACCAAGTGGACACCGACATGAATCTGTGACATTCCAGATTGTTTTTTCTTCTTTGCTATTTCAGCCCTAGATCATAAGAAAATGAGTCAATCGGGGGACGGAGGAATGCGGATGGCCCTGTTGGGTAAGCCAAGTCACCCAATCATTGGCGCTACGGATTTTGGCCCCCATTATGATCGCACTCTGTTCGGGTCCTTCTATTCCCCGACCAATGGCTAGTACTTCTAGAAACCAGCACAACGCGGATATAGCGTAGATAACTCCCTCCACTCAAATCACTTTGCAGAATTCTTCGTCTCTACATAGTAGAGTTTGTTGCGAGAACGTCAGACACGGTACTTGGGCAGGTCCTTTGATAGTCTTGTAAATTACAGCATCTGCTCTTGACAGATCGTCTCTTGTCTTGGCTATGGAGATTTCCCTTGAATGGCCCACATTAGAGTTGCCCTCTATGAAAACGCCCGCAAAACAAATTCGTTGCATTATTCGTTACTTTTACAGCCAACCATTCATCGTCTGGTAGGGTCCCATATTGCCGTACGCGCCATAGTTGACCACGGGAGCCCCGTTGTTGCCAAACATGTCCCAGTTGATGGTTGAGGTATCGACAAACCCTAACATCTGGTCCCAGGGCATATCCGCGCTGGCTGCTGTGCCGGCAATACTGACAGCTGGCGTCGATGGTGATAGCTTAATATCACTCGCATTGTCCATTGGTTCATAGCTAGAGCCGAGAAGCTCCCGGAGTCGTGAGATAAACCAAGGTGTCTCGGGCGTCGTGCCAGTAGCCAGACACAAGGCCCCTTCGCGTTTGCTCCACGCCTTGATGGCGATCACCGCAAGCGAGGCATGCGGCTTGATTGAAAGCTTGAAAAACTCGGGATGAAATCGATAAACCTCGGCTACCACCTTCCAGGCCCTTTCTACCAGCTGCCCGGTCGTATGTGTACAAAGCTGTCCTACCATGAATTGGAACACTTCAATCTGGAAATGCGTTTTTACTGAGTCACAATTAGTATATTTATCGCCATGGCACTCGACAAATTGCTGCACACAACTTACCAAACCATGTAAAAACACCGCCCTTCTCGAGGTGGCGATAAGTTTCCAAAGATGACTCGGCGCCCGACACGGCAAGTTTGAACAAGTTATCCTTTGGTGTAAGAACTTCGGTTCCCCATTCTGGTTCCTCTCGGGGCGGTCTGATGACTTCTTGTAGCTTCTTCATAATCATTCGGCCCTGCCATGCTGCAAGATCGTGGACGGGACCCATGCTCGGATCACCATATTTCTGTAATATGTCTTGAATAGTCTCGCCCAACTCGTTGATGCGCGCTTGAGCTGCTTCCAACTCGGCCGTGGCTGGGCCTTTTGGCGTCGCGAGTTCATTTTGAAGAATAATGTTTTCGAGGGAAGGAGTGTCCGATAGTAACCTGGCAATTTGATAGCTAATGAGACAATGTACCATGTCTGTAGGTCCATCCTTGGGTTCGACCTTGGTCATGCTTGGAAACAGGTCAGCATCATTGACATTTGTTGGTTCCTTGGTATCCCATTGGCGAGGCAACATGGATTGCCCAAAGCCTGATAGCATCGCGTATATGGCGTCGAGTAGTATGATTTGCCACCACACGCGGCGTCGCATTTCCGTGTCAAACGCAGATAAGCCAAGGAGCTCTCCGTCGCGATGAAGACCCAATTTCTGGGCTATTCGAATAATGACTCCATTGAGGATCCAGGCGGCGTGACGATCATAGCGGCCCATGAGTGAAAGCTAACGAATTGTCTCAGTACTTTCCGACATGGGCGTTCACAAGAGTTGACTGGCTTACCTGATATAACACAAGCGCTTGCAGAACGACAAAATCATATTTGTGCAATATACCAGTACGCATAAATGCGACCCGGGCACCTTTAGAGAACCGAGCCAACGCGTCGTCTTTCGCCAGGCCAAGAACGCCAATGCATTCAGCGTCCGTCATGGAAACGACAGCCATCGTATATATCGAGAAGAGTAGTGCCTCTACATTCTTGGGTAGATTGGTCTGATTCGTGGCAGCTTCAACAACCAGCGGCTGCACAGTAGGCACATGAATGACTTTGGTCAGAGGATTGACTCTCTCAAGAAAGGTCTGCCAGAGACGGAAAACATGCGCTGGATTTGGGTGCAGCTCATCCAGATTAGCGTCCGAGTCACTGGAGAAGAGGAGACCGGTGTGGTGATCGGGCGTGAGTCCATCTGCAGGTGTCGTGCTAGAACTCTCTTCCTCTTTCTCGTCTTGATCTACAATCTCACGCATTGCCCGGACCTGGAAAAGCGTATCAGCAACATCCTCATGCTAGTAGACACAAGAGAAAAGCAGATACTAGCATTCACGTGACATGCATTGAATTGCACAAATCCAAGAGACATCATGCGACAACATACCTCATCGTGAACGGTCGCCCACAAGAAGCTGTCCATGAAGCGTACGCCGCTGTCATCAACAACCAGCTTGCCCATAGACTTCCAGGGTTCACCCGAATTTGGTACTTCAGTTCCAGTGCTGGGAGGCTTGGCGGTTGCATACTCTTGCAATAGCTCCTCGCATCGCGCCAGGCGCTGTTGCAAATCTTGGTTGGGCCTCCTTCTCTTCCTAGCTGGAGCGGGAGTGCTGGGCGTACAGGTCACACCAGCCTACATGATGTGCGCACATTAGCACTTCTCGACCTTTTGCTGTGCAGACTTAGGAAGCACCTAGATCTGCAGTGGCGCTCACCTTTAAGCAGTTGGAGCAGGGACTGTTCCGGTCACATTTGATCTTGCGGTGCTGGCAAAGAACACAGGCACTGTAGAAATCCAGTAAGCGGGATGCTGATTGATGACGATGCTAGTGATGAGGAGCCCCAAAGGGGAGGCCTCTAGAGCTTACAGAACTCGCGGGGTTCGCCCCGAGCCCGTGGGCGTTGACGACATTTTTCAACCTGCCTCATGCAGAGGCGACAAGACACAGAGTGTTGATGAATATTCCGGAGAGCTATCCGCCGGCGCCTCTGTGCGCGTGGGACCCAACGAAATCAGAGGGGCAATTACGTTTGTGCCCTTGAGGCGAGACGAGGCAGACCAAGAGGCGAGCAGCGCAAACAATGGGAAGGAGCACAGAAAGGAGGAGAGGGAGAGAGATGTAGCGATGGACGTTGGAATGATTGGTAAGCGGCTTAAAGAGTAAGTCTTGAAAACAGCCAAGCAGATATTCGGTTTGAGTTTCTTTGACGAAATATACGGAGTTGTCCAACGTTCCGTCCGAGAGGCCCGCGGAAAATCCTGGTCGCAAAAGGAATGTCCACGGGTAGCAGGTATGCTTATCGTCCGCACTTGGAGGGGCTCCCCGTGGATAAGGAGGGTCGTCGCGCCCGCTAAGCTGTCTTTCAACTGGGGGGAAAAGGCAACGGACGGGGATAGGCCAATGATATGCCGTTTTGACCAAGGTACGGATACCCAATAAGTACTTGTAGGTAATGTTAGGTAGGTGGTAGGTCAGTGCAGTGTAGTGCAGTCCAGTCAGTAATGTAGGGAAGTCGTTCAAGCTAAAGAAGACCAATCACTACTAGCAGAACGGCCGGTCAATAAGATGATGCTTGGTGATGGGATAAATAAGATCAGGCAGAAATGAAGAAAAAATTCGAGAGATGTTTTTCTTTTCTTCCTGTTCGCTTGCTTTCTGGGAGGATCGATCGCTATTGCCGTCTGTCAGATCAGATGGCAGAAGAGCTGAAAGAAAAGATGAGTGAGAAAGTGAGAAATTATTATTAGGCATGCAGCTGTAACGTAAGTAGTAGGTTATGCTGCATGCACCATAATAAAGATGGATGCGAGGCGGCGCAGAGGAAAGCCAACAACAAAGGTAATGTTGGGATGGGGATGGAAGTGCCTTGCTGTGCTACTTGAGCCAGTAGGTAGCTGGAGGGGTCTGTCTGGTCTGGGGGGGGGAAGATTGACAGATATGTCATCATAAAGTTCAACCACGGCGCACCAGCGTGATCCCGCAGTCCGTGGACTTCTGGAAAGCCCGCTGAATTTTGACTCAGCCCGGCGTATTCGTGTACGTATGGAAAGAAACTGGGGCCTAGCAAGAGGTTAATGGGGGGAGACTTGGGAGAACGCCAGCTGCCGGGGGCCTGCCTAGACCTGCGGCGGGAACTTTTGCAGCTGCAACCCTCCAATCCCGGCGTGTCTTCGCACCGGCTCGGACACTTTCCGAGTCGCCATATGGACACTTATGTGCATACCTCGCATATATTCGCACACTACACCGGAAATTGATGATCTAATCGGATCCGAGAGATCTTCATCCGCAGTCAAAGATTCTCTGAGCGGAGAATGTTCTGGACCAAGAGAGTGGGTGTGGTCTCCTTTTCTCTGCCATTTTTTTTTACCACTGGAACAACGGGCATATCTCGAGTGAGGTGACATTGATGGCTGATCATTTGATACTTGGAAACAACATTGCCGCCAGCCGAATACACGCAAGGATGAACTGGAACAGGGACTTAATTGCCATGGTGCCTGTTCCTGGAAGAACACCCCAAGGAAACGGCAATGTGTCATGTGGATAGCAACGTTGAGTGACGGGATTGCATGCAGGGAGACATTTACGGTACTTGGTAAGGCATCTAGGAATTATTAGTATTCTTGTTAAATCCTTGCTTACCATTATTGTTAGCCTTGACCTGCAGTGAAACTCTTCTTGCTGCTGGGCGGCAGTCTGACCGAGCCAATTAGGCTGCATCTGAACTCTTTGGTGTCGTTTGCGGGACGATACACTGGGATTCCCGCCAACCGAATCCCGCCGGCTGGCTGATGCTGCAGAACAGAGATACCATTACGCTAATAAACCCCACGGAGATGATATCTGATGGGAGCCCATTGCTCCTTGGACCCCAAGAAAACCCTCCATATCTCTTTCTTTGTACGAAGTACGAAGTATGCATCGTAAACTTCGGAAAGTAGCCGCAAGTACAGGGCTGCGACTGGTTCGGCTAACCCACTGTCCGATCGACATTAATACCCTCCTCCACGTGCAATTATGCATCGCTCTACTACACTACATCCTCATAGACTTCCCGCCCAGCTTACTTAAGATTGCATGTGCTACCTAGGCACATCTCAAAGCATTCTCGTCTATCTCATTCCAAGTCGGGATTGCAGCCTCAAAACCTCGGGAAGTGCAATCATTATTATTCATATTTGGCTTTCCACCTCGTGTCAATTGATCACCTGGCCCGAGAGCCGAATACTCGCCATATTGTTTCGGTACTTTTATAGGGCGCATTGAAGAGCCGGCAGGTTCTATGACACATTGACCAACTTACCTATATGGTCTCAATTGGGTTTATGCTGGAAACATGAACCGAACTACTGGCCCGGAGGAAAGTTTATCTGACAAGCTTCTATACCCCCGGCTATCGAGGTCGACCTTTGTTTGTTTTCCTTAAAAGGGGCATACTTTCATCTTTCCGCGGAACGCGCGCTCTTTGTGGACTTTACCGACAACTACCAATGGAGCAAAAGAGGTATGGCGAAACAAGGGCTATCCCATTAGCATATCATCAACTGGCAAGCCACAGGTATTATTTCTGAATCATATGTATAAGCCCGAGCGGAGTGACCTATTAAGGTCGAAAATATAGTGTTCGTCCAGTGAAACACAGACAAGCTTCATGTCAAAACCAAACATGATAATCAAGATATTCATTGACCGGAGCTTCCGTCTCCAAGAACCCAGGCGGATGGTAACGACCGCCACATCCCAAGGCTACCGACCCGCCTAGCCTTGAAGGATTCCTAATCAGCCCCCGCATATCTGACCACCCCTGGATCAGAATGAACACATCAACACATTCAGTGTACTTGGCAACATATAAAGACAAGCACAGCCTCATCCAATATATTTGTAGCTATATGAAGCAAGTCTTGCACGATTTACTCATCACATAAACATGTCAGGCTGTTCCGCAAGAGATAGGAGAAGCTGTATTACGCACAAACATGTTTATTATAAAATCAGCATTAAACAAATGTCTCAACGCCCTCAGCATGACCTAAGTCATTCTCAAATACGTTGAACATCATTTTTGTTTGGAATCATGAGAATACCATCTAAACCAGATGGGATCAGACGGTCCGGTCAATAACCTCTATGATCCCCTAAAATCAAGGATTTTGCGTGCAAGGGGAGCCGAGGAGGGCGGCGGAAGGGGCCGCTACGGGCATTAGCTTTTTTAAACTCCGAGTCCCGAAGGTTACACCAAGCTGAACAAGATCATTCACCGAGAACCGAGTTTGGACATTTTGCCAAGATTGATCGCTTCGGATGACGGTGACGCTTAACATGAATGGCGTGTCTTTATGCCTTGTGCTGAGAAACTGCTGCCTGGATTCTCCCTCCCTACTGGATAGAACATTTTTCATCAAGACTCTACAACCGAAATTACCATTGCTGGGTGGCTGTTGGCTTAAGGCCGCTTGTAGTAATGCTACGGTGAGGCTATCCCCGGGCCATCCCCAGGCAGACGTCTTTTGGCAAGCTCGTACTACAATCCATCATGACGCGTCATAATTATCGTTTTTGTGTCTATTGATTGATTATTTCGTACCTCTGGTTCTCGAAATACCAAACGTGGTATGACATGGCTACATCAATCGAGCTGCGCAGGTACCTTGCCTGATCTATACACGCAATTGTTTTCCGTTCCAATCCAATGACCCTGAACATTGCCTGGAAATATGCTTCAAACCCTGAACGCCTTACCATGATCATCTAACCATCTATATGCCAAGACCTTTGGCACAGGTCCACAGAATTACTGGGACAATGACATTGTCGTTGCCTCCAGTCAGGACAGCCTCTGTTAGGCTGGCTGCGCAAGCACAGACGCTCGTCTTGCCTATCGTTACAGTAATAGAATCGTAAGGGGTACTCGGATGCCATCCGCCCACCCTGAGCCAGGTGTATGCCGCCATGAGACCGATGAATACGGCCACGGCGAATGCGACGCTGCCTTCTAGACTTTTACCACCGCCCCATATCCACTTGCGATGTCCATAACGCCGACCGATGAGGGATGCAGCTGCATCGCCAAGGCCGACGCAAATCACACCTGCAACCATGCTGACCTCGCGAGTTGGTAGCTCCCAACCAGTCAGGTAACCCGTTCCCGATCGTGGAAGGGAGCCCAATGACAGCCACAGAGGGATTGCACACCCAATCAGGAGGAAAATGTGTGAAACAACAACAGGGCCCCTGAGATCCCGACCGTCGACGTACGGGGCGAGAAATGTTGCCAGAGGCTTCGACAAAGGTGGAAGCTGGCTAGCCCGCAGTAGATCGAGCAGAAGGAATACTGCAAGAATGATGGATAGTGCCAATGCCACAAACGTCGGGTCTATGTAAATTGACGGGGCAAACATGGCCACCATCATGAAGTGAAAGACCTTTCGACGGGTGTCTACCTCATACAATGGGGACAGCTGAAATACAACCATGAGTCCCGCGGCCAGTATCGTGACGTAGTACCCACTGAGAAGCAGCCGAGTATTAGCTTCTCCAAAGACGCCTTGTCGAAGAAACTGGACCCAGCCGACTTGTTCCTCGATATGAGCGGCGCGGGGTGGTAGGCAAATCCATCTTTCGAGGTTATGGCTGATTACTTGCCATCTGAACCAAGGGAGATCTCCGAATAAGTAGCCCAACGCCCAGCCCACTGGCTCAAAACCTTGAAGTGCATGTTCTTGCACAAAGTCCTTGACACCAAAGACCGGATTCGGGACAAATACTGCAGCCACGATGCAGATGTACACATAGAGGGCATACAACCACTTTCTCATGGAAGCTTGCTCCTGTGTGAGAGCAAAGAATGCCCTGACTGACGATGAGGCTGAACGTTTTCTCCTTCCGGATGGAGTATGTGTGTGCGATCTCTTTGACGCCTTGCTGATGTGGGGCAGCGTATGTCTTCGCTGGTGCCCAAGTTGTTTCGTCTCTGCGGCATCAAATCGAACTCCTGATCCATTCTGCTCAGAGCCGTCTAGAGTTGCGGTTTTTACTCGGGTCAGTCCTTGCATGCTCTCGGAATCTTCAGCATCGTCAACAGCCTCACAAGAGCTGCAGGAAGAACACTCCATTGGCGCATGGAACAAGTCATGGCGAACTCGTTTCCACGGCATTAATTTCGAAAAAACTGAACTGGACCGTTTGGTAGGAGCGTCGTCGCGTTTGAAGCGCCATTTGGGCACGCGAGCCAATGCTATTCCCCAAAGAATGACTCGGGTACATAAGACCAGAATGTCGAGTCCGCCAACCCACAGCATTGCCTTGATGATGGTGATCTGAGGGGACCAAGAAAGTAATAGCACGTTAATGAGTGCTACTGAGAGGAGGTGAAGTTCTGCAGTCAACAGACTTGTAGTTGTCAAGGATTGCAGAGTAATACAGAGAGCTCGATGCAGTGGATACAGCAAAACAATATTCTCGGCTGATACCGTGGCCCGAGAAGGTTTACTGTCCTGTAGTAAAGTTGACTGATGACTGATTATTTTCGAAATAAGTAGCGGTACACATGATACCAGCCACTGCAAAGAGCCTCCGACTTCGTCTTCTGACACCTTTGGGAATAGGGCTGGAGGAAGAGCACAAAGTGCAAGGACGGCATTTGGAAGGACAACATAGTCGTTATCTACCGATATAAGTGACGAAACGAGAAGTGTAATGGCCACCGGGTAGAGAAGTGGTGCTGGGTCAAAGGAGGTTGGAAGTTGAAGCGGTATCTTTCGTGAAGAAGTCCGGTGCCGATACCCCCAATATGCTAGCCGCAAAGGATACAAGATCGCAAGAATGCCAGTAACACCCAAGGTGGAAGCAAGTTCTGAAAAAGTGTGAGAGGAGGACTCGAGTACATAGCTTATGTATCTTAAGTTTACTCACCTAGACGCCATTTGTATAGCACTGGACGTACATGCTCGCCCATATACACCATAGCCCCAAGCGAACCAAGGAGCACGACTTCGGTTAGCCGTCGAATGATGACCTTGGTACGTTTGGAAGTCTCGGCCCTGGATTGTCGCTCTTTTTCTGCTTTCGATTCCTTCTTGAACTCGGCCGTGATGTAAGAGTTGCGCCTTGCCTCGTCTTCTAGATACGCCGGAGAAGGGAACGGAGATGAAGTTCCCGACAAGAGCTCGTTGCGCCCACGCAGACCCTTGTGTAATTTGGTTCTTGGTGCCGGAAGGCCCTTCAAAAAGTGTTCGTCGTCGGCTTCGGTACCACTATCGCTCGTTGGGGTGGTATCACGGGAGACGGCGGGAAAGGATGTGCGACTTCGAATATGGTAATCATCCCCATTGTGCTGCGGCGCGGATCGCGCAGTCGTGGAGCTTGAGATGCTGCCTGAAGGCTCGAGAAGCTCCGACTTCTGCCGGTGGTAGGGGTGTGGTGATCTGGAAAGAAGTCGTAGGGCGTCCCGGTCATCGCGGAGCTGGCTCACCGCATCCTGTCGTGGTGCAGTCGGAGAGCTCGAGTGCTCAGACATGTCGGAAACCAGGTTGGGACATGGGCCGACAAAAGCTCGCGGTCAGTTCATGTGCGCCGACGTTACGGATGAGAGTCGCATTGAAAGACGTGTAAACGGAATGGTCACGGCAAAGAGATATCCATTGGGCCGTGAGAGAAAGAAAGGAATTGTATCGTCGCCCCCGGAAGTTGGTGGGCAAGGACGGAAGGTCAACAACGGATGATGTTCTTCACATGCTTAGGAGTTCTGGTGTGCTGCGCATTATTAGGTGGTAGTCGTCAGCCTTAAGGAAGTACCCGCTCTCGTCGTAAAGTGGCTTCTTTTTTTCTATTGGGCCAATTTGCATGGTTTCCTTTCTTTCCCCAACAAGGCCAGTCGTGATTGGGAAAACCATATGAACCCGGCTCAGCGTGAGTTCCATAAAATCTTGGCAATTCGTATTGAGATTGGATTACTTTTACTGCTTGTTCAGCTGATTTTGGGGAATTCCGGCGTTCAGGCTGCATGTAACTTCAAATTGCTATCCCCCAAGTTTAAATCTCAACAACGCAATGTCAAGCTTAAGCTCACGGCACTTACAGGCCGAACGGCTTCATCATAGTCTCTTAAGCGGGTGGGTACTCAGGTAGGCACGCTGAACGATCGACGCGCCGGCGGAACTCATTGCGCTGGGCCCCCCTTGCTGACAGAGCACCGAGGGGTAGCTTTTGCCCCACTATAGCAGTCAAGTTGGAAGTTCCAAGGTCTCGACATCATCGCCAACAATGAATCGCACAGACGAGCATTAATATCGCAACCCACACTTTGTTCTTTCAGTACTGTACCACCATATTTGCTGTGATATTCGCCAATATACTGTATCACCAAATGAGATAAAGGCGCTTTATACCATTCGACCATGACAAAGTTTTCGGATTCTGGCCAGGCACAGGATGGAAGCGACGAGACCAAGCATGCGCACTTTGACCGAGCCGAGCCGTCAGTGCAGTACAACAGCTATCACGACGATCATGACCACCTATCAAGCGCCAGCGACGAGGACTCGAGACCAGTTGAAGTGGGATGCCAAGTCAAATTTGTTTTTCTTCTAACAAAGAAACGCGCCGGCTAACTTTTGCTGATTAAGGTATCTTTCGATCCGGCCAACCCGTATCGGCGCAAAAGCTCGTTAGTAAGCGAGGAGTCGATATTACCTCAGTTGAGCAAACAATCCAAGAAGACACAATGCCTGGTACACCAAATACTAGAGAGCCACAGAAAGGCCCGCCACCGAGATATCCGCAGCGAGGGAAATGGAGCGTTTACGGTAGTCGACCCAAAGGGAAAAGACGAGCGGCGACCTTCAAAAATAGAGCCAGAAAGTGGCGAGAGCACGGATGCCGGCCAAGTCGATGAGCAATCATGGAAAACCTCCATCGACAAGTCAAAGTCGGAGCTGGATCTTAATAGCGAAGAGCACGGCGAATTACACAGTAGATTGCTTACGAAGAAGCAGTTGAGCGAGATGGCTTGGGGGGTGCGTGAGCTCAGCAGGAGATTGGGCAGTGTGCGCCTGCGGTTCAAGGCAAAAACCATATTCATTCTGACCAAGGTATTTGATGCCGAATTGATACCAAAGACACGAGAAATCACAAAGTGGCTCCTAAGCCATCATCGAGACGTACGGTATACCGTCTATCTCGAAGACAGCCTGCAAGAGAACAAAAAGTTTGATGCGCCCGGATTGATTGAAGAGCTGCGACGCGAGTACATCGATGCTGGCGAGATGGATTCAGACACACCATCAGATGCGATGGGCAAGAGACTGCGTTACTGGAACGAAAAGATGTGTAGGAGCAGACCGCACACATTCGATTTTGTCATTAGTCTTGGTGGCGATGGTACCGTTCTCTACGCAAGCTGGCTGTTTCAACGGATCGTGCCACCGGTGCTCAGTTTCGCTCTTGGAAGTCTGGGTTTCTTGACAAAGTTTGATTTCGGCGATTATGAGAATATTCTGACAACGGCTTTTAACGACGGTGTCACCGTAAGTTTGCGTTTGCGATTCGAGGGCACCATCATGCGAAGCCAGAAGCGACACAGGTCCCTGACGGGTTCCCAAGAAGAGCAGGATGAGGCACAGAGCAAGAGGGATCTGGTCGAAGAGCTCATTGGCGAGGAAAAGGACGATGAACACACTCACCGCCCTGATGGAACCTTTGAAATACTCAACGAGATCGTGGTAGATCGCGGCCCTAATCCGACCCTGTCATATACTGAGATTTTCGGAGACGACGAACATTTCACGTCAGTCATGGCTGACGGACTTTGCGTATCGACACCTACGGGCTCGACTGCATACAATCTGGCAGCTGGAGGTTCCCTCTGTCACCCTGACAATCCGGTTATGCTATTGACGTCAATCTGCGCCCATACCCTGTCATTCCGTCCAATCATTCTACCAGATACTATGGTCTTGCGCATAGGTGTGCCTTATAATGCTAGGACTAGCTCATGGGCAAGCTTTGATGGTCGAGAGCGCGTTGAAATGCGCCCTGGTGATTATGTCACCATTTCCGCAAGCCGCTTTCCCTTTGCTTCGGTGATGCCTCAGGGGCGTCGTAGTGAAGATTGGATAAACAGCATCAGTGGCAAACTGGGTTGGAATACTCGCCAGAAGCAGAAGAATGACGGATACAAGTCTTGGAACTGAGACAGGCATGAATATTTGATGACGATGATGAGGAGGAGACCTGGGAAACAGGAGTTCGGCGCAGAGTCGTATAAGGCGTTTTCAAGGATGATGGGAATTCTTCATGACGGAAGTAAGGAGACCGACCATATATGAGGCAGAAAGCTACAGATTCCATGTGTCGGCGTTCAGGATCCCATCCAAGTTGAGAGCAGGCATTTCAAAATTGCATATCATGTCCGCGCACAGCCAAGTGGACACAATTGCATGATATATTTATATATTGCATTACTGTGTACAACATGTGTACAAAAAATGACTTGCTCGAGACATTTCAAAATTTTCCATCAACACGCCCGAGCAAAGAAAAAACAAAAAGAAAAGGCCGCTAAGCCAGAAAAAAGGGATTTCAACCGAGATGTTAGATATTACAGTCGGTTAAGCAGAGATCAAACTTGATTGTTCCTCATCTTGCCCAACCCGCCTTACCAATCCTACTGTTTTGTTTCTTCACTTATGCATCAAGACCCCGCAAGTGATGGCCCACACAACGGCAGAGCCGCATCTCACACACAACATCAGCCTGCGACAATGCCAAGGATTTCTTAGGATTTGAGGCATGGGAGAGACCAGCATAGTAGATGGACCTAGGTAATGTACCACAGCATTCTTTAGAGTGGGGGACTACAAATAAAGCTGTGTCCTATCACCTCCAAATTGAAACGTGGGATAACAATGCTATAATTTCCGGATCCTCGTCCTGCCGTGACTTTTTCGTTGCATGGCGATCAGGCTGTTTGGGTGCCGTCCCATGAGTTTCATTGCATTGCCGCAATTGTCTTCTTCTTCTTTTCCCCTGTAATAATGTGCAAGTACGGATTATTTCAGTTTGGATGGCATTATTGCCATTGATTGATAGCTGCTGTCGAATCGCGATATACACGGGCAAGAAAAGAGATTTTTGGTTTTTTTTGTCCAGAATCCAGCAAAGAAATGCTGGTCATTTCATATTCTTACTATAGATTGGCCGCCTTTTTCTGATCAAGAAGCTTTCCCACTATTGGTTTGTCTTCAATCCATGGTGATACCCCCGCGTCTTCGTGATCTACTAAACGCCCGTGTTTAATAACCAAATAAACAAAGTCATGTCGCTCTAAAGAGAAGTCCCACCATTCCCGCTTGCTGCGTGTACACTACCCCCCGAACCCGAAGGGGTCTTGCGTCTCTGCCTACTCTTCGCCAGAGCTTCTGGCGGGGCCGTCGATTATTCGCTTGCCATTATACAGTATGCCTAAGAGTGTCCGGGCGCGCAATTTCGAGCCGCACGAGGTAGCGTCGGTTCGATATTAAAGATGTCATTATTTTGTCTCGCTCTCAAGGTCGATCGATTCGGCAAACGCTTCACTCCTCGTCCTCGGATGTCTCGACAAAGGTCATCGTGATGCCTTGAGGGTCATCGACGTTCAGGTTGATGGCATCGATGCTTGTGCTGTCCCGCTTCTCCTCGGAGTCTTCGCTCTTCTTGGCCAAAGCGGCGGAGACAACAGAAGGGAGGGAGGCTGTCTTGACGTCACGGGTCTCGAGCTCAGAGCCCTGGAGGTCTTTGGATGTAAGTCAGTATTGAGCATTATTCGTAAGGCCAGGATGAGGCAAACTTACTCTGTGGGACGCCTCGGCGGACGTACATGGTGGTGACCTTGGTAGTGCGGCGACGAGGTTGGGAAGCAGAAGTCTCATCGCGCTTTGCGGCGGCGGCAGCACCGGCGGCAGCGGTAGCTGTGGTAGGTCTGTTGTCGACGATGATACCAACACCAGCGCCACCCTCACCAGTACCAAGCTGGACAACGGGACCCTTTGTCAAGGCGTTCTCGGCATATTGGAGAGCACGGTCGAAGCCCTGAAGATCACGCTTGGTCTTGGGGCTCTCTCCCTCACGAGGAGCGATTTCCTTGCCCATTCCCTGCAGTGTCGAGATAGAAGCAGCTGTGAGAGCATCAGTAGTGTTCAAATAGCACAAAGTTCAGGCGGTGGGGTCGTACCCTGCTCAGAGAGTGTCGAGTCAGTTGCAGGGTTGGCAGCAACAACGGGGGTTTCTTCGGTCGTGACAACGGCTGCTGGAGCAGCTGCCGGGGTGGCGACGGCTTCGGCGGCCACAGCTGGCGCGGCGGCCTGAGCAGCACCAGCGGTGTTGGACTGGCCGGTTGCGGCATTGACGGCGGCTCCCTCGAGGGTGTTGAAGAGCTGAGATACGTCTTGACCTCCTCCGAATGATATTTCACCATCACCGACTACCCTGTATAGGAGTTAATGCTTTGATTCGACACACTATGGTCATCGACAACTTGACATACAAGGCGGGAGAGTAAGCACCAAGGTTGATGTTCAAAGGAAGGGCGTATACCGAGGCCACAAGGCCGGCAGTGGCGACAAGGCGGTAGCTAACCATTTTGACTGATTATGGGATTGGAGGGGATATTGATGGGTTGTGAAAGTTTCGGAAAAGATTGGCTAATAATAGTATGAATAAACGACCAGCGACGACCAGCGGAAGAATGAAAGAAATAGTAACCGAATGAAAGAATCTGATTCTGGACTTGAGCACAGCTGAAGAACAGAAATGGAACAGGAGATGCCATGATGACCTCCATATATACCAGTAGAGTCGATACAGAGACAATCAGTCTGGGCATTTCGGGGGTGGAACTCATGAGCGCCAAGTGATAGATGAACCGCTTGGTGAGAGTCATGTCCCTGCTCTGCCAAGCTGTTTCCAGACGTGGGTATCGATGACAAAAATAAGTACTACCAGAGACTATAGCAAAGCATGGAGACTGGGGGTCCGCTACAGTCTAGGACCGGTCTGGGCCACGCAAAGCGAGGAATGACAGGACAAACAACAAGAGGGTCGCTTGAAACACCACCACTGGACGGGCTAGAGGGAATGAATTCGGTCTTCACAGCACCAGCGACAAGCAGCCTCGCAAGCTGGACTTGCTGTTGCGTCGCGGCTCTTGGCTGAGGCTGCCAAGTACGGTTGAAGCGTCAATGCGGCAAGATATTCCAGCGTTGGAATAGGACCATGTGAGAGCCAGGTGGGTCAATCAGTCTTGAGACCTGCCAAGCATGGAGCCAAGCATCCAAGTGCGCTAAAGTCCGCGCCCAGTGCGCCGAAAGTGAAGAAGCTTTTATCGCTTCTTGGTGACAGGCTTGTCGATGTCTTGAGCGCCTGCAACGGTGATTAATGGGAGATAGGATTGCGGCCAGACCATCTGGCCCCGAGAAGTCCTCCACAAAGGGCCCGTGTCTTGGTATCTGGGGTCGTGGATTGGCGATATTATAGTGCCAATATGGTATGTATAGCCAAGACCCAAAGGGGGAATTGTGTAACCCGCTACTGGATGTTTCAAGCACTAGCTCTAGTGGCATTGGGAAGCAGAGGCGCCGAATCCTGATAGGCGGAGGCTGAAGAAACAGATACTACTCCAGAGTTCACGAACCGTGGGCAGAGCCTGTCCCTTCCATTTGTTCTTCCCCGGACAAGTGCCGGCCGGAGGTGGAGGCCATTGCTGCGTGACGATCGAGAACCCACCGTGATGCTGATGCAGAGCCAGCTGAATGCGACTGCACGCAGCCATGCCCTCCAAACAAACCTCGATGCGCAGCAATCCTACACTCCTCTGCCTCCCACGAATCCCACAGAGGAAGATCTATCTGGGCGTTACTGCACGAGTGACGGATGTGTGGCCCACGGCGGTAATAGGTCGCACTGCTTAGAAGACTGTACATAGTAGCCATGTGGACAAAGATATCCACGTCGTCGTCAGCTGGAGTCGGAGGCGATCAGACGGAGCCAAGCACAGGTCGGCGCATCGGAAAACACCATAGTCAATGCCTGTGCAAAAGACCTGAAGGCGCTGGAGATGTCGCCAACCCTATGGACCTGTTTAGGCCGTGCGTACAGTCTGCCAATTTTCGCTCTCAAGGTCAAGTGGCAAGCAACGCCTCCCAAGCAAAGTCATGATTGTCTGTGTTCCGTACACTAGTTTTCTTGAAATGGTCTACGCGCTGGCCGAAGAGCACCGACGATCTCTGCGAAATGGGACGGACGCGCAAGTTGGAGCCCATGGGCCATTACCAACCCAAGCTTTTGCCATGCTTCAGGACTAGTCCGGCAGTCACTAACCCCGTGTTTCCATGCCGATATCAAGACGGAGATTGACTACCATAGGTCCAAAGCCTTGTCGGTGGAATGTAACGGTTTCGTGGCCCCAGTCTCCCAAGACTTTTGGTGTGCGAAACATGAGGCACAGCCAAGAGATCGGCCACCGAGGAAAGAGTCTCTGTGAGCCATGAGGATTGGGCAAGTCGCCTGTCGACAACGGGCGGCGACAGATCAACACTTCCTGCGACATGATGCAGACGAATGTGTGAAAAATGGCGCTTTCTTTGCCCTCGAACATAGTATCTCTTGTAAGAACTTACCTCTGTAGCCAGCTTGGATCGATCCCCGAGTACTGGCTAAAATTCACAAAGCGCAGTAAATAGTGGAGTAAAATCAGTGCCGTTGTTCCTGTCCTGAAATGCTACAGTGGCTGGTTAGTGGAAATGTCAACTCCACCCCACTGAGCTTGGCAAGAAACCTTAGTTGGGCCTTTCCTGAACCAAAGGAATTGACGAATCAAGAAAAATGCCCGAATATCATCCATATTAGATACTTGCATGCGCAAGGAAGAAGCTCGAGCGCTGGCCTAGAGAGCTGCGGCCGCCTTTTGCTCAGTGATCAAGTTGTATCCTTCTGCTGGACCAGGTTAGGTAATGCATTCGTCTGATCCTGATCCTGTGCATCCCTCCTCCTCTCCAACTAAACAACATCCAGTATACATAATCCTATCAGAGTGCAAATTGCCTCCCTACCAAGGCTTGGTCTTCTAGTGGTCAATAGCAGTGAGGGAAGAGGCTTCTCGTATGCTCCTAATCCACCATAAAGGTATAATCACAGTGATGATACATGCACCTCGACAGAAGTAGAAGCGAGGATTACACAAGTCAGGATTCGTTTCTTAGCGCCATCATATTAGCCAAAAATGCACTACAATGGTCCACAGACTAGAGTATTTCTACAAGAGTCGATCGGCAGGACAGGGGCAGTATGAATAAGCGTCAAACAATGTGATATCTTCTCCACGACGAAGCTGGATTGTGCCTGGAGCTAAATTTAATCTGCATTCATAAAACACAAGAATCAGATCAAAAGAGCCTAATCACAATAGGCCAACCCCCGTACTCGGTGCATAGAAATGCCATCTTGGCTGAGCTTGCGTTTGCGTGCAGGCCAAGATCTATTGAAGCTTTGCCCTGAAAGCCAAGGACTCGGCGGGTATCAGACCAGTCGCCATCCCAAGTGTATCGGACGAACGCAGAAATACCATGTCAGTCTTTAAACCGATGCATGGGTTTCCAAACCGCCGCCTTACTGGACCGTATCCATCGCCGAGGTTCCTAAAATCCACGTGGTCCTGGTCCTGTTGGGATGATAGCTTGGAGCCTTTTTTGCTCTGGCTCACAAGTTGTCAAGCACACAAGAACGCTGTCTAGAAGGAATTCGTGGACTGTCATCAGATTTTCGACGCTGATATTGTATATTGAAAGGTATGTCGACTAGTTCATATCGATGCAACTTCTCTTCCAAAAGAGAACATTTTCTTAGCCTCAGTCATCAAACAAAGTCTTCAAGAGGACTGTATTGATACCTCGCACCATGAATACTACTCTCTGGCTAACACTGCACATCACTTCTCAACCTAGCATATCTTCACCCATCCGCTCGCGGTCTTGTAAGCTTCGACTCGATACCTCTACAGCCTCGGCAAGAACCTTGAATGTAGCCCATCATACCGAAGCCGACGGGCACGATGACATTGTCCTTATCGCTTGACGGAGAGGTTGCTCGAGATCGTGGCGGTTCATGGCAATGGCGGCGCGTTATGGTCAGATCTAGCGCTCTTTATCATCATGGCCAAGACACCGTACCGGATACCCGCCGACTTAGGAGACCTAAATTACCAAGTACAAGACGTACATGCTCAGGACCCTCAGCCGGATTTGAGCTATTGATGAATCAAAAGCGAGATCATGATGAATCTTCATGCTATAATCAGGTAAATATGAAGTACCAACTTCTGCTGCTGGTCGAAAGTTCAGAGGTAAGGAAACACACCAATGCAGTGGTTACAGCTCAAAAAGCTTGAGTGAACGTTCGTGCCATTCGTTTTCTTTTTTCTTTCTCTTCTTCTCTTCTTTTCCAAGAAACCAAAAAGAAGAAGAAAATCCCTTCCTAGAATCATCCATCAAAGCCGTTCCATCCATGCGACGACAAGGCTGGACAATCTTTAGGTGATTTCAACATCAGCAAAATATCGTATTCTTCAGCTTATTGTGAAACTGTATTCGTACAATTCCGATAAAGGTTTGCTTTTTTAAAGTTGAATTTTCCAAACGCAGGACATGCCAAAGACACGGCTTTTGCTCCACTCTCTCATCACAATATCCGCTTCTATACACCCAAGTAGTATACCAAGCGAACCATAGCAACTAGTCGCTGGTCATTTCATTTATTCTGATTGGTCAATGTAGAACACGAACGCTGAAGAAAACTGGATGCTATCCGAGACGCGCTATACCGTTTATATCACGACAAATCGAACCATGTACACGACTCGGAGCGCGTTCGTTCAACTGGTCCCACGCTGCTTTAAGGCCGGAGCTATGACTAGGATTAGGCTAGAGCTTTACTCCATTACCTAGATGGATAACATTGCACATTATTTCGTAGTATGGAGTCCATCTGAATTATGTAGCTAGGGTATCGTTTTATGCAAAACCAAGGAATATTAAGACGATTGACTATAGTACCACCCTCGCGAACGAGCATGCCCACATGCATTCTGTCGTGGGGGCGTTTTTTTTTATGCAAACCTAACCCATCATGAGCGTTTGTCAAAAATACCTCGCAAATATAGCGTTTCTTCTGTTGAAATATTTCTTTTTGCAAAGCGCATCATGGAAATGGTCTTAGTAACTTCATGGTCGACAAATTCCTCCGATCATGCGACATGATCACGCGACATCAAATCAATACTCCTTCGTTCAACTATGAGCTTATACTTGAAGTTGTGAGGTAGTATTCTGTTACACTAGGTATCCTGAGGCTGACGGATGCATGTGTCAGTTCTTGGAAACGCACCAGATCGTTCAGTCCCTGCCTGGCATGGCGGTACCACGCCCGGCATCATGATCATTTGATGGGTTTGAACGAAAGGATTTTCCTGTGCGTATTCGGAGATGCTATCAAGCCGGCGGCTGTGACTTCGACACGTTTTCCATGACCTCCATATGTATCGTACCTTTGGAACACGTTAACGATGACAAATTGTACCTATGGCGGTTTGCTGCTCAGAAGGACAAGGCATGCATAGATACACTGTCACTAGGTAGATATACTGCAAAAGAAGGCAAAGAGCAGACGCTGGTAAGCACAAACCTTAAAAATTCGTGGCTGGAGATTTTATATCGATACTACCCCGCTTGGAAATACGACATTATACAATTCCTGTTTGAACGCCATCCTTGGCAGATGCACCCGCCAAAGAGGGACAAGGCTTAAGTGCGTACGAGCCGAATTATACTCTCAGCCCGTTACAGATGGGACGAGTTGCATGGCGGAACCGTCGCACCGGGCCATTGCCTCGTTGGCCAACTGCACAAATAAGCAATATCACAACCATGACACACATAATCGACTCTTCTAGTCCATGCATTCAGGAACAGTTCATGACACAAAATTCCCATCCTGGTGAGACTGCCTTATCGAGAAAATTCCTTCGGGACTCTGTTTGGCTGGAATTACGAGCCGCTCGTTGCCTGCCGCGAGACCAAAGGCCACGTCCTGAGTGTGAGTTTTTTCGAAATATTCTGCAATAATGACGTTTTGAGTGCTTCGTTGTGCTTGTTTGTGCCGTGCATGTTATACAGTGGCTGGTTTCTCCAAAATGCTGTACATGGTACTCTTTACGAGAGTTGCAATCCCCGTTCCCTATAAAGTCCGAAGAAGTGTTGGTATTAATTTTTAAGTGTATAGAACTCGGGTGGGAAATTACCTTTTGAGTCAAGTAAGATTAACTCTTGACAGCCATGAGTATATTGAATTGCCAAATTAGCATAGAAGAGATGAAAATCTTGTCAAGTCTGGTGAGTTGAGGTGTAAGACACCTTTCTCTAGGCTGCGCCATCCCGATTCCTACCGTTTTTAGCCGTGTCTCAGTTAAATGCAGCTATGCATTCAGCTTCCATACTAACTGTTACTTTCGACTCTTGTCTTCACAACCTCATCATAATTTCTCATAGCCAGCTCTTCGACCATGACCCGGCCGACGAACGAAATGTAGCTAGGAGACCGTCTATAAATCTCACGAACAGACCACGCGATGATAGACTGGTCAGAAGACAGATCAATCGCTACTATTTCTTAACATTTTGGCAGATTCACATTGAGAAGACTTTTCATCCATACAGTTGACCTCTGACAATATGAAGTTTCTGGCTCCATTCACTTTGGCGATCGCCTCGCTCACGACAGCGAGCCCCATTGAACCGCGCGCTGTGACAAATTTTGACGGTTCACAGGGTGTGAGACTCAATCTTGTCAATGCCAGTTTTGGGCCAGATGGAGGTCTTTACTACAAGGGAATGGGTAGGTTTCTGCTTCAATGACAATTGGAAATATATCACAAAATACCTATCACGATAAAATCTTGACTGACCACACACACATACACAGGACTTGCCCAGATTTATGACAAGGGCAAGAGTCTTCAGGCTGTCCAGGCACACTCCAATCCCAACGTGCTGACCTACGGCGACCTGGACCGTCTCAGCGACCCATACCCCTACATTACTAGCAAATTCACGGGTTCTAGCGGCACCTTTGACCTGGAGTCCTTCTACTATGGCTGTGTTTTGGGCAACAAACCTGGCAACTGCGTCATCACCGTTGTGGGCTTTAGGAACGGTGTCAAAGTGGCCGCGGCTTCCTTTTCTTATGAGCCGGTAGCCACGATCCCAGCCCCCATGGCACAGCTCAGATTGACCAGCGCCTTTCGCGATATTGACTCGGTCCGTTTCACCACCGTCTTCTCCGACAGTGCAAGTCACCCCGGTCTGGGAGGCGCCACCTTCTTGGACGACCTTCGATACACGTACTTTGGTTCTTCCTAGACATACAAGTTTCCGATCGTCTCTGCTGCCTTGTGTCTTTCTCCAATGGCCATTGGCCAAAAGTTACAATCCTTGAAGACGCGAATGATTAATGATGGCGATGATATGGGTCATTGAGATGAAAGGCAGGTTTCTGGCCTGGGTCAATCTTGGAAGGGTTAGTTTAGGATTTCAAGGCAAACTAATGAGGAGACGGCCTTATGACAGCTACGACAGCGAGACATTGAATACAAATTTGCATTCAGTAAAAGATCTGCCCAGAGACGAGATATAATTCCACATTCTCTTCTAGCAATATAGCCAGCCAGCCACACAGCTAGAGTGACAAGTGAGGTATTACTAGCAGTCAGCAAGACTCAATATACATCATTTCAATACTTTGTAGAAAAGCCTTATGATGTAACCAATCAATTTCATGGGTCAATTATCGTGAGTTCTGTACCGGCACGTTGAAGATTCTTGATGCGGCTGCTTGCATGCATGCGTTACTGCATCTACAGCTGAATGGCACCAGACGAACCAGTCGTTAGCTTTGTAGACGACGCAGCCCACGATGTAGTCCAATTGACTGGATAAGCAAGTCTTCACATCATCTGGCCGCGGCGGTTCTGGCTGCGTGACTAAGTATGCCGTATCACTGAGTATTTGTATTGCCTCTACAACCTTGATTAACTCCTCAAAACGTGGTGCAATTCAACAACTAATGGCATCTAGCGCTGGATAAGATATTTTATTTAGTCGCATTTGACTATCGCATATTAAAGTATTTGATTTCTCCTAATTGCAGCATGTTGTCGTTTATGTTTTGTGCATATTCATGTATAAATATTCGAGGAAGCAATTGATGAGAGTTTCTTCCACGATTTTATGCGCCTCAAACCTAGCGAGCAGAATGACTTCTCACAAGTATAGAACCAACCCAGATAGTCTGGTTAAACGTAGTCAAGACTCAGAGTATAGATTTATGGCGGTGATGGCTCATATTGGTGTTAGTCCAGTCTTGATAGGTGAGTATTGGGAGATATACAAGAATTATGCTATGTAAGCTGCATTAACACGTGACTAGTAGTGAGCAAAGCCCGGGAGCGAGAAAAGAGCTAAGTAAAAGCGGCATTTACGCTAGTCCCCATTGGTCGGAAAAAAGCTGTGATGAGCATCGAACTACATAATAATTTTCTTGCATCTTTTGCATACGTACCTTGACCTCAACGAGGAGCTCATTCCAATCCACCTTTTTTCCTCTCCGCTCCTTCTCCTTCGGTCTGTTTGATATTCTTCTTTCCCCCCCCCAATCTTCATTTGGGTCTTCACATCACAATGCCTGCGGCCCTGAGAACGTTGGCGCCTTTCCTGCGCGCCTCGCGCCAGGCTCTCCGACCTGGCAGCGCCGCCAACCCTCTCCAGTACTCCCTCAAGTCGCAGAATGTGTCGTCGGCCCTCAACATCTACAGATCCTACGCAGTGTACGAGAGAACAAAGCCGCATGTGAACATTGGTACCATCGGTCACGTCGATCACGGCAAGGTCAGTCAACCAGGCAATTGCCGCATGCTTCAGTAGTGGTAGTAATATTGCTACATGGACACGGAGAGGACCTCGGAAAGAAGCTTCTCTCTTTTCCGTGCAAGATCTGTTCCAAAGAAGACAGTCCGGCTAACCTACGAAAACAAACATATAGACCACCCTGTCTGCAGCCATCACAAAGCGTCAGGCCGAGAAGGGTCTCGCCAACTTCCTTGAATATGGAGCTATTGACAAGGCCCCCGAGGAGCGCAAGCGTGGTATCACCATTTCTACTGCCCACATTGAGTACTCGTCCGACACTCGCCACTACTCCCACGTCGACTGTCCCGGTCACGCCGATTACATCAAGAACATGATTACTGGTGCTGCCAACATGGACGGTGCCATCATTGTCGTCGCTGCTTCCGATGGTCAGATGCCCCAGACCCGTGAGCACTTGCTGCTCGCCCGTCAGGTCGGTGTCCAGAAGATTGTCGTCTTCGTCAACAAGGTTGACGCCATTGAGGACCCCGAGATGTTGGAGCTCGTCGAGATGGAGATGCGTGAGCTCCTCTCCCACTACGGCTTCGAGGGTGACGAGACCCCCGTCATCATGGGTTCCGCTCTCATGGCTATGGAGGGCAAGCGACCGGAGATTGGCGAGCAGAAGATTGATGAGCTCATGGAAGCTGTCGACCGCTGGATCCCCACCCCCGAGCGTGACCTTGACAAGCCCTTCCTGATGTCTGTTGAGGATGTCTTCTCCATTGGTGGCCGTGGAACCGTCGCATCCGGCCGTGTCGAGCGTGGTGTCCTGAAGAAGGATTCCGAGGTCGAGCTGGTTGGAAAGGGTGGCGAGATCATCAAGACCAAGGTCACCGACATTGAGACCTTCAAGAAGTCCTGCGACGAGTCCCGTGCTGGCGACAACTCCGGTCTGTTGCTCCGTGGTATCCGCCGTGAGGATGTCAGACGTGGTATGGTCATCGTCAAGCCTGGCACCGTCAAGGCCCACACCAAGTTCATGATCTCCCTCTACGTTCTGACCAAGGACGAGGGTGGTCGCCACACTGGTTTCCACGAGAACTACCGCCCCCAGATGTTCCTGCGTACCGCCGATGAGTCTTGCGCTCTCTTCCTCCCCGACGATGCCGAGGACAAGAGCCGCATGATCATGCCTGGTGACAACGTCGAGATGGTTGCTCACCTGCACAACCCCATTGCTATCGAGGCTGGTCAGCGTGTCAACGTCCGTGAGGGTGGCCGAACTGTCGCCACCGGTATCATCACCCGTATCATCGAATAAACACGCCATAGACGAGAGAAGCAAACCATAATGTGTACGAAGAACAGGACGAGAGAGCAAGCTGGCTAAGCTGCAGGCATTACGAGGGATACCAAAAAGGAGTTACCGAGAGGTCTGTACATGATGAAATGGCACAATGTACAATACTTGTTTTAGAAGCCTGTGTACAGTCGGAAATTTATTGGGTCCACCTCCTGTTGTTTGAATACTCCTCCCTCCATCTCCCCTCCAACAAATTCTTTCCTGTCTTTGTTTCTGTATTATAGATCTGCATGAGGACAGGTAGCGAAAACATAACAAAAATTTCCCCAATCCAATATTAATCAGCTCAATATGGTGCCATGGATCTTGCCGAGCGATACCATATCAATCATGTCCGATGGCAAAGGCATTGCAAACACACTGTCCTGCCCGAGCTTTGGTTGCTGTGTAAATGAAACATTGATCGGCACTTTTCGTGGGTCGTACAACACGACACGACACGACACGAGACAACTCGAGCTGCACCCCCAATATCAACCAGCAACCACTGTTCAGCGGCACCACGTACAATAGGGAGCCCATTTCTGGCCTGGATTTGTAACGGGAAACGACGCTGGAACGGCAATAGCATATAGCATATACATGAAAAATTACCAAGGTCTAGCTTTTATTCTGGGCCATTTGCGTGGGCCGCTCAAGAAGCAAATATGTACACGCGGTTCCCGATGTCCTTCGTCCATCATTGAACTCTAAAAGAAGGTGAATCAGCTGGCATCATATATCCAAGCATACCAAGCCTTTTGCCAGCTCACCACAAAACCTCCAAAAGCCAAGAATAGAGTTACAACACCTTGAGACATTGCTCAGGTTCCCGTCTGCGGTATGACCACGACAAGCAAGGAAAGCTTTTCCCATGCGAAGTCGCTCTCCCCCCTCTTGTTCCAAACGAGCTGTATTGATTTTTTTTCTTCTTGCAAAAGCCATTGGTCCTTTTCTCTCTGCATTGCCTCACTTTTCTTTCTGACCGCTTCACATCTTGCGAATACTGGAACCACGTATCATTCTATCATCAAAAAGAAGCCTTTCAGAAACATGGCGCCTGCGCTTTCATATACTGGCCGCATCCTGGCCTGCGAGGAGTGAGTTAAAATAACAAAGATCATCACATGCATATCTCTATTTCCAAGTTCCTGTCCTTGTCTCTACAGAGTCATGAAACATGAAAAGAACACAAGTAGCTAAACAGTTTTTTACTCCCACAAAAATAGGTACGCACTGCGCGGCGAGGATTTCTGTAAATGGGCCCGCCAACCCAACCGGGGCGTCGACGCGCGCCGCTCCCTGGCCCTGGAGAACCGATTCCTCGTCTTTGCGCCGCACGACTGGCGGCCCTGGCACCTGTTGCTGATCCTGCTGGTGGCCGTGTGCGTCGTGTTTGTGGCCAGGGACGAGCTCCTCGGTGGTGGTGGTGGTGGTGGTGGTGGTGGCGGTGGCGGCGGCGGTTCTGGAAGGGCTTCTACCTGGTGGGCTACAACGCCCGCGTCCGAGGATGAGAGGCGGCAAAAGAGTAGCTCCATGGACCGAGGCTTCACCAAGAAGATCTTCCAGAGGACCCCGAGGAGAAAGGTTGATGATGTGGTGGATCGAGATGGACTCCCATGGAAGTGTTCGTGAGAGCTGGTGGTCGGAATGGGATTTTCGCAGGATTTGATCTGCGGGCAGGAGCTCTTCAATTTCAGTGTTGACGCAGCAAAATCTTCAGAGTTGGTCGATTTCAGAGCAGAGGCTGGCCTCTGTTGAAACCATGTGGGTGAATCAACGCATTGAGTTTCATTGTGTTCTTGGACTGTGTGGCCTTGATATTATATATTCTGGACCGAGGTTATAAGTGTATTCTTGGAGCCCTTTGCGGACTCGACAGACTTGATGGATCATTCTACTAAAAAGCACGTTAGGGGATACTTCCACTATACAAGAGGCAGTCACCGCTGGGAACATCCTGATCAAAAGAGTCACATCCACAGAAAATGCCGCTGATAGACTTACAAAAGCGTTGCGACCGAAGGAATTTGAGCATTTCGTGCATTTGCTTATCCGTCAAAACGAGAGTTGTAAGTCTATCAGCGGCATTTTCTGTGGATGTGACTCTTTTGATCAGGATGTTCCCTGAGGTGACTTCCTGTGATATATAGCGGAAGTATCGCCTGACGTGCTTTTTGATAGGAGTGCTGGTTTGCGCCTTGGCCAGGCCTCTGCGCCTGTGTTGTCCTAAGGAAAAGACTTGAATAGCAAAAAGAGAATTTCAAATAACAAAACTAGATAACGCAGGTCAAGCTGTTGAGTGTATAGCCACTTCCTTATCTCTCGCTCATAACTAGCCATCTACATTTTTGACATAATCAGTTGTATGATGTTGACCATTCCAGTATGCAGAGCTGACTTTCATGTTTGCACATCTATCATGTGTAAGCCTTGGTGTATCTATTCTTCTTTTATTTTTACATCATATGCATAGGAGATGGATACACTGATGCATAGAGAAGTTTGGAATTAAGAAAAAACTTTCACAGAATCTTGCTGCTCATTTATGAAAGGCACATATTTCAGTGTCTGGGTTTTTTTTTTTTCAGTTGAGTTTATTATAGCATGGGCTTTGTGAACAGCTGAATACAGATGATATCACTGAGGGCAGACACACACTTCTTGGTGCACGCTTGCTTACACAGATGGCGAGTAAGGAATTTTCTCTCCAGGGGGATCATTCAGACACTCTAGGACATATTACTTGGACTATGGAGACGTGCCGTACCATAGATAGTATAGACACTTGATATGTTATGACAAAACCACGTAATATGCAAAGTCATTCTTCACGCACAACCATGCCGCCAACATGGTGGTATATTACTGAATTTGTCAATCTACTCTATGGAATCGTCGCCGGAGTTGGTCCATCCATGGCCTCACAAGTAATCACGGTGTCGTCGTCTTAGTATGAATGGCTTCATGCCCAACAAGGTCGACATGACAACAAGGTCTCCGCTTCGCGATCCAAGACCTGATGGGTGCAAATAAGCAAGCTTCTTTCCAACAAAGAGTATCGGTTCCGCGGCTCAATCGGTAGAGTTCCAGACCGAAGATCAATCACCCAGCTCTCCTCATTGCTGTATCTACATTGCCACCATCGATACTGCATCTTCAAGAGCTGGAAGATCAACTCCGTTAGGCCCTCGGTCATCTGTACCTACTGGAGGGCCTGGAAGGTCAACACACAAGATAGAGGTTTTGAGCTTTGTCCATCTCACTATACTTGATCCAGTGTTGCACATTTTTTTCTCCCTTCCTTTTTTATCGGATTCATCTCAAAGGAGAACCTGATATGCTTATGTCAACTTGTGTTTTTAAGATTAAAAGGTCAATTCTTGGTTGTGAAGTTATCTGCTTTGTCGGCCACCCGAATACAAGTACGGAAGGTAGCAGCTCGACCGCAAGCGCGATCAAGGGGCCTTCTCTCATGATCACTGGAATTCCGCAGAAAGTGCCCCTCTGATAACCACTCGGAAGGGCAGAGACTCGCTACTTGATTCATATAAGCATTTTAGGCTTTGTGATTTGTTCTTTTTCCTTTTTTTGAGAGTGAAAAACACATCGATTTTGGCCGCGAGGAGGTGAGATGAAACAGTAAACCGAGGTAACGCAAGTGGAAGACAGAAACCTCTGAGCAAGATTGCATTTGGGAGGCACAAATTAGAAAAACAGAGAATTTTATGCCAATGGCGTTGCGTTTGTTCAAGAGCAAAGTCATTTCACTCGTCTGATATGACCTGGCTCGCAATCACCAAGACCAAACAATACTCGAGGCGCCATCAAAGAATCATCTTGAGCGCTGTCCAAGCCTTTGGCAGGATCAGAGCATTGCATCCAGCACAGGTAGACACTTGCCTCAGTGACAAATTACCCAAGAGGTAAACCCTCGACTTCAACTTCATGAATTAAGTTGTTCATTAGCTGAGCGAAATAATGCTAGGGTACTATAATGTACGGCGTATTCATCTTGACATTGGCATTGGTTCAAGGGACTTTGTCTACTAGGGTAAGACCGCAGCCATTATAAACACTGATATTGGACAGGTCCTGTTGATTCGTAGTAATGTAAATCAATGACAGGAAATTGATGATGTGACCATACCTGGGTGGACATACAGCACTGATCAATTCTGTGCAGTGGTAGTGGTCCAAATTATTTGCTCTCATGGTGCAGGTTGTTATCATGAGTTATTCATACATAGATCATCACACGGAGAAAAGAGATCATGGGAAAGAGAGATCATGGGAAAGAGAGATCATGGGAAAGAGAGATCATGGGAAAGAGAGATCATGGGAAAGAGAGATCATGGGAAAGAGATATCATGGGAAAGAGAGATCATGGGAAAGAGAAAGTACATTAGCAGTCCCCAGGCTGACGGTCACGAGCATGAAGGTTTGCATGAATGTAGAGGATTCTTTTCACTGCAGTCTTGACTGCCCTTGGCCCGGAGGTCTCCACGAAAAGACATTCGCTGAGATGCTACAAGTTCAGAGCGAGGCGATGAGCACTTGCTTATCGTTGAATCTAGTGATTGTGCTGGTGAGACGCCGCATCTTCAAATAATCGCAGTCACAGGAAACTAGCCGATGCCAGAGGATGAAGCGTGAGCAGCGAGGTGAGTTGGGTACGTTGCTGTTGTTCTTCTTAAACTGACCGCTGATCGAGGAGCGTTGTATTCAAGGCCCAGCTGCTCCAATTGAAGTAAATGTCGTCGAATCCGAGGTTCTGAGCAAATCGAGGCGTACAGGGTGAATTTCTGGAGGGCGCATCCATCTGCAGATTTAGTACTTGTCCTCTTGTCGTCGTGTAGGAAGTGCTGCTTTGGCCACATCCGAATGCCAATTGCCCATCCTCCGCGGCAGGTCTTGGCCGAGCTGGTCATCACAAGTCCGATTCATCAAAGCTTCCAGTTCATAATTGTTCATTTTTAGAACCCTTGCGCATTGTCGAGCTGATCTAGCCTGACCCTATGACAGCCGTGCACATTCCTCCGCCTGTGCCCATTTACAGGTACCGGGGCAAATGCTGAAGGAAAACCATTTGTTTTTTTCCATGTTCAAAAACCGACAACTCCATGTCCGCGTCCGCAAAATCGCGTTCGTATCGTAGATGCCATGACTAAGCGCGAGAGGTCGTGAGGGTGTGAGGAAGGGACGCCGGGCATTTATCGGTGCTAAATCGCAAAGTCAGTATGCCGTCTTGTATCCGATGGGGTGATATTCGAAGGATTCGGTGTCGCGAATTCCGTACCTTGACGAAGCCAATGTCGGCGGACTTCTCACGGAAGCACTGACGGCAGATGTTGAGGCCGTACTTGCGGATCAGACCGGCCTTGTGGGTGCAGACGCGGCTGTTCAAGAGGTAAAAATAAAAACGTTAGCCCGCAGTTTTCTCCTTTCCATCGCAGAATTTTCCCTGGTGTCGGTCCTCTTGTCCTCCCGATTCCAACCAGATTTCAATCCATCAAGACGTACCACTGACGGGCGCCCTTGCCGTAGCTACGGGGGCGGGAGTTCCAGACGGATTCGTGAGACATGATTGCGGTTGAGTTGACGGAAACTTGTCAAGAGCTTGTCGGAGTTGTGCTTGGTGGACTGGGTGTCGTCTGGAGGGGCGCTGGTCGGGTTGGTCGTTCGTTTCGCGAAGCCTTCAAAATGGAGAAAGTTCCAGTCCGAATTATTTTCAGAATTGCGGTTTGGTGTGCGCTAGAGCGGGCCGACCGAACAAGGGCTGCGCACCAGCCACGATCTCTGGGGGGCCACCAGCCACAAAAAGGTCAGCAGCTACTAGTTGGTGCTAAAAGGGGCCACGGGCCCACAAGAGGAGGAGCATGGGCCTTGTTCTCGTTGGTCTTAGCCCATAGTCCAATGTCAGGGGGTGACCACCAAGGGGTTCGTTCACTGCACATGCGTTATGCCAGTATAAGCCAAGGTACTTGATTCATACCAAAGGTGAAGAAGTATCTAGTCATTTATCTTTTATTTTCTTTTAATCTCATTGATGGTATCGTAGTATTCTTATAGAGTCGAATACATACAAACCCATGATATGCTATGAATTAGCATATATAAGCAATGTGCCTTTCAACTTGTACTACAGTCGAGTCCTACCATCAGCTCATGCTCCATGCTTATCGATAACGGGCCGCCACTTCCCTATCCAAAGTGGTTTCATATGGTGCTCCGTAGTTGACAGGTTGGAGCCTCTCAACGAGTTTAGCGTACCTTACGTAGCGACCGGGACTTGTGCTGGAATTGTAAGCAAGCTCTCATCCTATCTCGTCTCCATCCTGTTCCAGCCAGCGAGGACAATCTGTCTTCAAGTTTTCAGCAACCATCAATCCTAAATCCTCTTTGGATAAATTGTCTCTCTTGATTGCAACGAGCTCCTTCATCAAGGACAACATCAAGTTCTCCTTCGACTGACATCACAGAACTAGCAGCCATGGTTCTCCTCAAGAGCTTCGTGCTCACTGGCCTCGCCGCCGTTGTAGCAGCCAAATCTGCCGTCCTTGACCTCGTCCCCTCCAACTTCGACGACGTTGTCCTCAAGTCGGGCAAGCCCACCCTAGTCGAGTTCTTTGCCCCGTGGTGTGGCCACTGCAAGAACCTTGCTCCCGTCTACGAGGAGCTCGCCGGTGTCTTTGCATCCACAAAGGACGTCCAGATTGCCAAGGTCGACGCCGATGCCGAGAAGTCCCTTGGAAAGAGATTCGGTGTTCAGGGATTCCCCACACTCAAGTTTTTTGATGGAAAGAGCGATAAGCCTGTCGACTACAATGGTGGACGCGATTTGGACAGCTTGACCAACTTCATCACTGAGAAGACTGGCGTCAAGGCCAAGCGCAAGCTTGAGATGCCAAGCCCAGTTGATATGCTTACCGACAAGACCTTCAAGGAAACCATTGGTAGCGAAAAGAACGCTTTCGTTGCTTTTACTGCTCCTTGGTGCGGACGTAAGTCGTTCACTCTCCTTCACGCCTTGATGCATGCTAACTCCAAGCAGACTGCAAGAACCTGGCTCCTACCTGGGAGAAGCTGGCTGAGGACTTCCTTCTCGAGACCAACGTCGTTATCGGAAAGGTCGACGCCGAGGCCGAGAACAGCAAGGCTACTGCCCAGGAACAGGGTGTTACCAGCTATCCTACAATCAAGTTCTTCCCTGCTGGCTCTACTGAGGGCGAACTCTACAGTGGTGGCCGATCCGAGGCTGACCTTGTTGCCTTCATCAACGAGAAGGTCGGAACTCACCGTGTCGCTGGTGGTGGCCTTGATGCTACTGCTGGCACCATTGACATCCTCAACCACATTGCCCTGAAGTTCGCTGCTGGCAGCGACAGCTTGTCGGCCTTGGCTTCTGAGACCAAGAAGAATGTCGACAACCTTGGCAAGGAGGCCCAGTACAAGTACGCCGAGTACTACATCCGTGTCTTTGACAAGCTGTCCAAGAGCGATAACTGGGTTGCTAAGGAGCTGGCTCGCCTTGACGGTATCATCAAGAAGGGTGGCCTGGCCCCTTCCAAGCTCGACGAGCTCCAGTCCAAGACCAACATTCTGAAGCAGTTTGTGGCGGATGTTGCCGAGAAGGTCACCGGCAAGGACGAGCTGTAGGAGCAGCTCTGATGAAGCTGGCGGTTGTTCGATAATTCAAGCACGATTGGCAGGCGTCTAGTCCTTCTAGCCTTTTATCTTTATCTTTAGAGCTCAAAAACATACCCTTGATCCCAATTTACGCGTTGTTCTCGATTGCTTGCATATGTCATTTAATTATGAAAAAAAAAACAAAAATTTTGCGAGGCCCAAAAGGGTATTGATGGCGCTTCCTGTACGACCTTGTACCTCCAAACTGATGCAAACAATAATGTCTTGAATCTTTGGTTGACACACCCTGTCTAAAGAACCCCAACCACAAGTTTAAAGCAGCATGTACTCCTTGAACGCCTTGGCTTCTCCGCAAATTCGAGAATTTCGAAGATCGTAGTTTTGTTATTTTGTCGAAGATGAACTTGAGCTGTTTTGTTGGGCCTGCAGAGCTGCCTCCAGGTTGTCTAGCCGCCTCGACATCTCGTCCATTTTGGCAAATAGTTCGCTCGATACGCCCGCAAATTTGTTGGAAAGCGAGTTCAGGAGGTCTTCGACAACGACCGTCAGCTCATCGGATGACTGCGCGAAACGTTAGCTATTGCTCCGACCGAGATGAGTAGGTTTGCATACGTTGCCCGCGGCAGCAGGCGGCTCCTTGTTGGGACTCTCGGCTTTCTTGGAGGACATTGCGAATGAGTTTTTGTCTTTCGAGATCTAAGCTTTGTCTGTTTCTGTTGGGAATATTGTGCCTCTTGTGATGATCCTGTTTCGAATGCTTCTCTCAACCTGTGAAGTTTCGGGTGTTTGCAACTTGCGACAAGTGTATTGGCTCTTGAAAAGAACGACGTCGATAAGAGTGTTTGTTTCTTGCCGATATGGTTGGCGTTGGGCCCCGCGATCATCTTCGCACGTGGTGGGCTCGGGCTCAGTAACAATTAGCGTCGAGACCCCTGAAATTCCCCGAAAAGCCGCTAGAACCACGAGCTTGCCGGGAGCTCCAGTACCTTATGTACATGCATGACCTCACGCGATTCTTCAATGCTTAGCAACAACTCTCTTCTGCACTTGTTCAGCATTTGTATAACATTTGCCAATTTCGACACGCCAGACGCCCAACCTCTGATATCATGATGGGCTGTATGGTGGACTATTTCTTACATATGCGCATCGGCTAATCACGTTTTCGACGCAACCCAAGCCCGACATGCCGCCACCAGGCGACAACCAGCGTGTGATACTCCTAATCATCCTGCTATTGCTGTGGACGACTACCAACGATAACAGCGCTGGCTTCGTGCAAGCGCCGTCTCTGACCAGGGCTCGGCTTGCCAGGCAGCGAACCGCCCATGGCGTTCTAAATACCACACATTGGGGCGATTTCTCGCCCCGGCTGGCCAACGAGCAGCCACTCTTCCCAGGTCCCGAGCCTCGGTATTTGAACCTGACCGGGTTCCGCGAAGAAGACCGTTTCGCATGGGAAGACTTTGGACACTTCAGGAATCGATGTGAGGAATGGAGCGAGAATGCAGTGGGAAAGCCAAATGCAGCGTCGCCTGTATGGCAAAACGTCTCCGGCGTGATTAGAGGACCGTGGATCCGGAAGCCACTGTCGGTATCGCGGACGCACGCAAGCTACAACCTAAGCGAAGTAACGCCCGGTATCGAATGGATAGCTGAAAATGCGGATTGGGGGAGGAACATTACTGGGCGAGAGGGAAAGATGCTGGTGAGGGTGCACGACCAGGAGGCTGCCGGAACGGAACCGAAGAGGGAGGACCTGCATCCAGTAGGACAGCCGCCGCTGGAGGTCAAGGCAAGGGCTGTGTCTGCCACAGTTACCATCGATGACGAAGAAGGTTCGGGATCTAGCTCAGAAATGCGTCTTCATGGCGTACACTGGCCCCGACAAGGGGCTTTGCTCTTAACCACGACGAGCGAGAAGTTCGCTGGCATATTTGCCCTTCCTCATCTCACCTCACGAGAGGACTACTTCAACTCTAGCCAGGCTCTTTTGAACAGAACGTTGGACGAAATGTTGCATGCTAAAGAGCGGCGCTACTTCACCGACCATGGAAACCCATGGGCTTCCACGAGCGACTCAGGAGAACCACTGGGCTCGGCGCCGCACTGCGAGTACATATTCTATATGCAAGTGCACCCGCCAGAACAGAGCATCCTGGATATCGATCATCTGCTCGCGGGACCGGAGAATATCGCAAAGGCTATCGATGAGCTCGAGTATGAGCTTCGGTTTCCCCGCGGAGCTCCACAAGATGGGCCTCCAAGACTTATGATGTCGGCAGTCGTATACTCTCCCGACTGCGCCTTCATGATAGAGACGAAAGGACCACCGGATTTTCCCCCGGCGGAAGGGCAGCATTTGTCGGGTTGGAAGCAGGAACAGTGGCTGCATGACGTGGGATATTGGATGCTTGGCTTCGGTGCCATCATTTTCCTCCAAGTCCAGCTGCTGAAAACACAGATGAGAGAAGCATCGACGCCGTCTACGCTAGGAAGAATCAGCTTCTACACTGCAAGTATGATTCTGCTTGCCGATGGCATCATCTTTGCAGGTTCCGCCGCTTGGGCGCTCTCAGCGTCAAACACCCTGCTGCCTGCCTTGGTCGTGACTGGGGCATCGTGTCTGGCTACTACAGTCGGCATTTGCTTTCTGAGTGAAATATATGTTGTACAAGAACCGGAATGGCGTCGGCGAGACCGCGAGAGGCAGGCCAATTCGACAAGCAGCACGCCTAGGCCGCCTCCAACCACACCAGCTCCAGACGCGACAACGCCCAACACAAGCTCGGAGTCCAACACACTTCTCTCAACTGCTGCGAGGCGAGCTACTCCGCGTCCGCCATCGCCCCCGATCATCATACCTTCTGACCAGGATATAGACGCTGAGATTGAGCAAGTCACAAACAATCCTCAATCTATCTTACCAGCACCAGTTACCGCCGCTACTCCGGCAAACAACCAGAACGCAAATCGGTCCACGCCACTGGGCACCATCTTTGGTCATCTTATAATGTCAGGAATTGCCATTCTATTCCTCTCCCTTGCCGCTGCAACATGGAAGCCTGCATTGCGCTCAGTATACTTTAACATATTGGCTCTGGGCTATCTATCACTCTGGACACCACAAATTTACCGCAACGTATACCGAAACTGTCGGCGTGCACTTTCATGGAGATTCGTAATTGGGCAGTCTATTCTGCGTATCCTGCCTATTGCCTACTTCTACCTTGTCAAAGACAATTTTGCCTTTGCCACACCAGATTGGACGGCCTTTGCCGTGCTTGCCGGTTGGCTCTGGATCCAAATATGGATGCTAGCAGCACAAAATGTGTTGGGGCCACGCTTTGGAATCCCCAGAGGCTGGATGCCCGAAGCATGGGAGTACCATCCTATCCTGAGAGAAGATGGTGTCGAAAGCGGTGGTCTTCCCATAGGACTGGTCCTGGGCTCCTCCGATACGGCCCCGAGCTCACCAACTCTCGATCGCACAAAGAGTGGTGCTGATGCCAACAAGCACACCAGGATACATCATATTGACTGTGCGATCTGCCGCGAGGTACTCGAAGTACCAGTCGTCAAGGCTGGCGAGAGTGACCCAAATAGTGGAGTGACTGGAGTCTTCACCCGGAGAGCGTACATGGTAACGCCGTGCCGACATATATTCCACAGTGCTTGTCTAGAGGGGTGGATGCGGTTCAGATTGCAGTGTCCAATCTGCAGAGAGGAGCTTCCACCTTTGTAAGGCGTATTATAGAATCAGGGTAAAAGCGTGCAGTAGAGAATAAGCAGGCCTTTAATAGTGTCATGAGAACATGTCTCACAGTACCAGTCATGCCACAAGAAGTCCAAACGGGGCCTGTATTCCGGTGCACATGATGCATAATGCTCATCGTCATTCAATATCACAATTCTCCTATTTAATATCGCTTTTGGCGTTTACAAACTGAACCCCACAGGCCACAAGCTTTCCATCTTGCAACTACCTACCCAACATGCGACATCTCCCTTGAGAAACAATATTGGGAGTAGAGTTACTACCCTCGATCACATACTCAACACTTTCGATGATGCCTTCTGAGTCTTCTCCTCGCTTACCATCACACATCGAGCGTGCTGTTGTGAAGAAGAGATCAGACTTTTTCAAGGTGCCTAGGAATTCATTATCGCTTGACTTTGATGAGGATCTCTTGCAGACTGCTCAACACGACCATTGATTGGCCCTACGATTCACGACAATCGCAGCACGAAGAGCGATGACGCCCGTGTTCACACCACTTGAACAAAATGTCAGTAAGCATAAGTTAGCGCTCAGCTCTAAAGACGTATCTGCTGAATCTTTCTTCCCAAGCGTACCACGCCTCGGGGCCCTCTCGAATCTCTATTCGCCCAAGACTTGTGGCCCCCTTCAGCTCACCAGGACACACGTGGTTCAAGGGAAACGTATGATGGTTGCAGGACGCGAGGGGAGAGTTTGACGGCCTCTCACCAGAAACCACCAATATCCCATACGGTTATTGACGTGGCATTCCGCCGGCCCCGAAAAAGTAGCAGGGCTTCCTTTTCTCCTCCGGTTTTGGCTCTACTAGTTTTCAAGTGGCTGATGATACAGAGACCGACGAGCTCGGTCTCCGTCTGCTTTTTTCAACATCAGAACGTCTTGCATGAACCGGATCCTCGCACGATTACGTAGTTTGCGCACGTTTGCTTGCAGTAGCTCATTTTCTAATGGGAAACCCCTCCAAAATAGACTTGCGACTGGCCAAATAGCGATTGGCGTAGGTGCATAGTAATTACTATATTCTCTTCCCCCCTCCCAGGGTTATTGCCGAAGCTAGACCACGCAGCTCAAACCTAGTATACTGTTACTTTTTTTTTTTTTTGGTTTCGATACTCGCCTACTTACTGCCACGAGGGTATGCGCAGCATACCGGAGCCCCAAGACACCTTTTCTGAGTAGCGAATTGGAAAATCAATCGACTTACTTGACGACGCAATGAAGATCCTCAGCAAAACCACGCAGCCTTGATACCGTTTCATGGGGGTAATTAGTTGTATAATACGCCGTTGTAGAATACCTGGTGCAAAAGTACGCGTCTTTCCCCCACTCGAAAAAAACCCGCCCGGCCCGCCAATCACTAATTTTAAAGGGACCCAGTGACTTACTCTACTATATTTGCCCCCCGGAAATCAAGGCTGACGATCCCCCAGAAGATGGTGTTACCGTCGTCCTTTGTAACCCGACCTGTCGGGACCGTTTAGTTGGACTAATAAAAGGGCCCCAAAGATGTGTAAACAGTGCGGAATGAACTTTGCCCACCTGAACACCGGCTGCCACGGAGAATATGTCTTCTCGTTTTAATTATCGTGGGATCTCACTCTCTTTAAGGTTGAGCCAGTAGCAATGCCACGATTGGACTGTCCACTTTTTCTCATCCGAAAAAGCCTATATATATATATATCCTTCGACCGCTTCTTATTAGTCTGCGATCCGTCGGGGACAACTGGGTAACAGACGACTTGCTGCTTTTTGATAGGGGAAAATCAGGGTTCGCACTATACACTGTTTATAGCCGCCTTCTATCGTCGTCGGCTGTTTTCCTAGTAGTTTTTGGTATGTGAGAGTTGCCGAGCAGAGGGCGTGAGTTTTGTATGGATCCTCTTTTTTTTTCCTTGTGAGTATCGTGTCACACCAAATGGGATTCTTTCACAAGAGCGATAGGCGCGTCTGGCTCGAGGTCCTCTGACGATTGTTCTTTGAGAAGAGTTTGTACGACCGTACACGAGTAATACTTGTATGGACGGATCGTCATGTAGCCCAGCGCTTTGGTTTGCAGTGCTCAATATAAATCAGCATTTGTAGAAAGTGGTTCCTTTACTTGCGGAGACTATACGATGGTGGAGTCCTGAATATGTGCCGGGTTATAGCAGCCAATGATATGACGTGTACGCCCGTGTTCATTTGTCCAAGTCGAGATTTGTTTCAAGCGCCCGCTATCTTTGCTTCTGTGCAATCTATTGGCGACTTTGACGTTGGCGGAAGCGTGATGTTGACAGTCTAGTGAAGCTGCAGGGTTGATGCTTCTTGCGCCAGAAACAAAACAAACTCGTTTACTTCATCTATATGGTTTTATTTGAGAACACGGGTTTGCTTATTGTAGCTGTCGGCATGGGCTACCCTGATTTCACTTGATCATGTTCGCATTCTGCACGCGACATATTGATCGATTCTTTGTGGCACCTTTTAACGAGGTTACCGAGCTTTGACAGGTGGGCAGATTGATTCCAGATCGGAGTTGATCTCAGATCGACTTGACAAAAACTGGCTCGGGCCGCATTGTCGTCTCCCCCACAGTGAGGCCGAAGAAGTGCCCTGTTTCCTTCGTTATGAACAAAATGTCAGTCATCATGTTTCGTACTACGCAACATGTAGTACGAACATGATAGTATCCATGGGTATCTCGTCTAATAAAGACAAATGTGTCAACGTGTCATGATCTCATCTAGGAGTTCTAGACCTCTGCAAGCTCGATTTGACGAATATCCATTGGTTGTCATTTGATATTCAAGTCGGGGGTATGGATATATACTGGTCGGAAAGACTAGTTGAGAATGACTATACAATAGTACTGAGTTGCGATGATTCTCCCAAGGCGACAGAGAAAGTTCACTCTTTGATCAATACTCTCTCACGTTATAATTGATCAAACCTTTCTCGACCCAAACAGGTAGTTACGATCCAGCTAGGCTCCTGGCTTTTCGTCAGGCAGAGAGCTACTAGGTGAGTTAGACACGGCCTGGTATCGGCGAAGACAAGGCTATACCCAAGAATTACGAACCATGATATCCCAAGTGTCTATTACTTAATTTTCCGGTTCAGCGAACCCGAGTTTGAGAACAGCAAGTGCGTCAACGATCAATCAAAAAATGGAAACTCTCATTGACGAGTTTTTTTAGTTTTTTTTTTTCCTTTATCCCAATTAAGCCTTGTAGATATCCGTGCTTTACAGAGAAGTCTGTCATGATCAGACACACGTCATCTTCAAAGCTTCTAGACAGTTCTTAAAAAAGCACTGCGTTGCTGATCGCATGGTGGTTTCGTCTATACAAATGGTGCACAATTACTGAATGGGGAATTGGTCATTGTGGCTTGTTAAGAGCCTACTGATCCAACGGGAGAGTTTATGCAAGGGCTATGATATCAGCTAGAGATAATTTTTGCATATGATCGGCGGGATCCATCTGCTGACACACAAACACAACGTGCCAAGAAATAGTCTCAAGAAAGCTGTACAGCAGCTGAAACTTTTCTAGGAATCCAAAAGAGGACAGATTTATTCGTTTTGAGTATACTTTGTATTTTGAAAATATGGAGAACTCAATTGAATTTCAGGTAGAGGTCTAGGTTTTCCACCCATGGCAAAACGTGACGCGACGCATCGTTATGCATGCATTCCTACAGGATTTCCTAAATCCCATCACCGCTGATGACCGCCCTGTCCCCTTTGTAGGAAGAGTATCCCCTCACATTCTGGGGAAGCACAAAGAAGAATCCAGATCGTTGGGAAGTCCCACAGCAATGCCTCGCAGTCTAAATGTCAATGTACATTCGGGAGGTCGATTAGAAAAAGCATCTGACTGACCGACAGCACCAAAGTATTGGACCAACAAACGTATCTTTACTAGAATACTATATACCATAATTGACCACAGAGGCCAGCAACCCCTGCACTACATGGGGATGATATGGACTTTGGAGGGGGGTGTCCCATTATCCTACCCTTCTTCTCGCTCCAAAGCCTGTCAGCGCAAGCGTGTGTTTCAGGTTTCACCAAAAAGATGCTGTGATGTCCCTTTGCTCCTTTCCCCCTCCTCAGCCGTCAGCCTCGTAGGTGTAGCGACTGGACCAATCACGGAGAGACCGCAAGCTACCGTTAGCCTAACTGAGTAATACTGCTGGGAGAAAGCCTCGAGGAGAAGGCCACCATGTGAAATATTTGTGCACATTTTGTCACGCATAGGCAATTCGATAGCACGCGAACTGACAGACACGAGGGGCGATGTAAGATGATGGCTTTTATTTTTATTTTATTTATAAACTGTTTTGGCACATTTCTTTTCATATGAGTGCTGAGGCTCAGTCATCGGTATCTGGCTACCCGCTTGGCTGGAGGGGTGGCTTTGCGCCAGGCCGGAT